GCGTTGTATGCCAGTTGTTGGAGCAGTGGTTGGAGCGAGGCAAGAAGCGGCTCGTTGAGAAGAAGGACTTGAGCTATCAAGAGAAGAAGGTGTTCGAGAACTTGTCCGACGATGGCTTTGCACAAAACGGAGTTGGCTTTCTGAAAGCGCTAGCGGCAGCGATGTACAAAGAACAAGTGGGAAATCCGGTGGTCGAGTACTCTCCCTTTCGCGATCAAGGGACATGGAAAGAAGGTTTCTTTAGCCGGGAGAACGAGAAGCAGCAGCTCTTGCGCGAGGCGTGTCCTCTGACGCGCAGTGGCAATCAATACCGGTTCATCCATAAATCACTGCTGGAATACTGCTTGGCCCGAGCGGTGTTTGAGCCGCAAGACGGAGAGAGCGCGAGTCGCGCGGCCTTACCCCAAGACCTACCACGTCGAGGGAGCGTCGATTCGGTCATGAGCTTCGAAGACCAGGCTACTGTAGAGGAACCCGTGGCAGCCATTGCACAGGCGGTGCTCGATTCGCCCTTGTCACGGAGAAGCTTTGTGGGTGAGCCGTCGATTCTGCAATTTTTAGCAGAGCGTGTCCAACAGGAACCTCTCTTCAAGCAACAGCTGCTCGCCACGATCGAATGCTCCAAAGTCAACAAAGAGGCACGCGAGGCGGCGGCCAATGCGATCACGATATTGGTTAGAGCCGGGATCCTGTTCAACAGCGCAGATCTGAAAGGCATCCAGATTCCAGGAGCGGACCTGAGTGGTGGCCAATTCGATTCTGCACAGCTGCAAGGGGCAGATTTGAGAAAAGTCAATCTCCGCAATATTTGGCTGCGTCAGGCCAACTTGGACAACGCACAGATGGGGGGTGTGCAGTTTGGCGAATGGCCGTACCTCTTAGAGGATAGCAACGTGGAATCTTACGCGTATCCGCCCGATGGGAAATTCTGTGCTATAGGTCTCGCGAACGACACGATCAGCGTGTATGACACTTCGACTTGGGCAAAAGCCCACACCTTGCGTGGCCATACCAACGCGGTTCTGAGCGTGGTGTATTCACCCAGCGGCCACCAGATCGCCTCGGGAAGTTGGGACAACACGGTGCGACTGTGGGACGCGCAAACCGGTGCACCTGGTCCCATCTTAAGCGGCCATACCGCCACTGTTACGAGCGTGATGTATGCACCCAGCGGCCAGCAGATCGCCTCGGGTAGCCACGACAACACCGTGCGACTGTGGGACGCGCAAACCGGTGTGCCCGGTCCCATCTTAAGCGGCCATAGCTACCCAGTTGCGAGCGTGGTGTATTCGCCCAATGGCCAGCAGATCGCCTCGGGAAGTTACGACGACACGGTGCGACTGTGGGACGCACAAACCGGTGCACCCGGCCTCATCTTAAGCGGCCATACCCAGTATGTTGCGAGCGTTGTGTATGCACCCAGCGGCCAGCAGATCGCCTCGGGAAGTTACGACAAAACGGTGCGACTGTGGGATGCGCAAACCGGTGCACCCGGTCCCATCTTAAGCGGACATACCGACATTGTTACGAGCGTAGTGTATTCGCCCAGTGGCCAGCAGATCGCCTCGGGAAGTTTGGATCACACGGTGCGACTGTGGGATGCACAAACCGGTGCACCTGGTCCCATCTTAAGCGGCCATACCGGTGATGTTACGAGCGTGGTGTATTCGCCTAGTGGCCAGCAGATCGCCTCAGGAAGTAGGGACAACACGGTGCGACTGTGGGACGCGCAAACCGGTGCACCTGGCCTCATCTTAAGCGGCCATACCCAGTATGTTGCGAGCGTTGTGTGTGCACCCAGCGGCCAGCAGATCGCCTCGGGAAGTATGGATTGCACGGTGCGACTGTGGGACGCGCAAACCGGTGCACCCGGTCCCATCTTAAGCGGCCATACCGCCACTGTTACGAGCGTGGTGTATGCACCCAGTGGCCAGCAGATCGCCTCGGGAAGTTACGACAACACGGTGCGACTGTGGGACGCGCAAACCGGTGCACCCGGCCCCACCTTAAGCGGCCATACCTACTTTGTTGAGAGCATGGTGTATTCGCCCAGCGGCCAGCAGATCGCCTCGGGTAGTCGCGACGAGACGGTGCGACTGTGGGATGCACAAACCGGTGCACCTGGTCCCATCTTAAGCGGCCACACCCACTTTGTTACGAGTGTGGTGTATTCGCCCAGTGGCCAGCAGATCGCCTCGGGAAGTTTGGATCACACGGTGCGACTGTGGGATGCACAAACCGGTGCACCTGGTCCCATCTTAAGCGGACATACCGGCATGATTACGAGCGTAGTGTATTCGCCCAGTGGCCAGCAGATCGCCTCGGGAAGTTGGGACTCCACGGTGCGATTGTGGGACGCGCAAACCGGTGCGCCCGGTCCCATCTTAAGCGGCCATATCGAGGCTGTTACAAGCGTGGTGTATTCGCTCAGCGGCCAGCAGATCGCCTCGGGCAGTCACGACAACACGGTGCGGCTGTGGGATGTGAATTCGGGTCAATGTATGGCAGTTGTTCAAGACTTTCATGGACGAATCACAAGCATCACCTGGAACTCTACTCCAAATAGCACCTATTTCGCAACCGGCTGTGGCGATAAGTCTGTTCGCATGTGGCAGGTCATAGAAGAGGAGGATCGCTATCAGGTGCACCTGCATTGGACTTCGATGCATGACAGACTTACCGTGTCAAATACCTCTATCCAAAACGCCCAAGGCTTAAGCAGGATAAATACGCGGCTATTAGAGCAACGCGGCGCTGTGGGCAAGCCGATTCCGCCTTTGGGCTTCCGCGAGGCAAGCAAAAAGCTAATGACCATGGCGTCCGTAGCGCATAAACTCAAGGTGCCGTCAAACCACAGTATGATGGATACCGCTGCCACGACCGTTTCTCCTGCTGTGCAGTCAGCAAAGCCGGTCGATTCGGAGAATATCTTTTCGCTTGTTTGAAAGGTGAAGGCCATGCAAATAGGAGATTAGCAACGATGTCTCATTGCCAATCTTCTAGCGCATGGATTGTGCTTCTGAAGACAATATGCAGAGCTGTCTTTGTCCATGACAAGTTCATAGATTAAAAGTGGTAGTCAAGGACACGAATTAAAGCACCCAATGGGTTAGAAAAACTAAAGAGCGGGAGAAAGCAATGAACAATGAAGGAATCAAGCTAGGGTCCTGGGGTATTGTGTGCGCGTAAACATTGACCACGGCAGCCCGCTGTCTTAAGTATTACGCGCAAGAGAAACACAACTCTCCCGATTTCAAACAATCCCCTTGCGGAAACTGTCATCCCAACTTCTTTCACCGACCCTGGCCAATACCACCAGTAACACCGCTGTGGCCGACTCCAGACCTACATCCAACAACGCACTCGCCATACTGAAGCAGATTTCAGTAAGTGTTGGATTGTTCACCCATTAATAAGGAACGTGAGCTGGGTTTAGGCCGCTGTGAGACAGGTTAGATTAACCCTACTGATGAAATGTTGTTGCAATAGTAATTGAACTTGGTACGAGAGGAACTGTTCATGCGGATAACCGATATTTGGGCCTACCTGAGCAGGCAATGGCCCGAAGCTATCATCCGTTGAATTATGGCCGAACGTCTCTAAGTCAGAACCCGCGCTAGAACGCGACGACTACCGCCTTTTCCGATTTTTAATTGAGTATGAATAGTTCCTCGAGTCCTGAATCATGCTATGTGGGGTGGTCTTGTAGAGCGGGAGGGCTTTATGAGGCTCCTATGGATATTTGATCCAAATGTTGGAAGATATAAATCAATTGCAGGCAAGTTTTAAGTAGCGGTGTACTGTGCGCTGCCGTGCGTCCATATTAAAGCGTGAGCTCAATTGCTGTACGATCGTCCTGTAGGTGTTCGTTGCTCTGGTGTTGTTGAACTTCGTCATGATTTCCGTCAATGTTTCCCTATATCGAGGGCTTCAGTTGTCTTTGAGGTCGACCTTGTGTTGGTGATGACACTATTGGGTCTGGGGGTGGGGGGTTCATCGTCTTTAAAATCCATTCTCGCTCTCTTAGTAACGAATGACCCTCCCTGCCGCTAAATTTAATACGCCAGCAACCTTAGTCAGTCGCCCGCGGGTGCGGGAACCAAGACGACGCGTCAGCTCGGGAGGGAAGCTGTTCGAGGAATCGATGGAACCCTGTTACACTAACGTTTAACATTCTTAGTGATGAGAACCCAAAATATGAGATGTCCTTTGAAGGACCAATTTTATTATCAAGTCTATCTACTTACAAATACAATGAAGTTATAGATCAATCACTGATCTGTATATACCAGAATGTACGGGGAAGTGTTCATATAAATCGAGGACCTAATAGGCATAAGTTTTTTGATGGTTGTCATGGTAGAAAGTGTGAGAAGTTGAATGGCGTTCTATTGATAGCTCAGCGGCCACTTATTGAACCTATCTAAAGGCGAATATAGTCAGCTTTGGGCTAGACTGAAACTTTGAGTTGTTACTTAGAAAATATGCTCAGCAGACGCACAGCCACAACAGACCCTTCGAATTTGGTGGCAACTCTCAAACAAGAAAATGAACACAAAACCACATCCGCTTGTCGCTACAATACCAAAAAAAAAAAAAAAAAAAAAAAAAAAAAAAAAAAACACAACAACTTGAGAGTGGTCAGTGCTAAAAGTACAATTAGATTTATTTCTACAGTCGTGATCACTCTATTTCTTGGATATCTGTGCTCCCGAGTCAATCCACCGCCATGGCGTTCGCAGCTCGTGCCGAGACCGCTATCGGCACCACCGGTTGTGTTGGGGACCTAGACTTTGGCAGTGGTTGTGGCAGCGGCGAAGAGTCCCCATTCTCTAGTCGCGGCTGCGCATCCTCCGTGTTCACATCACTCCCCCGTCGAGACCCTCCACGGCCGTCTTCTTGTCCTTCTATATCCTGCTGCTGCCGCTGCTGTTGCTGTTGCTGTTGCTGCCTCTTTGGCTGTTGGTGGTCATCCTCCGTCACTGGCGAGACTGATTGTCGACCCTGTTTTCGAACCGCAGGCGCCGGGAGCGCCAGCATCTGTGCGTTCTTTCGTTCCTGAAGAGTCGACCTTGGGTACGCATTCTGCGCCAGTGGCGTGTGCGTGTGTACATGCCCATTACGTGCACGTGCGTGTGTGTGCGCATGATACGGATGCGGATGCTGGTGCACATGCATGTGGTTGTGCCCGTGTGTGCTATGCGTATGGTGCGCATGGTGGTTATGTCCGAGATGGTGATGGAAATGGTGTTGATGATTCGGATGGTTTGGATGGTACGGATGATGATGCGGATGGTGGTGGTGTAACGTATGATGCCTATGTACCGCCGTCGATCCGCTCGCCTTGGCTGTGCCTCGATCCAGCTTCACAGGCAGCGACGGGATGATGTGGTGATGGTGCTGTGCTGGATGGATATGGGCCGGCAACACCGGCGCAGAATGATGCGCGTGTAGATGTGCGTGCGCATGCGCATGTCCGTGTCCGTGCGGATGCAGGTGTGTATGTTGGTGCGGGGCGTGCGTGTGCAGGTGCTGCTGCTGCTGCTGTGTCTGTCGCGATATCTGAGGCGAGCTCCTGTCTACAGTCTCGGAGGAGGCTACGACCATCTGCATGCAATTCTCATCCGCTACCGAATCTGCACCGTCCGGTTTATTGGAGTAGCGCTTGGGTCGCTCGTCTAAGGCGGTAGTATCGCAAGCCGACGGTGACAATGTGCCCTCACAGCGTCCGGCGACCTCTTCTTCTCGAGGGACCACCTGCGCGCTACAAGTCGATTCACCACAGCTGGGCGTGCGAGCGTGAGGGTGCTGGTGGTGCTTATGTGGGGGGTGTCCTGCGGGATCAGAATGGCTGGCGACTGTGTCATGGACCGATTTTCTCTTTTCTGAAGACCGCATCAGATGTTGGGCTCGTTGCTGGAAAGAAACGGAAGTGCAGGGCGCCAAATGTACTAAACAGGATTAGTAAAGTGAAATCAGACCATGGGGGGAGGACAACTGCGGAGCAAATTCTGGCGTGACACGAACCATTTGATCGAGCTGGATCAGATAAGATATGTACACCTGTGTCGCGTTCACCTTCAGTCGTGGGTTGAGTCTCTAATAGGACGTTATCAAAAAGCGCGCGTTGTCATTAGTATCCTTGTGGGAAAAATAAATAAATAAAGACTATTTTAGGTCATCCCGGCAGGACACGTACAAGACCAAGCGACCGTGGCATGTATGAAAACGCAGAAGTATGCGTCGATTTTTCATGGTGCAGAGAGTGCTGGTGTACATGGTGATGATGATGATGTGGGGGCGCGGTATGTTGATGCGCATGCTGGTGTATAACATGCGGGTGTGTAACATGCTGAGGATGATGATGGTGTACACGTCCATGAAGATGTTGGTGTTGATGATGCGGGTGCGGCAAGTGACGGTGATGATGGTGCATTGTATCTCCTGGATATGAATGCGGCACTTGGTCATGATGGTGATGTTGCTGCTTCTGCTGTTGATTAACTTCCAATGCTCCACTATCAACGTCGCCCTCCTCGCTCCCAGAGTTCCTCTGATGGCATGGCCTGATCTCGCTGTCTAAAAAGTGCAGGGCCAGTAAGAGCCTTGTTTTAGCATTGTACCACAAAGCAGCCATCGTACTACAATGCTGATATGCAGCAGCTCCGTGAGATATTTCACTTTCTCATCCTCTTGAGCGCCCTGGCCATTTCTTTTCTTTTTTTGCAGGGAAGAATGAGTGCACGGGATCAAAGAAAAGAAAGAAAAGGGCGCAGAATAAACTGTGCCTTACCTAGCAAGGAGGAGATAGACATCGTCGAGCGAGTACTGGGCTGGACGTCGTAGAAGAAATGAGGCGCGGTGACATGTACATTAGCCGCAGAGAGGGTCAGAAGAAGAACGGTAAGCGCCGAGAACCCACGTTTGATCCCCTCATTGAAAAAAGCACGACCAAAACGGGCGTAGTCCCATTACCTTGGCTGACTGGCCTGGCCCATACGATCTGTGGGGCGATCTCGACGAGTGATATTGTGGCGACTCGCCCTCCTGCTCTTGGCGGTGTCGATTCGTCTGGTTGTCATCCGAGTCATCGTCAGAAACCTGCTGGCCATGTTCTCTATAGTGATATCTCGAGGTATCATCCATATGCTTCCTAGTGCCATAATGCTGCTCTGACGTTCTTGTCTCCTTCTCCCTGTCACTATTCAGGTCCTGCAGTGGACGAGACGGATGCTCCTGCAGATGTGCATGTCGTTGCTGCTGGTATGATTTGGACGAGTGTGGAAATTCCCTATATCTGTGGTTGTCGCTGGTGTCGTCCGAGAGGGGCTTTAGGGCTGCGGCGGCCAGGGTATCGAGGTTTCCTCGACTCTGATACAGCGAGTCTGATTTGGTCTCACGCTCCCCTTGAGGGTGTAATGCGTCCTCGCTATGTGCACTGGTGCCACTGGCTTTGCTGTTGGATTGTTCGCTTACAGTGTGAGAGTGTGTTCCAGGGGAAGGTGATTTGGTGTGCGATTCCATGGCCGCTGAATGAGAGAGTTCAGTGATCCAATGGCAATGAGAGAGAGAGGGAGAGAGAGAGAGAGAGAGAGAGAGAGAGGAAGAGAGAGGGGGAGAGAGAGAGGGGCGAGGCACCAATGGGGAGGAGGTGGAGGAGTTCAGTAGCGGCGAGGTGAGTGTGTACGTGCGCTTGAAGTTGCAAGTGTAAGTCTGTGAGAGTGAAGGAAGAAAAGAAGGAAAGAGGGCGGGCCCTTCGAAAAGTATGTCAAACCGGTGTGCCTTGAGGCATTTTCTCCTAGCGTCTTCTGTGGGACCTGTCAATTCTTTATTGTCAACAACCTCATAATAATACCGCAAATTCTGTATCGTCTCACCATCACCGCTCCATCAACCTCTGTCCCCAACCATCTCCCATCCCATATTGCCCTACACCACGCGCGTCTCCATGGCGTCCATGACTTGCACGACACGATACCTTAGCCGAGAGGTGCGGTGCCCTCTGAGTGTGGGATCTGCTAGATGCGGTACCTTCTGGGTGTGGTACCTTCTAGGCGGGGTGCCCACTGTGTAAGGTACCCTCTAGGTGGGGCGCCCTCTGAGCGCGCCATAAGCAATCCATTGCATGCTGATAACCTAATCAATGCTCCCTTTGCTATCAGGTCCTCTAGCCAGGCTGTACCTTTTCGTGCTTTCTGTCGGTGTCGTGCTGCAAATCTTGCAAATTGCTTCAGGCTTATCTGGGACTTCTTGTCCATTCTCCCCAATCGCTGCTCAATGTCATCTTCACTTCAATGCAATATTGACCCATTGTTGTTGTAGATGATGCTGCCTTATCGAGGGGGGTTCATCAAGTCCAGAGGGTCTACTGGACGGTGTTGAAGGCAACTGGTTCACCAGCCTTGTTGCAAATCTTAGTCCTGGAGCAGCCAATGGTCTTTGGTTCTCTGGGGCGAGGAACAAGCGAATGGCCTCTTGTGCGACCTTCATGCCAAACGCCAATAACCAGGGAAAGACACTCGGTGGCGGCAGTCTTTACTGGGGTCTCGTGAGCGGGTCCAGCACCAATAAGGTTGCGGAGTACTCATTACGAGGCATCGAGACATTTCGTTTGAATTCGACTGGAGGCATGGTAGAAGGATGAGGATTCCACGAGCGGATTCTGTGATCGCAGGAGAACAGGGATGAAACGTGCCATTTTTGAGAGTGCATATTTCTCCGTTGGAGATCGACTGTAAAGTTGGTCGCAAAAAAAAAAACAACAATCGGCGTCGTCTAAATTATCATGTGTAAACCAACCCCTTCGGCCCGCTTATTCGCTACGGGTTCGACAGGGTGAAGGGTGCTTGCTGCTCTTCTCATGATGCCCTCTCCCTTGTTATCTTTAGACGCGGGACAAGCTTGTAGGGTCCCCCGCCGGTTCCAGAAAACTTCGCTAAACCACTGCAAATCTATCCATGAACGCAAGAGATGTGTTTAAGAAAGAAGGTAGTCGTAGATTAAAGAAAACGATTGATAAATCTTGGTCTATTTTTATTATACACCAGGTCGGAAACCCTCATGGATACCTCTTCTTTGCAGGGTTCATTGTTTTATCGAAACAAAACTTTTAGCAAAACAGTGTATTGTGGCAGTAAAATAAAAATAATAATGCGTGCGATGCTGGGCGAAGTCGAATGAAAGCAGCACGGACCGATTAACCATGTTATATTTATGGGATTCGCTCCCTCGAAAAAAGTGTGCTCAATTGAATGTATGTCTGGCACCCCCTTCCACAATCTGTTTGATAGTGAGGATACCGGTCGTTTATTTGGACGGTACCGCTACAGCTCAATGATAGAGCCATTCAAGCGCGTCGTTCTCTTCTCTACCTCCGTTCCAAACTCGATCCCAGCCCACTACAATCCCCCTGATCTTCAACCACAAATACTGCAAGGGCCTTGACCCAATGGCCGCGTTCGATGCGCTGGCTATGATGAGGCGCGCTTTTGCCATTGCATCGAGAATGCGACTCCGTAAGGACGAGATGCGTCTGCCATAATATAGACTTGTTGGATCAGTTGGAAACTCCCATAGATCGTGACAATATGCGAGCGTGTGTTGACCAAATCCGTCATCAAGAAACGTGTAGAATCCTATTTGATCGGCAACATAGTCTCGTCCACTGTAGGCAACGGCTCTGGGGACACTTCCACGGGAGCCTTCAGTCGATAGATGGGCCACTGATGAGGTGGGTCTTATGAAATATAGTACAAAAAATAAAGTAATAGAAAGTGGTGTTTAGACAGAGTATAGTCTTTTAGGATGCGAGGAATTTGAATGGCAGATTGCTGTTTACCTGAACAAGATTCCCATGACGACCACCTGTATTGTCATTGATACCAGCGTCCAGAGGAAGAACCGAAAAAGACGGATTACGATCCATCCGCAATAAGACCTTCTGATCTTCCGCTCTGCAATTGGTGCCAGGGCTGAGGTTGTCGGATCGGCTGATAGGCCTCCTGAGATCTGCTTGACAGGGTCGCGATATTCCGAGTCTATGCTGGAGCTGGAGTCCGGCATTGATCCAGAGATCGATTCTCTCCTGGACGTCCCCTTTGTATGCTGCATGCGCCAGCGCCGAGCAGCATTGCTACGATAGGGCGCGTCACTCGCAGAGCTCTCGCCGGCTGACATCGTTGGCCATGATGTGTGTGTATTCCAGGACTGTAGATGGCTGCTGAATTTGTGCTTGAGATCGGAACGATGGGCTCTTGAGCGCAGCGCCTCCCTCCTATGCTGAGATGCTTCCATCCTATGCTGTTGCGATGCCTGTTTCCGTTGCTGCTGTGATGCCGTGGGCGTGTGTTGCTGAGATGGATAATTTGCTCCGTCTTTAAGATCTCGCCTATTAATCTGACCACTGCGCGTCGCCAGATCTCGCCGTTGCTTCTCTTGGGTTGGTTGCATCGACAAGGGTCGCCTCGGTGGTACTGACTCGGAGATAGACTCTCGCAAGGCCTGCATCCTTCTTTCCAGTTCCGCCTGGCTGATAAGAGTCGTTTTCTGCGTCTTTACATCTCTCGTGTAGATGGGTTCCGTATCTGCTGCAATTGGCGCTTGTGTTGATGGGGTCGTTATAAGTCTTTCCTTAGGGAGCACATACTGGGGCACAATTGGAGTTGCAGTTGTTTTGGTGCGATCCAAGAATGTGGTAAGGGACTCGCCCTTTGTCATCCTGGCACCTGTAAGAAATTTTACAACATCATCATAGTCGTCGCTGTTGTTGATGTCGTCGCCGTCGCCGTTGCCATCACCCTCATATTCATCGTCCAGGAGGGGTTTCTTGGCGCTTAGGGACTCATAACTATGTCCGTCGCCATGCCCACGTTCACGATTAGGCACCCGATGTTCTGAACCGCGGTACGTCTCTGAACTAGAACGGCTACCGAGATAGGTGCTGGATCGATCAGTGCTGGGGACGCTTCTGGGCGTAGTACGTCGGACCCCCTGACGAAAGTTACTGCGGTGGGTAGAAAAAGATACCGCTGGTCTGTTTAGGTGGTCTGCAGCACGGTGGTCGGCACGCTGCTGTAGCTGTGATGGATGTTGTTCTGCTTGCAGGTGCTGTCGGTGTACAGATCGACGCGGCTCCCATTCCTCTGCCTTGCTCATGGTCGGTCGTGTCTGAATGGGCGAATCAATGATCCAGAAGTAGAGATTCGAGTGTGTCACATACGCATCTTTATTTGTCTAAAACACTAATCATCGCTGTCGTATTCATCGTCGTCGCTGAGCGCTGCTGTTGCTGAGCTGCGGATCGACGATTGCTTGGTCTAAGTTTCGTCGTTGGAGCAAAGTACGAGCAGTTAGCCCTCTACACCATTGTAAACTCCTGCATGTGCGGGGCCATCCATATTACTAACCTCTTCAAATTTGGAGGACCTTGACTCTGGCAACTTGATGGCTCCTACACGACGGAGATATGCTTCGATATCTAGTACGTTCGATATAAAAATAACAATAGATGTGAGCCTTTTGAAATAAAGTCTATTGGTTATTTTCGATCTGAAATAGAAGGACAACCTACCTTCAGGCTTCATGTTCAGGCCTCCAAGCTGTGCTGCTCCAACGAGCTGTGTCTTCATGTCTCCATTGCCGTAGATCAAGAGTGTGGGTAGGTTGCGGTCGGGATAGTTGGGGATGCATTGATCTCCAATGATCTTTACAAACTTGGTTGCTTTGTTCCTGGCGGCGACTGTAGCGAGATGTGCACCCATTAGCTTACAAATGGGCAGGCTATTGAGGGTAATTGAGGATAGGACATTGTGAGAGTCCAGTTCTCCCTTGCAAAGACACTCGTTTATCTTAAACCTTCTGCCTCAGAGACGAGTAACACTCACTATTCCTTATATAAAAAGACGACTACCCAGATGTCTTTGCTCGCTTCAGAGACCTCGCGAACGAAATCTGTCTTGTAAATGTGCTGAATCTCTCCGAACTTGTCCTCTGACATTTCCTGCTTCATCGCGTTGAGTCTCTGTTGCCTAAGCACGCGACAGGAAGAGAAGAGGGGTCGCCGGTCAATACTTTGACAAAAGATCAATTGAATTCTAAAGTCTCGTTTTGTCTTGTTTATACCTATACTCCATCAAAACTCGTTCTTCTTCTTCATTGTCCTCGTCCAGCAGCTCGTCAAGTTCGTCGACAGTCTTCTGCTCATAGTTCTTGTCATTCCGCTTTGCGATGGCCTCGTCAATCATGTCGATGATGTCTGCCTCGGTGATCTGGCCCTCTTTCTGAGGGATGATGCCCTTTGCACGGAGGATGTCGTTCCATTCCGTGTCTTCGTCGTGGTTGTTGGCCATGGGTGCTGTCTTTGTTGCTGGGGGTTGAGTTGTTTGGTGCGTCGAAGATGATTTCGAAGAGAAAGGGGAAAAGGATGATGGAAAAAGAAGAGATGCGAAGGCGGAGGCGCGAACTGATCGCCCTTTCAGCTGGGCTGCAGGACTGTGATTGGCTAGACACTTGTCGCCACTGGGAAGGTGTGCAAAAAGTGAAAAAGCGACACCACGCGCGTCTGTGATTGTGCGGTGCAGAGCGCGTACTTGAATCCGACCAATGGTGTTCCCTCGAAAAGGACGTTCGAACGCATCCACTTTGGATTGCATGGACGGGTGAGTGAAAGAAGAAGGACGCGTAGAGCCCTACAGTGTACGATATACATTCATCCACACAGCATGCACTCATACAGGGCTATATATCCGTTCCTTTCCATCCCCCATCCTTTCGTTCTTCATTCGATCGACCGTGCGTGGGAACAACGCAGCACGACGCAACGGTGCAGCTGCTTCAGCGATACCATCGTCCTTCGTATTATTGCCCATTACAGCCGCTCTACACCTTCCCCGCCACTGCTTCATTCCCTTGCTCTGCTTCCCTCTGCACCAGTCTTGCTGCTAACCTCTTCAACACTGCTTCCAGGATGAGTCCATGGGACATCCAGGAAGGAGCCGCCCACACGCTAGACCCTCCCCTCTCTCTCCTCTTCCAATCTGAGTCTCAATCGTCGAGGACAGGAGTCGAAGAAAGAGAAGGGAAAGGGAAAGGGAAAGGGAAAGCGAAAGAATAAGATGGAAAATGGGACGCGCTTGACCCCCTGCGGACCTTGTGATGAGAAAAAAGGAGGAACACAGTGAGGGCTAAGAGGAGACCCCGTCGTCAACAAAAGGCACTCGCACCACAACGCAACACAAACAAAGGCAAGGGCAGAGGCAGAGGCCGGGGAACAAGAAGGAAAAGGCGGTGGAAAGCAGGGCGGGGCCAGAGCAAGGACACATTCATCCATGATCGGTATGGGAGCCAGCAACTGTCTATATATCAGCTTGCTTGAAAGCAAGCGTGCATCAAACCGCATTTCCAGCTTGAACGACAGCGTCGCATCAGACTGTTGACGCCCCACACATTGTCCATGTGCAGATGAGTGGATGTGGTCTTTCTTTCCAGAAGGGTCTGTAGGTAGCAAGCGTGGCAAACACCTCGACGGAGGACTGGTCGATAGCACTAGAAGCACAGGGTCGGGGGTTGTGGTTTGATATGTCCAATTGGTCGTGCGCTGCAGTGTGCGCTCGGAGTGCCGGTAGCTGGTGCTGGTACCTGACTCGCTTAAAAATTGTTTTGTTTCCCCCTCCTTCCTGTGCCCATCACACCTTCTGTCTCTCCAACTCCACTTTAATCCCTCACCTCTTTCCTATCTACTTCATCCCCATCCCCATCCTCATCCTCGCCCCACCCCCTTCACCTCTCCTCCTTCCCTCCTTGTCTTCGCGTAGCTGACACGCCTCATCAGCAATGGCCCCAAAGACCCCACAGGCTAATTCCAAACTGCCAAAGGCGCCCTCAGCGGGTGGCCCCATCCCCCTGACTGGCCTCCCTGCCCCATCGAGCGTGCTCCAGCGCCGCTCATTCATGCCCACCCCGGGTGCCGGCTCTGTCTCCAAGGCCCTCAAGGATATGTCTCCCGAGCAGCAAGCCCTCCTTGCGGAGGCCATCTCGATTCACAGCCCCGGACTGATTGATCCTGGCCGCAGGACATCCGCCCCAGGTGCATCACCAGCATACACAACAAAGACGAACGGATCAGGATTTGGAGGAGCGGGACCCGGATCAGGATACCAGCTCGAACAGGGCCCCAGAACGACTAGCCCCAGTGCCTTCGGCCTCTCATCACTCCAGCACAACGCACGATCCATCAGCCCCGCCAGCAATGGCGATCGAGCCTCACCCACTGGCCTTAGCTCGCCAGCTTCCTACAGAGCGCCGACCTCACAACCAACACAGCTCGGCCGCCGTGCCAGCTACTCCCGCCTGAGCACCCACGCAGAGTCACCCTTGGCAGGCGTACACTCGGCTACAACGAACACAGCAACAATGCAGCAAATATCTCGTCCTCCCTCATATTCTGGAATATCCCCTTCCCCGCTCTCGACCTCGCATCCTAGTCTGTCCTCGATGTCGTCCTCGACGCCCTCTCCAACGACCCCAGTGGGCGCAGGTCGCCCTACTCCAGGATCACCCTCAGGAGCTCGCCCTGCACTCACAAGCTCACGTCTCTCTGCAGGGCCGGGGACCATGTCAGGAGCAATCGGTGGAGGTACACGCACGGGCTTGATGAAGCAGCCCTTGTTCCAGCGTCCCCCGGGCACGGCGGCAGTCGCAGCACCGGTACAGCCAGCCAAGAATCCGCTTGCAGCCGTTCCTGGACCGCCTGCCATTGCACCACCCTCGCTCGACAACTACGAGATCGGAGACCATGTCGTCGTCGAGAGCATGGATCTTTCGGGGATCCTGCGCTTCTTGGGGCCGACCGAGTTCAAGTCGGGCACTTGGGCAGGAATCGAGCTTGATACCCCTACAGGGAAGAACGACGGAAGCGTGGGAGGGTAGGTCATTTATCAGGCTGAATATCCAAAGATATCGATGTCATCCATTACGATCAATGATGTCTATGCTGTTCCTAACTCCTGTCTTTACCACCCCTCTTTTGATCCGTTTACGGTCGTGGCGGATAATTGGTCAATGTAGAGTCACTTATTTTCAATGCAAACCAAAGTACGGAATCTTTGTTCTTGCGGCAAAGATCGCCAAACCAGAGCTACTGTTCCCGTCTACACCAGATCTCTCTATAGCTCATCCTCTTCCCGCACAGGAAGAGTCGCCAGCACCAGCACCGGCACCGGCCACGCCAACAGTCAACAACCATGCTGTTCAAGCTGCCTCCAAAATTACAGCTGGATCCAGAGCATCAAAGTACATTGGGATGACGGCTACTCAGCTCAAGCAGCGTAATGGAGCACCTCAACCCGCAACACCACGCATCTCAACTCCAGCTCAGTCCAACTCTAGCCTGGCAGGGGCTTCCGCGAGGGCTGCTAGTCCCACAATTCGAGCACTGAGTGGCATGAACGGATCGCCCACTTCGAACAGGACTATTCCTCCTGGGGCTACGAACGCTCGCGCCAACTCGCCCTCGCCTGTCCCAAAGCCGCTCTTTCGATCTTCTTCACCCACAGCACGTTCAGCTACTGGCAACCGCTTGTCACAACAGCCAGCAGGAAAGCCGACTCTCGCCACCCTCAACTCAAAACCAGCAGTACACTCTCGCTCAACCTCCTCGACATCTTCAGTCACTTCGCAGTCGAGTGCTAACGGTACCCGAGCCAGGACTTCACCGACGCCGCGTAGCATGACTGCGCCTAGACGACTTTCCTCACGCTCAGAAACTCCAGACCTTAGTGGTCTCATCTCTCCCAATGAGAGCCGACCCACTCTTCTAGATCAAGCCTCTGCTATTCAGATGGCTGGATCGCCCCAGGACAACGTCTCACTTCAGCTGCAGCAGCTGCAGCTCGACTTTGATACCGCCGTGGCGGAAAATAACATGCTCAAATCCGAGATAAGCGAGACCAAATCGCAGCTGGAGACGAGCAAACTGTTGGAGAAGAGGGACCTATCGTATGAAGAGCGAACATTCCTAAGCAAGAGTCTGGGTCACGAGGTAATTACTGAGCGCCTTGGTCAAGAGCTGGAGGATCTTCATGCAATGAAGGCGGCCTGGGACAAGGAGAGGGCCACAAAGGACCAAGAGCTCAAGGTTGTTACGGACAAGATGACACAGCTCTGGTTGGACACTGCCCGATCGCAGAAGGAACGAACTGCTCTTATTCAGGAAAAGACCGAGCTAGCAGAGAAGCTGAAGCAATTGGAGGAGAATGGCGGCGTTGCCGTTAATGATGAGAACATTGGAGCGAGCTCAGAGCACCAGACCCTGATCGAGTCCTTACAAGCAAGTCTCCGAGAAGCGGACGAAAAGACCGTAGCCCTCGAGGCCAAACTCCAGGATCTTTCAGCAAGGGCAATGGAGGAGGAGGAAAAATTGAACAGAATGAACGAGGAAAGCAAAGCGATCAACGAGGCCAAGGTGCAGGAACTTGAATCCGAACGCGATGGCCTGCATGCCAAGGTGGCAGAGTTGGAGGCAACCTCCAAGACAGCATTGGAGGAAATGGAGTCTAGGCTGAAAGAGGCACTAGAGGAAGCCCTGGTAACAAAGGCCCAGCTGAACGAAGCACAGACCAAACTGGAGGAGGAGGCTGAATACCGTAGACTGAGCGAATCTGAGTCAAATACCAAGTTAAAGGCAGCTGAAGTCGAATTACAGGAGTCACAAAACCTGCTTGCCAAGAGCGAAAAGCTCGTCCGTGGACTCGAGGACAAGACGAAGGAGTACGAGGCGACGATTGTCAAGCGCGAGGAGGACGTTGCCAGTCTTAAGTTGGAGCTCCAGGACATCGGTGGCATGGTGCAGAGCGAGGAGGTGGACCGAATGCGCAAGGTCTGGGAGCTCGAGAAGAAGCGACTAGAGGAGGCTGTGGCGGACAACATCACCATCATGACCACCCTTCGAAGCGAAATCCAGACGCTCGAGACAAACCAGGACGAACTTTATGCCCAGATCAAGACCCTGGAAGCCTCTGAGACATCTTTGAAGGAGCTCAAATCCGCAGCGGAGCTGGAGACAGTGCAAGCTCAAAAGGCTGCCAAGGATGCGGAGGAGGTGTTTGCGCAGGAGCGGACTGCATTGGAGGCTAAGATTGCCGAATCCCAGTTGGCTTTGGAGAGCCGCTTGTCCGAAGTAAAGGAGAGGATGGAGGACCTGGAAGCGATTGCTCTTACAGTCGAGGAATGGAGAGAAAGATGCGAGGCAATGCAGCTGGAGATGATCCAGAAGACGGCTGCGGTCGAGGACCTTGGTTTGAAACTCGCCGATGTACAGGCACAAGCGGACGTGCTCAGACAAGAAAACGTGGAAATCAAGGCCAAGCTGGAGATGAAGGTATCGGCGGATCAGACGGCAGCACTGGAGAGCTCAAGAGTTGAGATTGTTGCACTCGAGGAGGAGCGCGAACAGTTGTTGAGTAAGGTCTCTGAACTCGAGGCGGCCTTGGCGCTGTCTGTCTCTGCACCGCGGGCAACTTCTTCAAGCACCGCGGACTCTGAGGCTGTTCTGAACCGCGCCGAGTTGGAAGAAGAGATCGCTGGACTGAAGCAAATGGTCCACGAGCTCACAGCGGAAAATGCGGTGGTGGCGAGCGACAACAAGAAGCTGATGCAGGAGCACGACATCCTTATGGAGGCGCACAAACATGTCGAGACCGAGTGCCTCAAGCTGATGGACGAAGTCGAGCGACTTCATTCGGAGAGCCTGGCAGTTACGTCGATCGGGGAGAGCGAGGTGGCTGAGAAGGGTGGCCTGGACATGATTCACATTGAGACAGGCGCAAAGGCTCCATTGATTGGTCAAGAAGAGCTGAAGGCAGCGCTCAGCAACGTCTCTGTGCTCACCAAGGACACATCCATCCTGGCGCCTTCGGAGAAGCAATCGGGACAGAATCAGTCTGCGTCGGTTATTCGCCTTGAGAGTCTGCTCAAGGACAAGCAGACAATGCTGGACCGGCTCACACAGGCGCATTCGCTCGAGATGAGAGACCTTCGCCAGCGGTATGTTGATCTGGATCGGGCGAAGGCATATGAGATTGGCCAACTGAACAAGGAGCTCACGGATCTGGAGTCATTGATTGAGAGTAAGATCTTCCACGAGGCTGATCTCGAGGAAGAGGTCCAAATGAAGCAAAAGGAGATTGACCGTCTTCAGCTGGAGATTGCGGATCTCAAGAGCCAACTCGCGAGCGTCTCTAATGGAACTCATGGATCCCTGGTGGATCTTCCTTCCAATGGCTTGTCCTCGGATTGGCGCCCTAACTCTTCGAACGCGCCACACGTCGGATCCAGAGTCGTTGCGAAATCGCCACTCTCGAACGAAAGGACTAGGACGGAAGCTGACGGCACGGATAAGGCGTTGTTCTGCGAGATTTGCGAGGTGGAGGGTCATGATCTGATCGGCTGTGTCGCTGTCTTTGGAAGTGGAAAGTCAGCTGGAGGCTTCACGCCCTCTGTCCCTGCCACGTCGGCACCATCATACTCAGAGGCAGATTTGGAGGATGAGAGACCTGTGAGTACCATATCAAGGATTTTTGCTTGCCAGACGAGAAACCTTATTGCTTGATCCTTTTACTGACAATATCTACACCCTTGCTGCACCATTTAGTATTGCGATAACTGCGAGGAGTTTGGTCAGCACTACACAGACGAGTGCCCCAACGAGTCTTTGACGTATGTCGGGGCCGTATATGAAATGCTGATTTTTATTTTCATCCGCACGAAACTAACAATGCCTAACGCATCCTTGCATTTTTTTTTTACTCTCCTCAATAGATACTAATCGCGGACACGGATACTCGAAGCACCCGTAGACTCTATTTTCATCTTTTCCCTCTTCGTTACAACTCATGTGGCGTGCGGAACCGAGGCTTGCCCCTGAATCTGAGTTGGATTCGTTCGTTGATCGGCTAGCGACGATCTGTACATATTCCTGTAGCTCTTTATGTGTGTCTTTTGTCTTTCACCCTCCTTTCTGCACTTGCTGTCTGTCATGTTGTCATTTCCTGTTTCTTTTGTTTTTTTTCTATAGTTCAATCTTTAGTCTTTTGATACCATCTATACGTCCGCATGCACGACTTTTGTATAATTGTGAGATGGTTGGTCACATTTTTAATATATTTATTGGCCCATGGACGCTGTAATCATCGGCGAATGCTTAGCCCAAAGTCCGGGACAATGCATCACGTGGAATCTTGCCTCTTTTTTACTTCCAGTTCCTGAAAATCAAATGCTGACTTGCCTTTCATCATCGACCGTGGCCCATCCAACAGAATCCATGGAATCCACCATCAATGGGCCTGTCCGCGCGGCAGTCGACTCGCCATCGTCGGAACTGAGGCATCGGAGTCATGAACATCCCAAAGGCGCAAAGCAGCAGCAGGAACGAGATGATCTGTCTTTGAAAGGACCTGACACGAGAACCGGTGTTGCAGAGAAGGACCCTTTAAAGCATCTTCCGCCCAAGAGATCAGTATCATGGTCGAGTTGGGCGGCTATCACTCTTCAGGCGTCGATTCAGGACTGGATCTTGATTGCGACAATGATCTTTGGAGGCTGCTGCAGTAATGTCTTTGCGCTCGAGATCTTGGTCAAGTAAGTATGCTTGAGAGCATAGGAGCAAAGGCCCCGGTTTCATGGGCGTCAGCGTCAATATCAATAATGCTAACTGTGCTGTTGTCTTGGATATCGCTCTAATTCTGATCTCGGCTATCAACCACACCTTTTTTTATCGCTTTTAGCGATGCTCCAAAGAGCGGTAAGACTCCTGTCTGGACTTCTTTGCAGAAACGGAACATTTGAACGGGGATCATTGACTAACTCAAGATTTTCCTTTATGAATGTGTCTAGGCCAAATGATCACCTTTGCCCAGTTCATCTGCGTCTCTCTCTATGGCCTCTTTATGCACGTGCGATGGCCCATCATTCAGGAGTTGTTCTCCCCTAACAGCCGCGCCAAGAACACTTCACTATCACCCTCCGCCTCGCTCACGCTCTCCAAAAAGAACAGCCCAGCAACCCCGGAGCCGCAGCCTACTACAACAAAAGGAGTCTGGCGATATATACCCCACCTAAAACCCCGCCGGATCCCCCTCATCCGCTGGCTGGCCATCGTCATCATGTTCTTCTCAGTCTCGGTCCTCAATAATTGGTCCCTGGCCTACAAGATCTCGGTCCCGTTGCATATCATCTTTCGATCCGGAGGTCTGATGGTCGGTATGGTCCTTGGCATGATCCTGATGAAGAAGCGGTATAGTCGCTCACAGATGCTCGCTGTCTTGATCGTCACTATCGGAGTGATCTATGCGACGACGAGCGCTAACACGAACAACAACAGCAGCAGTAGTAGCAAGGGAAGCAGTGGCAGCACACAAAAGGGGTCCCAGGACACTGTGAACGCAGGAGATTATGCGATTGGGGTCGTCATGTTGACAGTAGCCCTGATTGTATCGTCGTTAATGGGGCTGTTACAGGAATCGACCTACCAGACCTATGGCGCCGAATGGCGCGAGGGCTTGTTCTATTCACATTTCCTGGCCCTGCCAATGTTCATCTTGTTCTACAGCGATATCATGGATCAGATCCAGGTCTTCAATCGTTCGACCCCAATCCCGGTCCTGCAATTGGTCCGCCAGATCGGTCCCTATCTCCCAACTTCTCTCGCCTACAGACTCAGTTTCATCACCATTCCCAGACTCTGGATCTTCCTTGCCGTGAACACATTGACACAGTAAGTGTTTATATATGTTTTTTATATTTTGCGTATCCATTGTCGACCATTTCATAACATCGCTTGTCAAGAACATGCACCGGCAGACATTTGATATAATTTTTTTTTTTTTTTTTATTCTACTTATCACAGATTCATGTGTATCTCAGGCGTGCACCGGCTGACATCGCTCTCCTCAGCCCTGACCCTCAACTTCATTCTCAACCTCCGAAAGTTCACCTCCTTGCTCATCTCGGTCCTGTACTTCGAGAACGGCTTCGGCTTCGAAATGGCCGCCGGCTCCACTCTCGTGCTCTTGGGCACCATCATGTACTCGGCCTCCTCTTCCTTGCCCTCTTCAAAGAAACCAAATTCTCCTTCCGCTAACGCGACCAACTCATCGCTATCCACAACTAACAAAATTGGGAAATAAAGAAATAGATATAAAAAGTGTTCTTTTACTGGATATTTTTTTGGCCTCTCAATCATCTGCCTCATGCGTCCGGTTTATTCTACTATTATTATATGAACAACACTACAGATATTATAGAAGGCTGCTCCTTCACGCTCGTTTGGCAATGTTGCGGATCTTCTTGAAGATCCCCTTTGATTGATCCAGCCTCGGACTCTTGGGGCTCCCTAGACTACGCCATCCTTGAATTTCTATTGTTAAAGGGCCGTCCTCTTTTCTGTTAACGCCGCCAGTATCTGCTCCATTCGACAACGTGCTCGGGGGCATCGGCTGATCCGTGAGCTGGAACCTTGGGACAGACGGATCCACAACGAACCCATGTTGGCTTATCAATTCAATCTCTGTACCCATAGGACCCTCGGACGCATAAAAGTGCGTCGTAGGGATCGATCCAAGCGAGACCGACGATATCTTTCCATGATACCCAGGACGCGCCAGTCCCGATCCGTTTGCAGACGCAGGCGCAGAGGAAGAGATCGGCGTCAAAGAGTTCAGGTCACCTTCAGACGTAGTCAAGGACACGGTCGACGACATCGACGATGATACCGAAAGCGCCACCAGGAGGACATTCGACCTTACAGGTTTTCTCTTCTTGTTCAGTATGCGCTCCGCAACCCGCGCACGACGTCGCCGACCAGACTCGCCTTTCCAGTCCTTCTCCAGGATCCGGGCGATCTCCTGTTGGACCACCACTAACGACGGGTTCACCTGCGCAGAGACAGATTCCTGACATGCGATGATCGCCTGCTCGATGATCGCCGGATCGCTGCACTCGATCTCGTGCTCCAGCAGGTACTTTAGACAATCGATACGCAGGTAATACGCAGCATGGGCCAGAACGCTTCCATGCATCACCAAGATATGGTTCGGGTCGCTCGATGCCGATACCTGCTGCTGGGTCGATATCGACTTTGAAAATATCTTTTGCGAAGTAGCTCTCATCGATTTCGACATCCGCTTCTGCTCCTTGGGCGTTAGCATTGACATGGGATCCACATGAATCTCTGGCGGGTTCGTTCCTGGTCCAAAGGGCGCCATCCACGTCGGGTCAGCGCCCAGTTTCAAAAGAGTCGCCAAGGCTGTAACAGAGTCATGGAACCGAAGCAGTAGCAGCAACGGTGTCTCGCCTCGGAAGTTGGGCGTGTCAATGGGCGACCCTGCCAGCACCAACAGTCGGATCTGGTCCTCTAATCCACCTTTCATCAGTATGTGGTTCTTCATCTGGTAATAAGGCCCTCCCAATGAAAAAGATTGTTGCCGTGTGATAAGGCTCTGGTAACCGTCATTGATGGCCTGGATGCTGAAGATCGACTCGGAATCTACCTTGACGCGCTCCCATGCCTCCTGCTCCTGGTCGTCCTGCTCATCGATCTTCTTCAATGCCGCCTCTTGCCCTCCCTCGGTATCGTCGTCGTCCCCATCAGCATCACCTCCATCGCCATCCAGAAGCGAGAGCTGGCTCATCTGCGCGCCTGTAGCGTCCACAGCGCTGAGGGACCTGAGCTGATCCCGCATGCTCCGCAACATGGTCGGATCTATGACTGGAGGCGGAGCTGTTTCACAGATAAGATGGAGCGGTGTATTTCCTCCACGTTGTTCCTTGCTCTCAACATTGGCGCCCGCCTTCAGGACCATGTTCAAGGCCTGATACTTGTTCTTTCTCGCCACTGCTGCACAGCAGAGTACCGGAAGCCGCTCGATCGGCTCGAATTCGTCCAGGATCGCTGCAACGGACGTGAGAGCTCTTTTTTGACTTGATGATCCCGACATACTTGTAGAGGAGGTAGAATTTGTTGATAGCGACCGAGTCAGAGCCTTGTTCAAGAACTCCTGTAGCTCCACTAAATCACCATTCTTCGCAGCCGAGTAGATGCAGTTCGAGGGAGTCCCTGTTGGGACATGGTCCGCCGACGTAATCGGGGTATATGTACTGCGAGCCATGAGTCCAGTAGCTGCAGAGGTGCCAGAGCCCACTTCCTGCGGGGCCATGACCGCACCAGGTGTAGTTCTTGTCGGACTAGTAGCCCCTCTCAGCTCAGAGTCATCGCTTGAGAACGAGCTTGCACGTTCATGGGTCTCTAGCTGTGATTTTGTGGCCTGACGTCCTGTTTGTCGAAAACGAGCGTCCATATTTGAGATCCTGCGGTTATGCAGCGTCATTGGCGGCTCAGGGAATGCGGGTATAACCAAGACTGATCCCCGGGGCTGTTTTCCATTCGTGGCTGCTGCTGCTGCTGCTGCTGCTGCTGGGGGCTGAGACTGTGGCAACTCAGGAATCGGAACAGTGGATACTTCCAAAGCCGGAGACTCTGACTCCACAGTCGCGATAAGGCTCTTGACCTTCTCGGATCGATTATCCTGACCCTTGGTAACCGAATGATCCGTGTCGCTGCTCGTGTATCCATCCTCCACAACCTGAACTGATGAGGCCGCAGAGCTGATTTTTCGCGTCGTTTCGCCGTCGCTCTTTGGAATTCGGGGTAGCTTACGCCAGTTAAAGAACGTGGGCATGGATTCCTGCTGTTTTTGTTGCTCCAGTGCAGCTGTTGCGATGATGGTGTTTCTTCCAGGTCTGAACAGTAAATCCGGAGATATGTTTGCCGTGGGCGAGGAGGGTGAGGTGGGCGATTTCGAATTAGTGCTATCCGCCTGTGTGACTGGGATGGCGAGCGTTGCAGGTCCAGCTGACAGGATAGGTGATGGTTTTGTTTCGGAGGGAGCCGAGGCTGAAGTAGCTGATGAGATCGATGCTACCGCAGGTGAAGGAGTGGATGTCGAAGTAACATAAGCCCTTGTAATAAAGTCGGGGTCAGTGTCCGGGTGCGCAGGCGGGAGCGGTGGGAAAGGTATCGCAGAGGCAGGTGAGCTCGTTGTGTTTTGAGCGGGTATATTTGCCTCTGGTCCTACAGTTTTAGTCGACGCCTGGGTGATGGCGATGGTCAATCCTTCAGGCTGTTGCTGGGTATTGTTAAGCTTGGGCGGCATAGGCCAACTAGGTCCTGTTGCATTGCTGCTCATCCCGCCATTCGCAGTAGTTGCCGTGAGTACTGTCGAGGTTGCTGTAGGTGTCGGAAGGATATCCTGAGCCGATGCAGATGAGGCAACGTACGATTGAGCAGGCGCTATCACGATGGCGACGGGTGGCACAGTGGCAGACACTAGGGTCGGGACTGGATTGAGAGGTAATGAGGTGATGTTTTCAGACTGAGAGATTGATTTGCTCCTGAGGTTCTCGGAGGCCATTTCCAATGCTCGAGTGGGAATAGGTATAGCATCGCGCTGCTGGGTGATAGAGGAGCTCGTCGCCAAGCCGATGGTCCATGCTTCGACAGGTTTCTGCTTTTCGGTAGCGTCCTGCTGCATCTGCGCTGTGGGCTTTGTTGAGGACTCGACACGCGGACGGACTTTGTCGGATACGATGATCTGCGTCGTGATGATGTTGGTTGAAGCCGCAGTTGCGGCAGCCTGCGCTGCAGTGCTTGCAGCATGCCGCATAGATATCGCGTGCGCATGCATGGGATCGACAGCTGGCATATCCGGCAGGGGTGGCGTGGGTGGTGCAATGGCGCCAGGTTGGTATGGTTGTGCATATTGCTCCTGCCGCTGTTGCTGGTAAAGCTGCTGCTGTTGCAACTGAACTGCCTGTTGCTGTAGTTTGAGTGCCTCTGTCTTTTGTCGGGACTCCGTCATCAGTCTCTCAAGCCGGTTCTTGAGCTCCGAGAGATGTGGTCTATCCCCAGGGTTTAGCTTCCAGCAATCTTTGATCAGCGCTTCGTATGCTGGACCTGGGCTGTCCTTGATGTTGGTGGGGATCTCTTCTTGCCTTCCAAACATGATTCTTGTCGACAATCCTGGCTGACTCAGATCCTTTTCAAAAGCGACCTTTCCCGTTAACAATTCAAACATGACCATTCCCAGTGCATAAACCTCGCTTCGGCTTGAATATGAATTGGACGCAAGGACTTCAGGGGCGAGGAACACAACGGTCAAGGATCGAATCCTCTCGAGTTCTGCTGTCGGTTTCGGAGGCATTCCAACCTCTGCCCGGTTGTTTGCCCTGCCAAAGTCGGTCAAAATTGCCATTCCCTGTAAACTGATCAAGACATTGGCTGAGTGTAGGTTCATATGCTGCATACCGCGTTGGTGCAAAAACTCGAGTCCGGAGGCGATGTCGTGGATGATTTGCATCTGCTGAAGTGCGTTGAGATTCGCCCGTTGTTCTGCAATGTATCGACGCAGGTTGCCGAGTGGGTGATATGGGACAACGAGACATGTAAGCCCTTGGTTGCCGAGCTGTACAACACCAAGGAGCGGGTTCGTATATTGTGAGGGCGGGGTGATAAGCAATTGATGTACCTAGTAAGGACAGCACATGTAGAGTTTATCTCTCCTGTTAGTAACATCCAGCAATTCAACTTCATTGTACCTCTCGGTCAAAAAAGGGTGTTTAATGGCCTTACCTCGAAGATCAGGTCTGCTGGTCGGTGGTACTGTTTGATGGCCACTATCATCGGGCCAGTTGTGGCAGTGTTGTCGTTTTGTCCTGCTGCCTGGTTAGTGGTGATGCCCTGTGTGGACTGTAGCTGGGCTGTGTGGAGGATGCAATTGGGTCCAGCTGCGACAGAAAGAGCGAGGTCGTCCAGCTGTCGGGGGTCGAACAAGCGGACGGCATGTCTTGCAATAAGGTCCGCAAGCCAGGGCACGTCCTGAGGCTCGATGCCTAGGGGTGTAACAAAGGGGATGGCAGGGATGTGGAAGCTACCGGCTCTACCAGCAGCTATCGTGGATGAGGGATGGCTCATGGGTATACGCACTCCTAGAGGGACAACGGCAAGTCGCGGCAGTCGAGAGAGAGAAGGACGATGGTTTTTTACAAGAGAAGCAGAGTGGGCACACTGGCACGCGTGCAGTGGCGAGTATGAGGAAGAGGAGAATACAGAGGGCGGGTATGCAAGAGACAGGCGAGGGGTGGGAGAGGGAGGAGAGGATGGGGGGTGTGATGGCAGCGTTGGGGTGGCGGGGGAATGAGGGATGGCGATGGGACGAGGAAGGGGAATGACCGAAGGAAGAGCGGTATACGAATACAGCAAAAAATGTTATGCTCTCGCCTTCCAAAAACCCACAAACGCTCTCTTTGTAATTTTTCGTTCAAAGAGCACCCAATAAAGTGTATCAGGGAACGAACCAACCAAGAAGAGGGTCCTGTTACATTCCGCAGTGCAATTTGGACTACGGATGAATGCTTATAACCAGTATCGCCCTTGCCAGTGGAGATCTATAGGCGGATCGTGCTAGTGCACCACCGTGGCCACCCTTCTATTACAGGAATGCAGGACAACTCTGATATTCTTGGAGTACCATGCCCTTTGGCCGTTACACGGAAAGGAGCGTGTGCCACAATGGCGAACTTCCTCGTGGTAACCTAGCCCTGGAGGCAGACCCCTGGGGGCGGGGTTATTATTATTGAAATTATTATTTGTTGAGCCTTGTGTTCCTGAGCCAGGCACCGTGTTTCATTCGTGGACCCTCTCGATCGGAGCCAAAAGGGGGTTCTTTTCTAAGGAACAACGCGTTTGTCCACGCTCATGATCCTCGAGAATGGAAATAGTGTGCCTGATGTATCCACACAGCTCAGCTTACATGTACTTCGCATGCATCTCCCCACAACTTGGTCTTAGTGCATTCAGGGATTAGATTATCCGCAGCCGCCTAGCGCCAAGAAGAAGCAAGACATGGAGCGACGAAACCCTTTGGCATACCATTGTAGCCGTGCATACACTTTACTCTTTATGGTAGCCCGTTAATAAATATATGTTTATTGCGAAGCAAGTGGAGTCAAGCTGCGACTACTCGTGCAGTAGTACAATCGGCGGGCTGTCTTCCCTGAGCGACGTTAGGAGGTCCTGAGCTTTGACCGCCACGCCCGATGAGATATGCTCCACTCGGTTCTTGCGTCGCCTATCCCGCCTCAATGCTTCGTTGTCGCCTCCATTCCGGAGCGTCTCTAGTAGACTGTCCATCATGCCCTTATTATCACCTACTCCTTCTGCATCGTTTGAGCCTGTGTTTGAAGGATGGTGGGCGTGCGGTTAATTTCTTTCATCCGTTCTACAACAGCGAAGCAAACATTTTTTTTTTTTCGGAAGCATCGCATACCTTCGCTTTGGACCTTGATTCTGTTCTTTTTGACAACAATCTGCTCCTGCCGAGCCTTGGCCGCCGTCTTGGCCTTCTCCCGCTGTTCTTCCCTCTCCTGCTGCTTATGGTTGTCCTCCTTGGCCTTCTCAAACGAGGCACTGAACGTCTTAAAGATGCCAAAGAATTCGTCGGGCTTTATGACCGTTGCATCCTCACCATAGAACTTGACGCAGTCCTTGTACAACTCCTCCATGTTTTGCATGTCGGTCTCAGCCTTCTTGAATGCAACCTCGGCCGCCTCCATAAACGGTTGCATAACCTCGGAAAACCGATCCTCAGGACAGGACTTGTAGCCGTTGAAGTAATGCGTGCTCAGCTCAGCCTTGATCTCTGTTATCTTTGCTTTCAGCTGATTGAAATCAGTCTGTAGCTCGGGCAATGACACTAAATACATCATGATCCGTTTCCAAGGTTAGAGACTCGAGATGTATCTCCCAGCTCGCTTCATGCTTCGTCTGGCATTTACCTCGGCAGGCGTCTCTACAGGGCTCAAGTTCCTGCTGGTAGTTCAAGACATCGGGCAGCGTTTTCTCGGTGATGTTGGTCAAGAAATGAAGCAATGTCATATTGGGAGCATTCGAGGCTTTCGTGTCCACCAGCTGGATATTTCATAATAAAAATGAGTACTAGGTCTCATCTTCATGCCATAAATGTTCCACTATTGCTTTACCTTGTTAATGCTAGCGATCTTAAAACCAAAGGCGCCTCCGTTATGACCGCCGCCATTCATGTAGTTTCCGAGCATCAGAATCAAGTTCAGAAGCTCCCTAAAGTGCGTAGCATTCTTTAGACTCTTCGAGGCTGCGGTGATAGCTGAAACAGCCTATTAAAAAACGGACCGGAACCATGTTAAAGTCTGAACTAGTATTTCAATTTTTTTTTTTATATATATGCATGGCGAACAGCTACTTACCTCATTGATTCCCTCGAGCAGTGTTTTAAAGGTCGCCTTGAACTTGAGACCCTCCAATCGCTGTTGGTATCGTTCGACTTTCAACATTTCAACAAAGAATGCCTCTGGTCTGCCCAATGTCAGCTTGACTTCTTCAGATGCGTCCTTAAACTCCAGCAGCCTGCCAGTCTATGCGCCCAAAATCAGCACGAAGACGGTCATATCAATATCTGAACCAAGGCATTTCCGTCCGGAAAGTTACTTCATGTTGGAAAGGAATCGTTACCTCTTCAGTATCAGGAACAAATTTGAGCAAATTGCTCAGTTGTACAAGGGTCATGAAATCTTCGTCCATGCGGAGGATAGCCCGTCGGATCTCGGGATATGTGTGCTTCATTCCTCCCAACATAATGTTGATCTGATAGGCACGACGCTGGTCCAGGATGCAGATTTCTTGCGGCTTCTTGGATGCACGAGGTTCTATTGGCATCAGAGTCATCATTACAGTCAGCACCACAGTGGTCGACAGCTTCAACAGCGTTACAGTGCATACGATAAAGCCAACTTGATATTTCGTACCTCGATATTCAGTGACTTTGGCCACAAAGAACTGCTCCATGCTTCCAAAGACCCCATTCTCGCCCAAAGCCTTCTGCAGCGCACTCTCGTCCACTCCTCCAGAGCCCCAAACCGTATTTCCAACAGCCATGTAATTCAACTTGTCCCATTGGAATGCCTTCAGCTTGATGGCCGCCGTCGCTGCTTCCTTCTTCATGTTTGTTGTCATCATACCGGATAGTGGAGGTCCTGAAGCGCCCGGCGGCGGTGGCGGACCTCCCTTTCCTGGTGGTGGAGGAGGCGGCGGTGGTGGTGGACCGCCGGCTCCACCTGGTGGGGGTGGGGGCGGAGGAGAACCTCCAGTCTTTGGTGGTGCAGGCGCTGAAGGTGGTTTTGAACCTCCTACCTTGGGTGATGCAGGATCCGATGACCCCAATTTCTTTTTCTTTGCTGCAAGCATGGCGGCCATACCTCTTGATGGAGCTTCCGAGTCCGAATCGCCTTCGTTGCTCTTGGCCCCACCTCCCTTGGACATCATACCGCTGAGCAGACTGCCCAGTCCCCCTCCACCGGGCACTGATGGTGGCCCCGGCGGCAGCGCAATCCCTCCTGCGACAGATGGAGGAGGTGGTGGCGGCAGTGGGCCACCGGTGGTTGCAATACTGGATCCAGCTGCTGGAACAGATCCTTCGCCTCCGGATCCCTTTTCTGTGCCTTTACCTAAAAATAATGAAAGAGTCGATATTAATACGCATTTCAGGACGCGATGCTCAGCGAAATGCTCACGATGATACCCTGCCGCACTGAAAATCGCAGTTGTTACCATGCTTGAATTTCCCGCCTCTGCCGCCAGCTTTGCTTGCATTGATACTGGCCAAGAGCTCGGGCGTTAGATTCGCTTGACCAGGGTATTGGAACCCATTCATCTGTTCGAGTTCTTTGTTGAGTTCAGGATCTGGCGGTGCCATCGACTGGGGTAGATGATTACCATATCTTTGCTGTAGGATCGAACCTTCCAACTTTGTCTGCTCAATAAGTCGACGTAGTTTGTCCTTGTCAATCATCGGGAAGTCATCAAGGCCTTTGCTTCCTGTACTAATCAATCCTCCTGAGGACATTCCAGCCTCTGCCATTAAAGTGTTGGAATCCTGCAGGGACCTTAACAGATGCTTGAGCTGTGCATCCTGTATAGCCAGCTTTTTCTGAGTCTGAATTTCAATGTCATTAAGTTTGACCTGTAGAGTTTGGATGGTGTGTCGAGAGAGCCGAAGAAGGTCCTGAAGCGAATGGACGTTGGCTTTCAATTGAGATACCATACCATCTACGTATTATCGATCGCAAAAAAAAAAAAAAAAAAAAAAAAAAAACAATTTTGAGTACGTAAGTTTCCTGTACACATTCGCAAGTTTCATGGTTCCTCCATTATTACTCACCATCCTTTTGACCAACTTCCAGCTCCAGTTCATTTTTCTGACGTGTTGTGATCTCTAGCTCCCGTCTCGCCTGCTTCGCATCCTCAAGAGCATGGTTCAGGCGATCCTGATCCACTAATTTACCCATGAGTTGATTTACAGAGATACCAAGCTTCTGATCGAAATTATCAGTAATCCCGCGTCTATCCAGCACGACTTGGGTGACGATCGCGTCCATCAGCTGGAAATATCGAGTCCTGCAGCATCCAAAAGCAATGGAGAGAGAAGTTAGCGATTTGACTAGAAACATTCCGGTTACGATAAATTAATATTACCCTGGAAGCTTACCTGAGGTCGCCTTCTTCACGGATCAAAAGCATATGCTGTAGCAGTGACAGAAAAAAGTCGTACGCTCTGCTACTCTCTACAGAACGAAGAAGCGCATGGAACACATCATAGGGGTCGGACATGTCCTGTAGAATCTGTTGATTATAAAATTCTACCATATCCTCGTGATCATTCTCTGCTTCATCTTCATAAATATTGAGTTGCCGGTCAATAAGATCATGATTGAGGCACCTCATTTTCTAGTAGATTTGTGTTCAAGGAAATTCAGATGAGGAGGATTAGCACCATATGCATGCAATTAAACCATACGACAATTCGAAGTAACCGGCCATGGAAATACTTACAGACACAATGCGTGTTAGCCCACTTGTTGTCAACTGGCTTCTGAGATGCATGCGATATTCAATTTCGTCAATAACTTGGAGCAGTGCATTGATGAAGACGACATTTGATAGCTATGAAAACATGGTGGAGATAACCATTTGAGTCCTACATTCCTTTGGATGTCAATAGCTTACTTAATAAAAGAGTTGTCAGTGTGAGTGTTGTGAATGGATAAGTGTCCCTTTTACCATCAACGTACCACATATTCAATAAGGTGATTATCCTGCGTTCCAGTCTTTTTCAAGTCTTCGCTCATTCCAACCATAGTACCGAAGCGACCGCGTCCATCGATTGTGTTTTCGAGAATTCGCATCCAGGCATCGAACCGTGCGCTTTCTTTCCAGTATTCCATGACCTGATCAAGACCGTTCAGGACCAACTTGTGACCCATAGGCACCTCACAATAGCACAGAAACGTCAGCACCTCCACGACCAGTTTTCTAGTCTGGAGATGAGGCGATGTTATTGAGAAACAGAGAGATGTGATACATGGCGAGTATCGGATGGCTTCCTGCGCGCCCCAACGGTTGTTCAGCAGAGTCTTTAAGCATTTGACAATTTCGAGCTCCATTGCAAGGTCAGCATCGCGTCTAGAAGTGGATAATTAGAACGAGAAATGAGTACTCCAGGTATGGAATGCAGAAGTATAAAAGTAGCGAGCATACCTTGATGGACGGCGGTTGAGTACTGCGAGTGTGCTGCATAGGACCTGCTGTCCACTGCTTTGGATAAAGGACCGTACCCATCTACAAGAGCAAATGAAGATCGACGTTCGGACCAAAATAAGTTAGACTCGTTAAACGCAGCACAGCCACCAAAAGCGAAAAAAAGGTAAAAAGTGAAACATACGAGATGGGCTGCGACTTTAGAGACACATTGAGCGCAAGCAGAAACTTTGGGTCGGTGTTCCTGAGATCTCCATCTGCCTGTAGCTTGCGGATGAAATACTCTGGAGATGACTTGTCGATATATCCCCCTTCCCTCTTTTTAGCCTATGTAGGTGAGACATGTCAGAGAACAGAATAACAAGGAACACCGAACCATTCCAATGTTTTGGTTCGTTTCATTTAGTGTGCAAACGGATCCATTGCTTCGCGCGATATCACCACCCCTCTTTTTTTTTTTTTTTTTTTTTTTTTTTTTTTTTTTCGTGACATCTTGGATCAAGCACTCATCTGGCGCCTCTCCGTAAAACGAATCTCGCTTGCACTGCACCGTGGTTAGGCTGCTTACCTTGGACTGCTCTTGAGATTCATGCTGAAAGATCAGTTTCCATTTATTGTCCACGCTCAGATTCAGCATTGCCTTGCGTTGCACTGGTTCATGCATACCCATATTATTCTATCGACATCACGAAAACGTATCAAGCAAAGGCAGTTGTAGATTAGAGTATGAGGGATAAAAGAAAAAGAAAATAACGCCACTGCGAAGCTGCTGCATTTTGCAATCATTTCGCGTCCAGCTTCCGTACGCACCATAAAGTCTAAGAATCGATCCTCGATCTCCTGGTCTGTTCGTGGTCGTGCTAATGACATGGCCTCTGTGCGACCAACCTCACTAACCGTCCCTGAGTTTGACGACCTGTGGGACCGAATGGACTGGGCGTCATGGTTGGGGTGGTTGTGATGACTGATGCTACTGCTGTTTGAATAGGACCTGTCCATGGATGAGGACGAGGAGGTACCTCGCTGACGCCCAGACGTGAGGGTAGTGATCACGTTTAATATCACAGACGGGGTCGGTGTCGAATGTTAATGAAGGGAAGAGTGGCTATGTGGTTGGAATATCGATGCAAATAAAGGCGAGGAAAAAGGAATTTGCTTGGGCAAGTAAACGAGTTGGATAGTTCAAGGAGTGACCCTTCACAACTGGCCTGCTGTTGTTGCTGTCGTTATTTAGCAGATGTCCGTTGTCGTTGTAGATTTTTCCCGATCTGGCATATGCGTCCGTGGAGAGGCTAGTCTAAGAATAGTCTGAATCCTATGGCTGCTTGAGGGGAGTGAGGTCAATGGCCTTAGTCAGTGCTATCCCTGGGGGTAATATGTGGTCCTGGGGACAAAGGATGTCAAGATGGAGGAGAGAAGTGACTGAGGTCCTTCTATTAAGATTGAAGTCGGTGTAGAGGCAAGGGTGCCCGCGGCTACGATGGATGGGCTCTGGGAGAGAAAGAGGCGGTGACGGGTAGAGAGTAGGAGGAGGAGGAGGAAAAAGAGGTGTTCTTGCAGAGACTTGTCCTTGAAAAAGGTCAGGCAAACTAAAGTATCGCAGGAGAGTGAGGTAGTGTAGGGAAGGTGCTCAGAGGTGCGCTGTGTGTGCAGATGGACGCTGGGGTTGGATTGGAATGGTTGAACTGAATTGATGGACGGGCGTGCTTAGGGCAAGGTGGAAGGGCAGGTCTCGCTTTGGAATAGCAAAGGGCTGGGTACGAGACAAGAGGGCGCGTATATAAAAAGCAGATCTCTTGCTGCTGTCGTGGAGAGATGAATGAGGGTCCATTGTTGCACAGCTAGGCTGCGAGGAGGATATGAATCAAAAAATAAAAAATGGCTGCAGATCCCATTTCCCAATGGTGGAGGGAATGAAAGGAGATAAGAAACGGTTGCAGCTGTCTGCTGCAGGAGTGCCTGTTAGCTCAGAGCAAGAGAAAGGTCCCAGCCGGCGCCTTCTCAGCTCTTCTAGTATACCAATGTCGAGGGTCATGGTTACGGGAACCCCATCTTCAGGTCCAAGGGGCACGTGTCTGCATCCATGCGAACCAGAGAGTGGGGCTACCGATAATTCAAAGGAGCAGGCGCAGCACATACACCGTAGAATCTCCCTGACGTGTTTCACACTGCAGACAAAAGTGCCATGGTGTGGCTACAACTCGTCTCTTTTCTGCCTCCCTTCGCCATCAACTTCTGATTCCTTTCCTCTCATTCATTTCTCATTCTCTTCATCCTCCATCAACTTCCCATTCCCATGTCTGGCAAACAAAGAACGCTCTATGTCGCGGGATTCAGTCAACGATCGCGCCCCAAAGACATTGCCTATGAATTTGAGAGGTAGTTGTGCATAACTTTCTTTTGTCAACTCATTCCCTTCCAAGATGCCTTGTAGTACATGTACATATTTTCGCCTTTGAAGGTACAAAGAGCGGCCAATTGACCCTGAAAGTTCTTTCATTGTAACTCCTATCGTAGATTTGGGCGATTGGTTCGGTGCGATGTTCCAGCTCTCCGGAACAACTCCTCCAGACCGTAAGTTGACCAACAATAATTTCCTTGGTGCGTTGTTACTCAACAGCCCGCAACCATTATGTCGATCAGCTCTGGATAAGGATCGGCTATTGAAGTTGTCACTGTGGCTATTATCAACCAGCAAGGACATATGTGCCATGAGGATCAACTGAAGACAATAGGGAGGTTACTTCTCTGGCATAAGGAGGTGTGGTAACTGTAAACTTTTTTCCGTGGATGGTGACATTATGTTACATCTGGAGCGCGAGGGGGGGGGGGGGGGGGGGGGGGGGGGGGGAAGGGGCTGCATGCAAATCCACATCAAGGTTCTCATTGTTTCTCAACACGCATCTTTTGTTGCAGTGTATGGTTACGATTTCCACACTGGCTCGTTGTTCCTACCTTCTCAAGTCGAACTCTGTGTCAAAGACTAAGGAAGCTCTCGAGCGGAAAGCCGAACACCAACAGTCGAGTCGGTTTTCTATCGGATCGGCTATCGATTACAGCAAATCTCCTTCCAAAAGTGAATAAGAAGGCATCGCCAGCAATTATTCTTACATGCAGCTGGACAGCTACTTACCATTGACGGAACTCCTATGATGTCTCTCCTCCAACAGCTACGCCTTTATCGAGTATGAAGACGAAAGGGACGCCCGGGACGCCTATAACGAAATGAGAGACGCCCGCTTTGAAGGACACCGTCTGAACGTACAGGTATTCATCAGCGTTCGTCACCATATCCTTGATTGCTACTTTACTTGTAGTGGAACTCATCACGATTTTGATGTCTACCCGTAGTTTGCGAAAAACACGCCAAGCTCGTCCTGGAGATATGAACGCGAAGGTGGTCATGATCGATCCAGATCACCTCGACGCGCCCGCTCACCTGCCCGTCGTCGTTCTCCTCGTCGTCGCTCTCCTAGCCCCACACCGCGTCGTCGATCAGCAAGCCCTCGCCATGGCTCGTCCGGTTCCACACCGAGTCGTCGCCGATCTGTCAGCCCCCGTAATCATTCTCCCAGACCTGAAAACCGTGGTCGAACTTCCGCTTCGCGCTCTCCGGTCCGTGAGCGTAGTAAGGAGCGCGAAGGCGATCGCAGTGATAACGGCCATGAACGCGCTTCTCGCTCTCCAGACCACGGCAAGGAAAGTCACGGCAAGGACAGCCACGACCAGGACAATATTGGCGATCGATCTCGTTCTCCTTCGCCTAATCGACGCTCAAGCTCGCCTCAGGACCATGCTATGACTCCGTAACAAGGTTCGATAGCAAGACAGACAGAGTAACAGCAGACGAACGGACACCCATGTCGAAGAACACATATGCATAAGAACATACAATTACAAGACCATAATAAAAATGGGTACAGAAGCCAACTTTAGTAAGCCATGTGCTCTACAATGCTCTACAATGAGACCTCTAGTCAAAGCACCACATCTTTCAGCTAAGACAGCATTAGACAGTGGCCTTCTTGAGCAAGAAGGAGACCAGGTCTACCTTGGTGACCACGGCCTTGACTTTGGATCCTCCCTTTTCTGTGACAATGCCCGCAGAGTTCTTTTCGAAGAATGCGGTCAGATCCTCCAACGGCGTCTCATCCGTGATCTCCTTGAAGTGCGCGCCAGCCTTTTCAAACTTGAACATCACATCCCTGACCTGACTATCAATCTGCACACGTCCTGAGGCGATTCTCGACAGCAAGTTGCCCAAAGTGACCAAGCCAACTAAACGTCCATTCTTGGACGAGACCACAGGCAGCTGATCGAATCCATTGCGCTCCATCAACATGATGGCCTCGCGACCGGGCGATGTGTTGGTCACCGTAACAGCAGCCTTAAGATGCAAATCGCCCACGGTGGCACCGCCCCACTGCAATTTCTTAGACTGCTGCTCCTCGACCATAGCCTGATCTGTGAATTCGTTCTCCTTCATCCAGCCATCGTTTAAAAACTTGGTCATGTAGTTGCGGACAGAATCCGGGAGGAGAACCACGCAGCGCTTGCCAGGTCCAAGTTCCTTGGCAGCCTTGACAGCGGCAGCGACAGCAGTTCCTGAAGAGCCACCGCAGAGAACACCTTCTTCGCGAATCAGACGTCTCGCCATGATAAACGACTCTTTATCTGCAGTCTTAATCCAGCGGTCGATTAAGGTGCGGTCCAGCACCTCAGGGACGAAATCATAACCGATACCCTCGACCTTGTAGCCCTCTGTTGTGGTGTTGAGCGCTTCTGGCTGGGCAAGAATGGAACCATAAGGATCGACACCCACGATCTATGCGAACATAAAAAAGAAATACCAAACATCGTTTAGCTTGCTGGCAGATTGCGTCATGCGGGCGAAAAATGACACGACTACACCGGGATCACTCACAATGACGTTGGGACAGAGGGCCTTCAGCTTCCTGGCAATGCCCGTGAGAGTTCCACCGGTTCCAGCGCCGGCGACCACCATGTCGACCTGTCCATCGCAAGCCCTGTAGATTTCTTCAGCGGTATGATCGTAATGGGTCACAGGATTGTACGGGTTAGAGTATTGGTCCAGAATTACAGAGTTGGGGATCTCCCTATTCAAGCGCTTTGCCACTCCAATGTGCGATTCGGGCGCATCCCATGCAGCCTCGGTAGGTGTGCGAACAATTTCTGCGCCGAGGGCCTTGAGGACATCGACCTTCTCCTGGGACATTTTTTCAGGCAGAGTGATGATAGTGCGGTAACCCTTCACGGCTGCAGCCAATGCAAGACCGATACCTATTACGTATGCCATCAAGCAAAGTTAGAAAGGCGTCATATGGGCACAGTCCTGTAATTCATCCCATGGCTCTATTGGCTTACCAGTGTTTCCGGATGTGGGCTCAATAATGGTGTATCCAGGTTTTAGGCGACCGTCTTTCTCTGCCTCGTCGACCATGCGCTTGCCGATGCGATCTTTGACAGACCCTCCTGCGTTGAAGAACTCGCATTTGGCCACTAAGTTCAAGTGGGGGAAAGCAACCGGTGAGCGGCATGATCAAACGAACGTTTCTTGGTGGCGATTCCAAAAGCGCAAACAAGGTCTCTTAAAGACTTACACAGTTCGCACTGAAGGCCTTCGGACTTTGCGATTCTGTTTAGTCGCACCATGGGCGTGTTGCCAATGTGCTCCAGGATATTATCCAAGATGGCTGGTTCAGGCTTGCTAGACATCGTGTAGGTCGTAACGGGATATTGTGTCAAAGTGTCAGCTTGAGGATAGGCGTAATGCAAATAAAGAGTAGTCTCCAGCAAAATCGATCAAGCTCATACTGATCCTCATGTCTGTGAGCGCCAACCTGGTTGCACCCTTTGTAGCCGCAGTTGGTTTCTGACATTGTGGTGGAGTGTGTTTTTTGTTGTCGTGGGGAGGAATGAGGATGGGGAATGATGGAAGGAAGGAATCGTGCAGCAAGGGGGTTCAATAGGACGGACTCTCAAGAATCTTTCTCACGGTCGCAGTCCGTGCGATTAGGAGCCTAGGCCAGTCAAAGAAAGCATGACATGAGCACGCTTATTGACCCCACAAATCGAATGTCGGTAACAATACAGGGCCTCCACCATCCATCGCGCCAATGTGGATGCTGATGGCTGAGCTCGAAGCTCTACAACGTCTGCGATAATGCATTCGCATTGAAAAATAATCAGCGAGCAAAAAAAAAAAAAAAAGAGCAGCAGAATCTGGAGACCGATAAAGTTGCCAGGGCGCAGCACAAACGGTTCAACTCCCGATGAATATGTGTGATGGGTTTGAATGTATGAACGTGTCTTTAGTTCCGATGACTTGTATACATATGCCGTATCATCGAAGAGGGGAAGATCGAAACAAAGAAGAATGCTCACATCCATCCATCTGCAGCCGCTTCCTCCGGGAACGAAAGCTGGACAGCGCGTTTGAGCCATGCCAAGTATGCGTCCGTGTTCTGCTTGTCCGGCTCAGGTCCCAGCTCATCCGTAATACCGTACCTCTCCTCAAAGTCCCCATCTCCATCCAGCTCCTCCATCACGCCGCGTTTCTTCCTCCTCCTGCCGATCCCAATACCGGCGAGGCTGAACTCGATCTTCAAGAACACGCCGACTTGGTCCTGTGAGTATCGGATCTCAGCTTCATATCCGACGCCCTTGGTCCCGTCCACGGTCGCCATGATATCAGCGGTCAGGTCCACCACTACAGTTGCGCCGGTAAGGATACCAATATTCTGTGGGAGAAATGTCGTGACCATAAATACCCAGAAATTATACGAACTAGGGATCTGGATACCAAAGAGTGGCGAGGTATCCACACCGCTGGGCTTGATAGAAAATGATTGTGCGATCTGAATCGCACCAAAGGGAAAGCCCTTCCAGGAGACGTCTGCTGTGAGATTATGGATCCAGAGCGTAGTCGCCAGTGGATTCAGGATCTGGACCTGCAGCATAACCTTGTGGTTGTTGAGGAACTGTCCAACTGTGGTGTTACCATTTCCGCCCACAATCAGTTTTGGCGCAGGATTCATCCCAGGAACCGTCGTCGACATTTTCAGGCTCTCCATGATGGGTGCGAGGGAGACAATTGGGCTTGATTTGGTGTTGCCGTAAATTGAGGCTTCAAAGTTGGTACCGACGATATACTCTGTAAAGAAGGCGTTTCGAAATGTCGTGTTTGTGGGTTGAAAATGCACAAATGCCTGCAGCGGGTTGGGTCCCGGACTCAGTTTTAAGTTGGTGATCATGACTTCACCCACATAGTCAGTCATTCCGTGGACGGTCGCATTAATTTGGAGGGTTACTGGTCCTGCTTCGACTGTAAAGATGGAGGGATTGTCGATCACAACGGTAGCGTTGAGGACCACATAATCGACTGTTGCACTCGCGACCGCAATTCCATTGAGCTGTGGTGTCATCTCGCCAAAGTTGACGCCCTTCAAAGTCAAGCTAGTGTTGAACGGGACCGTAATGTTGACCTGACCCAAAGATGTCGATGCGACACTCTGTGCACTGCCTAGAATATCGAATAGAGCAGTGTCCTGATTTGTAACTGCAATCAAGAATTTGCCAAACTGATCGTGCGCATCTGGCCGGATTGGCATTTGCGAAGGCGGTAGGGTGAATGAGATATTGTTGTGGATCATATCCGAGTTGTTTCTGTTCCAGACAGCGGTCGTGATATCCGCAATGGATACGCTTTGATACCCAAGGGTCAGCTTGGGGTCCCAGATATCCGTGATATTGAGGGAGAGGTTGAAGGGCAACTGAAACATAGCAGCGATGCCTGTTGAAGCAGCGGTTGGGGCCCAAGGTTGTTGGGCGCTCATGATTAGATTCAAATCCTTGATGTTGACCTCTTTGATCATATTCATTGGAGTTGGTGCCAAGAGTGGAATGGCCATCCTTGTCGCTACAATCGCGGCCGTAATCCACGAAATGTTGTGTACACCGTCAGGGAGTACAGATACGCCCTGACCGTAGGCTGTAGTCGGGGTATTGGCCAGATAATTGGAGATCATGCTGGAGAGCTCTTGAAGTGCTAGCGGATCTGTCTGCTTGTTGATCATGCCGTCGAGTTGCAGAGTGGCGGGCTGGTTGCCGATTAGGGTCACATTTCTGGCGGTAATCCTGCCGAGGTACGTGCTTTTGAGGCTCATGTCGATCACTAGTGTCCCTAAGGACATGCCGATGGGCGAAGGGTTCGGGATTGAGACTTTGATAGAGACGAGGGCTCCTGCTCCGTTCGGCGCGTCCGAAGGAATGTCGAACGATAAAATCTTTAGATTGGCAAAGTTGCTTAGTCCTATATTGAAGGAAAACAGCCGTGGGAAGGTGTTATAGAAAAGCTTGGTACAGTGGATGCATCGTGTCGTACAAATGCGTTCGCTGCGTTCTTACCAGAGAGATTAAGGGACTGTTAAGTCTGAGATTCTTAATAGTCCTTCCGATGACCGATACATCGATCTGTGCTGTTATCCTCCACAGGAATGTGTCCGATGCCATCTATGCGTTCGGGCAATAAAGAAAATCGATGTTCGGGAGGACCAGATGGGTAACAAATATATAGAGAAATGTATAAGTTTATGATTGTGAACCAATTCTAGATGAGAGCCATAAACAGCACAAGGGGATCGGGGTGCAGAATGGTTGCACATTCAAGGCTCTTACCATGACCTTGGCAAATTCGCCAAAGAGATGTGAGTCCACAATCTCAAAGACAGTCGCCTGTGTGAATTGTGCTTTTGAAAAAGCTCGCTTCTCAATTGTGTCCAGGTTCATTTGTCCGACCTTAGTTTGATCTCCCTGTTCTCTGACCCAATACACCTGCACAGGGGTCTGAAATTCGACTTTGGCTGCAAACATCGAGGGGATGCCGAGTATCGCGGCTTCAACGGAGACTTGAACAGACCGCTCCTGCGGGTCGGTCATATTCATCTGAGAGATCTTCATTGTGCTCGTATTTATCATTGCCTGCGCAATCTTTGGGAGTATGACGATGAGAAACAGGGGTAAGATTATGACGAGAAAGAGAGCTGTGGAGATGGTACAGGTCCACCAAAATCTGCGTCGGCGGTAGAATGGCTTCTGGTAAGGCTTGATGGAGGCTTCATTTTCGTATTCTACGAATGATTTCATGCCACCATCGTCGTCGTTGTTACCACTGTAATTTTGGAGTACAGTATGCTGTTTGCCGCAATTGAGGGAATGTGGTGTTGATGTATATATCTTCTCTTTAGTGCCTCCCCTGCTCTGCGAAGATTTTTTTGATCGGATAGACGGCGATGTTCTCGTGGAAGAGGATGTAGAGACGAAGGAGTAGAAAGAGGAAGGCTTGCTCCCTGTCTGAGAAGGTGCCCTGGAAGAGAGGACAGCATGATGGTCCTGATAGTCCGTTTCTTCCACAGGGTACGGTAGTGCTGAGTTGTGTTGGTCCTGTATCTCTGGTACCATTTTTCCTGAAGACACGCAGACGAAATGAAGAACGTTGGAGGCAAGGAGGGGAAAGGAGGAAAAGAAGAAAAATATAGGAAGAGAAATGTAGGTAGAGATAGCCTTGGGAAAAGATCGTTATTGCTGCTGAGTTTTTTTGCTTATGCTTATGCTAATGCTCATGCTTGTGCGTCTTAGTGTCACAGGCGCACAGTATCGGCTCTCAAGTGAGAAATGCAATAGTAATATCGATCGCACTCCACAGATGAAACAGAAACACGAGCACAGGCAACCTTCTACTGCATGTAAAGGAGCCCTATCATAAGCTTTCCTAATCCTTCCCCTCTAGATGCAGAGCCCTACAGTAGATCATGAATGTGATATTCTTTTCCATGCAGCATGAGTCCAGGTGGCGCGTATGCTTCTCTTGGTTCTTGCATATGAAAAGTACATGACATGGTACAAGGGCAAGGGTATCCCACAGAAACCCATACGGAGTACATTGTGTTCTTGGATGCATGCATATTTTCATATGGACGCAATAAAGGCTTTTACGCATCCTTCATGTGGCATCTGATATATATATGGACTATCTTCATAAGAACGCCTTGGCCTGCTGGGCTGCGCTCTTGAGGCCATAGATCACCGCGCCGCGTGCTACAGCCAGCTCTGCTTTTTGGACCATCACCACTTTCTTTATCAGCCCTCCGCCAGCATTGGATTGAACCCCGTCAGAAACCATGCTCGACTGGCACAGTTTACGGTACAAGTACTTGTTGGCTCCGAAACCGCCCACGAGGAATAGACAGACGCAGACAGCATGCACTTTAGACTGTTCCTGAACCAGCTCCTCGATCCTTTCAATCACTGGGTCAAAAACATCTCTGCACAGTATCTCTCCGCTCAAAGACATGTACTCATCCTCCATCCAGCTCGGTGGCGGGTCCAGCTCATTCATATCCAGTCCCATAGGCACCAAAATATGCTTGATCTCGTCCTTGGAGTTTGCATCAAATTGGAACTTGATCTCGTCAAAACTCTCAAGCAGCGTTTCGAGCGCTTTCTGGCGCTGGGGTTTGGCATCTAAATTAAAACCTGCTAGTCGCTGTAAAACAAGGTCCTTGAACTTCCGGTCGAGCATGACCGAACCACAATTCTCAGCATGCGAACTTGAAAGACGCACGAATTGACGCACACCGAGCGAGTCATCAACACGGAATGCAGTGACATGTGTTGTTAATCCGCCTGCATCACAGATCATAAAGATATCCCCGTCCTTGAGAGACTCGAATTCTACACAGTGCTCACGGCAAAAGGTTGCAGCAGCCTCTGCCTCTGTGATGACGGTCAAGTTTGATGCAGGTGTCTGTAGGATAATTCCTGCTTCGATATAGCACCTCAGGACCAGCTCCCGTGTAGGCAACGTCCATGCTTGTGGGATCGTGATGCAGTAGTGCATTGGGACTGATTCAGCTGAAAGAACCTGGCTCTTGTTGACTTCCTCGATAACATGGCGGTGAATGCTCCGGATATACTGTGTGAAGACATCAGTCAGATGTAAACCATGCTCTAGACGACCACACGCGCCTTGATCAAAGAGTTGCAGCTTGTAGTCGCGCATGAGGACATGATTGGCTCTGCATCGCTTATAGCTTGAGAGTGCGGAGGACCCCCAACTAACGAAAGCCTTGTCGTCGTTCGTCTTGTATAAACTGACCGTCGGTACTTTGGCATACGCGTTCAGATGTTTTGGCCTAGCAATGAAAGCGGCGGGTGTTAACGTCTTTACTCTCACAGGGAGCAATACGAGCAGACCAGGATCCAATATCTAGTATCCATTAGCAAGGGCCTACCATTTCACTACATCAATCATCTCACCGTCGTTCTGGTGTGCGTAGGACACTCCAGTACATGTGTTTCCAAAGTCAATTCCAACGACGATTCCTGTCCGCTTCGGCATCCTTCGCCTCCATTCCATTGAGATCTTTGCCCGCTCTGAAATATTGACGATTCTGCCATCCTTGGTCACATCCGTATCCTCACCCCAAAAATCCGCCAGCAATAAGTTCCTTCGCTGCTTGATCTATGGATAAAGATGTCCAATGGTATTGTAACTAGTCAGTATATGAATCCAGCATCTTGTATGCATGCGGAGATAGGTGTTTTCAGCAAAAATCTAACCTGTATCCGAGGGACGGGGCGTTCGAGAAGGACCTTTGTCCTCAGGGGATTTTTGATAATGCTAGGAGGTCCTGCGGCTATGCAATCGTGATTGTTCCATGGTGGCAAAAAGCACAAACACCAAAAAAAAAAAAAAAAAAAAAAAAAAAAAAGGTTGGAATGCCATGAACAAGAGCAGAGGCGCATAAAAGATGGAATCTAGCAAGCTTTGACAACCCCTACCAATGAGGATTGGTCGCATGTTGCTAGCGAGAGGCATCTGTGGTAAACTAGGAGAGGATATCAAAGTTGCAGGGCCCATTCTGGCTGAACCTGGCGGTCGAATAACGATCGGAGGGCGAATGACTGTGGCGGCGGCCATGCTCACATTCACTCTTGACGCCGCTGATAAGGAGGGCGTCCCGAATCCAAAAGGAAGCGGCATGTTTGCGGACCCTACATGGCCAGATGTTGATTGCGGCAGCATTATGAACGACGACTGCGGTGAGCGAGCAGTAGTATTGGTAGCAGCTGAGTGTTCACGGCGATGGTGGGGAGCAGCTTGATGAGCGGTAGTTAGAGGGTTCTGCTGGTGCGAGGAGACATGGGTTCGCTGTACCTGGTACTGAGGGAGTGCAGCAGCATTGGTGGGATGAGGGTGGAGGGGCTGGTGTTGGTACTGGTGCTGCTGGATCTGGAGTTGTTCAATCTGAGGGTACAGCTGAGCGAGGAACATGGGCTGGGCTTGGGACCTGACCGACTGCTGCTGGTGCAGCATGGTAGAAGAAATTAGTGGCGCGATATCAAGGGAATGGTGCAGTGGTTCTGGAATGTGGGATGCGTGCTCTTGCGCAGGGTCTAGTAGTTGTCTCTGTGCTCTTCAGGAAGGGGGGTAATCATACACTGCAGTGGGTGAGCCAGGATATATTCTTTGAAGCTGTGGGTCCAGTGTTGGGGGAGGGGAATGAGGAAGACGAGCTCGATGAGGAAGAAGAAGAATGAGGAAGAGGGCGAAGAGAATCAGCTCCCCCTCGCCCTCTGCTTTCTACTTCCAGCTGCTTCACAAAGGGGATGGATGACAAACAGAAATCCCTCCGAGGCACCTTCTTCGGCCAAAACACACACACACACGCACCTTTCATTGACCAATAAAGACTTTGCGGGAACTTCCTGCACTGAATGCATTCAAATGGCACGTCCTTACATGTTCTATTCCAGTGGTATGGATGTGTATGTGAATGATATGCAGCCAGCCCGGTGCCATCTTGCCAACCATGGTCTCTTGTCTCCGCCCTCAAAGCCCACGGGGGAGCGTTCTTTTTTTTTTTTTTGCTCACTTTCATTTTCATGCCAAACCTTAAAGCCACGAGCCATTTTTGTTCCTCATCACACATATCCCCCATTGACCATCGGCCCTAACCCATCGGCATCTTTTGCCTTCTCTTCTTCTTTCTCATCCCCAGCCAGACCTCCTTGAATCTTCTGACTGTTTCGCTCTTCCATTTTGAACCGTGCTTTAAGCCTTTGGGGATCACCACACCTCAAGCTTAAGCTTGTCTTCATGATAGGCATCAACCACAGGGACACCACCAACGACAGTAAGGCACCCATCCAAGAGTCTACCATGGCGCCTCCTTCGTCTGACACTGTCCAGGACCCCTTGCAAAAGGCGCAGCCGATGCAGGAGCAGGAGCACCGACAGGGACAAAACAGCAACAGCGACTCTAACGACAACTCGCCCAAAACGAACTCTATAAAGACTATGGATACACCTGTCGATGAAATTAACATCGATGCGCCCAGCAAAGACAGTGGGATCGCTACAGAAGTAACAGAAGCCATAGAAGTAACCGCATCAGTACCCAGAGAAACGTCAAGGCTAGATTCTCGGTTGAGTCCAACATATGCCGTGTCTGAGGACAAAGCACGCGATGGGAACAACAAAGGTCATCAGGATATCCAGTCCGAAGTGGGACTAGAGAAGCAACTGGATGGGAACCGCGAGGATGCCACATCTGATGAAGCCACCAAAGAAACACAACCAACGCAGTCAGCACAGCTAGACGCCTCCATAGCCAGTGTCGACCAGCGTACTGGACAGCCGCTATTGTCGCAACATCAGGGTAGTAAGTTCTTTCATTGCTCTCAATGTACATATCACGCATTGTTGCACATGGCATTTGTGCACTCCACTCGCGGAAAAAATAACAGCAATGTGCATCGCCCACTCTTTTAATCTATAGTGATAATTGTGACAAAGCCAAAGCTGAAGAGACCACCGCTCCGACCCATAGACCTCGACAGTGTGCCCAAAAAGTCGATTCTGAAGAAGGAGAGTGCCTATCCATTTATTGAGCAACCAGTTAGGAACCCGATTTTTAAATCCCAATGGCTACAGAGCACCGTCAGCAAACTTGTGGTCATGAGTGGCCCAGCAACTCCAACTGCCTACACCGCCAACTCCCCCTCAATGTTTCAGAAGTTAGTGACCCAAGCAACAGCCGCGACGATGGCGACCCCGCCATCGTCAACAGCATCCGCAGGGCCGAATGGCGTACGCACTCGGAGGCCTGGAGGACCACCTATTTTCGCCAACAATGAGCGACCTCACTCTCTGCTGGATTCCAACGGGAGCTCAATTTCACTGCTCTCGGACAAGTCTCTGAAGCGCGTCCGGTTTTCGGTTGGACAATTGACAACAGAGCATGTATTTCACCATGACGATGCCTACGAGTCCGCGGATGAGTCGGAGCCGCAGAAAAACCAAGTGCAGATTGTCATGACGCCAGCTCCGCCTAAGAAACTGCTCACGACGTCCGATGGCGTGATAGTGGACGACAATATTTACACAGCCAAGGAGATTATGAACTATTATCTCGTCGCATGCGACAACCGCGAGGAGTTTCCGATCGATCGCCTTGTCGACGAAATGAAGGTACAGGCAGCACTCGACACGGTGTTCAGTTCAACAACGATAGATATCAAAGACCATTGAAAAGGGGAAACTGACGGCTTTTATTATTATTTGACATTTGCTATCACTAGGTCGCATCGAGCAGACCGTCCAACCCTTTGTTGACCACGATCGATTTATCTAGTATGTACTTGATTCAACAGAAATATCTTTGATTTGGGGTACGCTGGGACTTTTGCTGATTAATTCCCACCTCTCTTGAAAACCTTAGGCGAACAATTGCCACGGAAAGTGCTTGAGCCCATCGCTGATGTGCTCACACTGGAGTTTGGGCTGAAGCACCTTTCTCTGGATAACTGCGGTCTCGAAGACGATGTGAGTTTTATGACAGTACTCTTCTTGAAGCCCACACGTCCTTTGGAATGCTATAGTAGACGGCAGCCTTAACATGTTATTCTGCTCCGATTCCAATCCTGGACCACATCATAGACACTGAAAATGATGCTCTACAGCATTCTATTAACGGATACATTGACGGTGCTCAGTCTTCAAGACAACAAGAAGATCAAAACAACTGGATTCAAGTACATCTCAGTCTTTGTGAAGAAAGTAGGTTCTCTATACGAGCATCGCGCTCCACCGTGCGCTCCTCTACCGCCTGAGCAAGGTTTCACATCTGATACGAATTGCCCATTATTTAATTTTTAATATTAGACGAAGGCTCTCAAGTCATTGAACGTCTCTGGAATTGCAATGGACAAGCGTTCAGTAGAGTTCCTAGCTCACGCGCTCAGAATCGGTCGACTTGGCTTTGGATCAAGGCTTGAAGAGTTGCGCATGGATCGCTGTGGGTTGCGCGGGAACCTACTGGAAATCATGGGTAAGGCATCTGAGCGATGACATTTCTAAGAATGTCTTCTTCACATGATCTTGACGCGTATCTAATCTACCTTTGTTTGCCCTCTTCATATAGCACCGGCAATAAGAGAGTCAAATCTGAAGAGCGTGTCCATGCGATCCAATAGGATTGGTGCATCTGGTGGTGTCTGGATCGGCGTTTTGCTGCGGGATTACGAGGATCATCCAAATGCAGTCATTCCTATCAATAATGAGGAGCAGGGATTCAGAAGAGTGTTTCCAGGAATATCCAATCCAGAGCTCTTGAAGCGCATGCATGGAATTGAAGTTTTGGACATTTCCGATAATGATCTCCGCGTACGTATTGAATCAGTTTGCTCCGCACCGCTGTCAGTATTCGAATTAGAAAGGAGCTGGTTGCTGACAATCGCGCTTTTAATTGTCCGAAACATAAAAGCAAGGTGCAGACTATGTCGCTCAAATGTTGCGCCGGAACATGTCACTCAAGAGCCTTGTCATGGCAAACAACAATCTTGACCCTGCCCGCCTCGCTGTCCTTGCCGATGCTCTGGTACGAAGTCAGATCGATTATATAGCGATCAGGGTTACTGAGTGCCTTGTTCGACTGGTCTAACATTGTAAACGATGTTTCGCTTATTTTATTAGAAACTTAACATCGGATTGGAGTCGCTTGACCTCAGCTACAATCGCGTGTGCGGGCCTATCGTCAAAGGACTTACCAGCCTAATCCAAAAGCTGACATTCAACAAGACGCTCACCAAGCTCACACTCTCCAATACTGGCCTTCAATCCGAAGGAGCCATCGCTTTGGCGGAATTCCTGCCCGAGACACGTACCCTGACTCAGCTGGACCTGACAGGAAACGACCTCGTGGACATTGCAGGAGCCATGGCGTTATCTGTCAGCATTCGAATGAACAAGAGCTTGACCTGTTTGGACATGAATGTTCCGCCAAACGATGCAGAGTTTGCACGTCTCTCCCGCGACATCTTGCGTGCATGTATCCGTAATATGGAGGAGAAGACCGGATCGAATGCTGGAATGCCATCGCCGGACGATATGCCGACCAACACTATCTTCCGTCAGCCTTCTTCTGTCCATATACCCGAACCTACTGCCACCACCGCTGAGGATAGACGGTGGTTGTTATTAGAGGGCGTCGCTGGAGAACTCTATCGGACGAGAGAGACTCTGAATGCTATGGAGAAGGCAATGAATCATGAGAAGGCAGTGCGCCGAAACTGGTCGGAACACTTTTACCTCCTTCTAGTAGAAACAAACGAGCAGGCTGCCCCATCGCCCGTGGCGAATGGTCAAGTCGGAGAGCCACAGGAATCATCAACAGTTACTCCAGCGGCACCCGTTCCTGTCCATCCAGAGAGGGAGAAGATGATCGCGTTCTCAAAGGGCATCCTCTATCGTGCCTCGCCACAAGTTGAGGTAAGAAATCTGTCTTGTTGACCCAGCGTTTGCCAGGAACTTGAAGAAACAAAAAAGAAAGAAAAGAAAATTGTCTAGACTAATTCAGAACCCTGCATGTACTCTAGCAATTATACCACCAATGCAAGCGCCACCAAGTTAACATCATGAACTTTACAGCCAGGACTGATAATGATAAAGCACTACACGAACTGGATTCGATGTTCAATCTCCTCAACTTTTTCTTGGAAGCGTACCGTGGACTGTTTGCGTTGCCAGAGATACCCGCGAACTTCGTTGTTAACAAGAGGACCAACTCTTTGCCGCCTGCGGATTCAAATATTCAACCTGTACCTGTCTCGGACTCTTTAGAAAAGCCCAGCGAACAGCTTGTGAACGGAGACAAGCAGGAGAAGGGTCAGGATCAGAATCGGAGTCAGAATCAAAATCAGGGTCAGGACCAGGGCCAGGACCAGAGTCAGGATCAGGATCAGGAGCAAGTTGTTCCAGAAGTGTTTACAGAGGAGCCGAGCGACGATTTGGAGTCATCCTTCTTATTGGAAGATGAGGATGATATGGATGATGAGGTATATACGAACGATGCCCTGATCGATGTTCGGAGGACCTCGCTTTTAGGAGAGCACCGTTCTACGACCCCTCCAATCGCAGATGAGCACAGTACGGGTAACGTTGGTGGTTACCATGGAAAGGAATTGAGGCCCACGCCAGTGACGACATCAGGGACTGATCGTACGGATGGTGAGCGATCACCTTCGACGCTGGCGAGTCCCCTGGAGAAACTGCGAAAGGCAGCGGAGGAGGAGGAGGGCGAAGGTATGCAGAAGCTCACACAACCACTTGCTCTTCCAATGGTCTCTTGTATGTTCGTTGTCTGACTGAAGCCCCATCTTCTGTGTCATTTGAAAGTTCTGCGCCGAGGAAAGGATCTTTTAGAGAATGAGCTTGGTAATGATCTCGTAGACGAAACCATGACAGGCGAAGAATTGAAAATCCAGGTGCGTGCAAAAGAGAGCCGTTGTCTGAAAATTGGCCCGTGCACGAGATGCCTTTCTCTGTCTAACTTGACATCTGCGCTTCTTTTTTGTATTGTGTAGATCCTCGCGTCCGAGACCGACCTATAGACGAAAAAAAAAAAATGCATATATGATTGAGAAGGATGCGAGAGGCCCCGCAATGGTTCCTTTCTGCCGCATAATGAAATAAACTGTGTACAAAGGAAAATAAAATCAACGTGCTCCAATGGCGCGCGTCAAGGCTATGCCCTATAAAATCCGGCGTGTATTTCTTTGGCAAAACTAAGGTGGTCTCTGTAGAAACCTCAGTTGCTTGAACGGATACACAGCCCTTTGCCGCCAAAAAAAATTCAGACACTCCCAGACAAACACTCACGACAATATCTTTCGCGTCCCTTCAGTTTGTCCCCTCACTTCTTTTTGCGATAGAAAAGTAAGTCACCTGAGTAAAGGGGTTTCGCTGTTAGGGTTTTTTAGGGTATTTTTATAGCGCGATGACAAACCTAATTTCAAAGAATCCCATTTTGTGACCTGAACCTTGTTCCCCTTGTTTGATGCACGCTGCCACAGTGTCATCATTCCTTTTCATCATTCCTTTGCCTCATTCCAACTAACCAGCCAACACCGTCTCGCCCTTTGCAAAACCAAGATTTCGCCGCCAGTCAGTCCAAACCAACATCGTTGAAAACATCAACAACAAACACCACCTTACTTTACAACCTCAACAGTCGACTCGAGAGAACTAACAACGCCATGGTAACCCTTACGCGCCAGGCACCACTCGTCGTGGAGGACAGTAGTGGCGCTTTTTGTATCATGAAAAAAAAAAAAGACTAACGCAAAGTCCATGCGCGTGTTTCTAGGGTATCATGCTGACAAAGCTCTGGCGCAAGCTGATGAGTCAGGAGGAGGTCAAGATTGTCATTGTTGGACTGGACAACGCAGGAAAGACGACGGTTCTCTACAAACTGTAAGGAACGAACGATATTGAGCTTCAACGATCCATAGATGCACTCGGCATGCGGGATGTATGGAGGATTTCTACTCAGCTCTGAGTTGTTCTCTTTTGTCCAGGAGGTATGGATGCTAATCTGTGTGTTTTTTTTTCTCATTCATCGTCTCTTGCTGCTAGGCTGCTGAATGAGGTCGTTGTTACCACGCCAACAATAGGATCCAACGTGGAGGAGATTACATACAAAAACATCAAGTTTCTCATGTGGGCAAGTCACCGTACTCTTCTTCCTTTTTTTCGGATACAGATGAAGCAGCAACCGAGCAGCGATATGGGTGCTGGGAGTACTTGGAAAGGAATACAATTAGTCGTAATGGCTGACACCAAGATTTTTTGCTTTGTTAAATCCAGGATATAGGCGGACAAGAGTCTTTGCGCTCATCATGGAAGACCTACTATGTCAACACAAAGGCTGTGATCATGGTCATTGACAGCTCTGACAAGGAACGCCTGCACATTTCAAAAACGGAACTACACACGATGATGGAAACCGAGGTAAGGAGGGCCTGCCATGTCAAACTTTGAGATGAACTGTCGGGAGGAGTGAATGGGACGACATTGTCACTGACCTATCTCAACCCGAAATGATCTTTTTTTTTTTTTTTTTTTCTGGCGCAACAGTCGCTACGCAATGCAAGTCTACTCGTGTTTGCGAACAAGCAGGATGTCAAGGGCGCATTGAGTGCAGCAAAGATCTCAGAAGCACTTGCTCTTACGTCGTTGCAGGATCGACAGTGGCATATCCAAGCGTGCTCTGCCTTGACAGGAGATGGGTACAGTTCATTAAGCACATTCAATTGAATGTTTTCTTTTTTTTACAGCAGGAACGCATACAAAAGCTGAAACAAACAGCTCACACGAGCGACTTCTTTCTTTCTTTTTTTTCTTTTGAATGGTACATAGGTTGTTCGAAGGACTTGACTGGATCGTGGCACAGATCGGCTCGCACTAAGGGCGGAAGTGATTTGTCTTCATATCACAAAAAACCACAAAGACGTTTCATCGACTCTACCGACGACAGATAATAATAAACATAAACTTGGATTGGGATACATGAAAAACCAGGTGGTTGTGAATAATCTGTACAGGTTGGTTTTTTACTGCGTACTACGCGTCGGAATTTGATCCGCGACTACCTCCATTTTGCTTTCATAGAAGAGCAAAGTGATATATCTACACACAACTCGGCATTTCAAGTTATGCATTTAGAGAGCCTCCTATTCCCAATGTACAGTTACCTTGCAAAGCACCACTCAATAAAGAAAGGACCAGGGAAAAGGAATACATGGGTTTCTGACAATACAAAAATAATGGTGCTACATAAACATGCCATCCTTTGCAATGGCTTCGACGATCCGCACCTCCGAGTCCTTGAAGCACGCATACATCCGTCGCTGCAGCGGCCGAGTATGCCATCCCGTCATGTCTCCCGACGATACAAACGTTGGAACTCCCGATCCTGAAGATGAAGCCCATGATGGATCGAACGTCTCGATCACAAATTCGCGACAGGTCGGCTTTGGAAAATTTGACTGACCGGACCCTCCAACCGAGAACAGTTTGTAGACGCAATCACGCTCAGAGCCATCTTCAACCACCGATTCGGTCTCCTCCAAGATCCTCTCCACCAAGCCGTATTGCTCAGAGAGCTAGCCCACATGTGGCAGATATGTATATAGGACATGCTTTGTTAATTAGAAAGTAAAGATGCTATTTGCAATTGCGAATAGCAAGAGGCATCAAGGAATTTCAATAAACGCAGGCACCTCACCTTTTGCTCTAGGGTAATAAAGTGTCCCATGACCAACTCTGCCGCCTTGAATTTTGCGATAATGGGCTTAAGGTCCAAGTCCTTCTCAGAGAGAGACAGTTCGTTCCAAGGGAAATCTGTCAGATCTTGTGCGAGCCCTTGAAGTGCCTTCGCCACCGTCTGGCTCACCCTTGATACTGGATGAGAGACTAGCGTGTCGTAGGCGAGCAGGAACACTGTCGGAAGCAAGCTGTTAGGACAAAAAAAAAAAAAAAAAAAAAAGAAAAGAAAAGAAAAAAATGAGTTGGGCCACTCTCCAGCTCTAATCTTCATGTGCTGTTGCCTCAAAAATAAAATAAAAAGAAGACACTTACTGGACAAAGACCTGACATGTGGTGAGTGAATTAAGGTAGGCCAGCACCTTGGTCGCCTCTTGGTGATGATCAAATAGAGGCTTCTGCTGTCTCGCAGGAAGAGGTTCCGATTTCTAAGTTGCGTCAAAAATCTTGTTTAGAATGTGCATAAAACGACGATATGTTCCGCCTTCAATAAAAGGTGCTGGATACGGACCTCCCAGAGCTTCTGCCAGAAATTGCCACTGTCTGCCATGCGAGTACTCATCTGTTGCTTTTCATCGTCCCAATCTTTTGGCGAATGCCAGCGGATAAAGTCGCCAAGTACGCAGCCAGGATTGGCGGCCTTGAATGCGCTCATATCTAATACACCAATTAGCAAACGGAGACTTGTATTCAGCGAGTCTGGTCCAGATAATCTATCCCGAAAAAAAAGAGTACAACGAAGAGTCGCCGTTTACCTGAACTGAGCTGTGCAGATTGCATCTGCGCCCTTGTTTTGGCAGCGTCCGTGGAGGATCCCAGGCTCTCAAATATTTCCTCTTGTTCCTGAATCATATCTTCCGTCATATATCCAGCGTCCTAAAACATCATACGATCGGATTAGCTTAGCGCATGAATACGCTACATTAAAAATAGCATTGCGATCAAAAAGTCAATGGAAATTACCTGGAGCCTTGGTACCACCAGGGGCGCGCCCGTCTCCAAGAGGACCAAACCTTTGAATGCCTCACTCTGTGGACCGGTGCTTTGGGATGAGTTCATATCTTTGACTGGCTCTAGGAAGGTCCCTGTCTTATGGTCCATCAAGTTTTGCGTCACTTCGGCCAAATCATCCACTGAATGCCCGGGTTCGTCAACAGCTTCTTTTGAGAGCGTGCTCGCTTGAGTGATGTTATAGTCCTGTTTACTGCTGTCGCTCTTAGCGTCCACACTGGTACCTGTATTTGTGACAGGTCCCGAAGGCACTTCAACCAACAAGGCAGGGTTGGGTGCTGTATTTATGGTTGACTTAGATGAAGTCGGTGATGAAATTGCTGAAAACATGGAAGAAGAGATATCCGCAGCCGGGCTCGAGTCGGAAACACCTTCCTGACGTTCGGCGTTTTCCCGTGCGATACAGCAATTGAGCATCGAGAGCTTTTGGTGCAAAATGTTGAATCGCAAGTCGATCGCTGGTACTTTTGACTCCATTTTGCGACTTCTTTGATCCTCGTCAAGTATCGCCGATTGGTCACCTTCGCGCTGGTCAATGACGGGTTCTGGTAAGACCTGAATCAAGGGTATCATCTCCTTTTTCTCCCAATGTTCAGCGAACTGCTTCAAGAGGTCGGTCCATGCAGCCTTGAGAAATCTCATGAACGATATTGGATAGGAGACATGTGAATTGGGAGCGACCACGTCGATGAGATGTTGTAGCATCTTCCAGAGAAATGAGCCGCACGGAACAGTGGTCGCATGGCGAAAATGAAGGCCCAATTCTGCAGCGGAGACGACTCGGTCAACGCACGGTCCAGATCCCCGGCGTTGGTCTTTCCGCTTCGATGTTGTCGATGGCGGTGCAGAAAGTGGTGATCCTGCAGTAAACAATGCCTGGACAATATTCTCGACATCCACAGCATCCACCATGGCGATAGATCCTTGGATGAGCCGGGCGCCTTTGCGTAGTAGAGACGAGTAGGAGCGCTGATCTCTGTCTGAGGAACGATCCTTGTCGCCTGCCTCAGAATTGCTTGATATCTCCATGCTCCAGGAAGAAATGATATCCTCGAGAATCCCGCTCAAGAGCCCATAGTCATCCGATTTGAAGAGAGGCTTCATGAGCCAAATATTGGCCCGACTTGCGTCCATATCTGTCAAGTTTTTGCTGTCCAGATAAACCGTACTAGGCGCAGATGCTAGTATTGTAGTGGATGCATGAGAATTGACCCATCTAGTATACAAAAGTGCACTCATCGCAGGAAAAGCATGCATCCTAGACCTACCAAATCTCGCCACGAGCTGCAAAGACTTTAAGGGATCATTGACTGGCCCAAACGGTAGGGTCGGTGAAGTTACCCTAGAGTCGTCCGCTGACTGCAAGTCAGCTTCTGTAGCACCGCTCCATTCCCGCCAGTTATTGTCAGGCCACCTGCTCAGTTGATAACTGAATAGTCCGGACACATGAATCTGCTCCTTGACCTCCTGACTATAGCCGCCCGATCCGTCAAGGTCTTCCCCACTAGTTGAAAACTCGTCGTCGATACCCATTCGCTCAATGAACAGCTCCAAGATACCAGAAAGGTTCGTGTACTGTGCCGGAGGATAGGGAACCACTACCGTGTTGAACCGAACCTCGATCGCCTGGTCCTCTGCAGTCTCTTCCAGTCCTAGTTCTGAGTCGCGGGCGTGCGGAAGCTGCGGTTGAATGGAAAGCCCGGTATAAGTCCTGTTCTTAGGGTGACCTGTGGGTACGAACACTGGAATATTGCAGCCAGTGTTTTGAAAGGCGATGGCGAACGATGATAGCAGCAGCTTCGCACTTCCAAGATCAACGATGACTGAGATGGCATCCGACGCAGGTGAAAGGACGAGTATATGTGTTAAGCCCGTCCATCGATGGAGGATGTGATGGTTCTGTCTCTCAAGAGATGTTGCCAGAAAGTCGAGGTCTATCCGTTCGACGCCAGCAGCGATTCGTGCCTTGGCTGGGTGGTATTGGTACGAGAGAATATAGGATGTATTCTCCAGGTTGATAGGCGCACTGTGCTGGTACACTTTTGAGAGGGACTTTGGCTGAGCTTTGCTTGCGCCCACGGGCTGATCGGCAACAGTATCGGAGTTCTGTTGATCCTCGCTGAGGGCCAGCGCAAGCTCCTGGTCGAGGTCTATGGCGCCTTCGGTCGTGGGCATGACGCTGGGGTTGAAGACACCGTAGCTACCGTGTACAAGTCCCCAGTGCTTGAGGCAGTTCTCAATCTGGACAATGAATCTCTCCCATGGTCCCGAAGTTGTGTAGTCAATGAACTCAAAGCTATCAAAGTCGTCTGTCTCCATGGCGCATCACTGTTGCTGGTGTCTGGATGGCGTATGCTTATGTTGGCAGAATCTCTCGGTCCTGTGCTCTTGTTTTAGAAGATAAAAAGACAAGGGAGTTCGGTCGATGCAAACGGATGCAGGGGCACAAGGTCGAAAAGGGGAAAGAGGAGTTTTCTTTATTGTTCAAGGTGCTTCCATGGGCAAAGCGATCGTGCACGGTGGTTTGTCTTCGTGGTGGCAAACATGAAGGGAATGCGTGCGGCACGTGAGGGTCGCACTATCAGCTTGAAAAGTGGACGCCCCGCTGCTGGTCAATGAAAAAGGTCGAGGTGGTAGTCTTGGGTTTGATCAGCACCTGTTCCGCCTCGTTCACATACGATGTTTGGTTGTGTACGCTCCCAGACGCACTTGCAATCGTTATCTTGGGCACATGCAAGGGGCCGGTCTTGAGTGGGACCAGGGATACGGCGTGTGTCGTAGTGGCACCAGGCTAAAAGCAACAGTTCATTAGCTGAGTTAGTCGTTGAGCAAGGAGCAGTTACCGCAACTTAGATAGAGCACTTTTCTTTGTCGCACCTCGGCAGAGAATAGACGCTTCTTGTGTCCGCAAAGCAGCCAGTTTTCATAATCGACCATGATGTCGTAGTAGAAATTGTAGGATTGCTCCCTATCCTTATTCGGATTCCAGTATTCCGAGTTTTTGACCTGCACCTTGAAAGTCGCCGGCGTCCCTATAGTCAGCTCCTGAGGATTGTCAACAATGATCTCCACGGTAGTCAGCACTTGTGATGTCGGAAGCGGCACAGGGAAGGAGATTTGAAGCGGCTGGTTTGAGGCGCTCAGAGCCATGATCTGATCGTATTCCAGCTTCTTGTTATCCTGTATGGTTCAAAGGAGTACATCAGTCAGTACACAGCGCAATGGCTGAATCGACATTGTGTTTCCAAGCCGGTTTTGAGATGAAAAGATACGATTACCGAGAACATATCCTTGAGAATGCCGATCAACGTCTCGCGAGTTTTTGGATCATGATACGCCAAGATAGTCTCACAGCTAGCGACGTCCAGCGGTGGCAACTCCAGGCTGTCTGACATCCCGTAAGCCATATAATCAATGCCCTTCAAAAGATGACTCTTCAAGTGCATCGTGAGGAAAGAGCCATGTTGATCCAGCTGCGCTTTGGCCAGATCTGCCTCAACCATGGATGTAAGAGCCTTCTCGACCTCTACATTTCGCAGATTCAAATGAGAGAGGAAGAACAAGGGCGGAAGCGCGTCAAGGCAGGATCCTTAAAATGGGTTTGAAGGACCAATGTCAGCGCAGTATGCGAGAACTTACCATCGCGTAAACTGTGATACGTAACAATAAAGTGTGCCTGGGGGTCGGTGTCTATAACACGCGTGGCAAAAGCGTTAGTACGTTATCACGCATGTCTTTAGCGCAAAGAATCATTGTTAAATGATTACCTTCCATATCCATTGGGCGGGATATCTTAAACACGAAACTTGCATGCTGCCTAGGAAATAATGTCTGCAGAAGTAAAGGTCAGCCAGCCAGCATTGAGAGAAGGAGAAAGAATGAGACATGATCATTGTCCAAATGCCGTTACCATTTCGCCTGCAAAAGGTGCTTGCTTATATTCTTTGATGCGAGCTGGATGGCGGAGGTCGACATTGAGAATGCGGATAGGAACATAACTTGCACATGTCATATCCAGCTTCAAATTAAGGCTAGAGTTGTGAAAACAGTGCAAAGCACGGTTGTTAGAAGAAAAGAAAAGAAAAAAAAAAGAAAAAAAAAAGATCAAGCACAAGATGCTTAGCGACGGGAATGAAAACTAGGGAAGCGGACATACCAGTCGTCGCGCCAAATAATGGAGTGAGAAACTTGCAGCGGCAGAACTGTCTCAAGACCCGTGGTTAGCGTGAACGTGTGCCGCTTAGAGTTGGGAGTGAGATAATGAACAGCCAGTTTGATCAAATGCTCGCTGCTGTTCTGGTAGGTCTCATATGGGACTGTGATGGCCAGCGTTTCGTTGGGTCCAAAGGCCGGCAGAGAGATGGCCTCATAGTTCTCGAGATCGATATCTCCAGTTGTGGCAGCGTCCTCGCTACCCTCAGATACTTGCTTGGAATATGCAAGTGTTGGGACTTTGAGCAGGGACATACCCTCTGAGGCAGGGTATAGGCTGAGGCTGGCTTCCGCAACCTTATTCCGTCCACTCGACACATGGACCACAAATGTGCTCGTCTGTCCGAGCTCCATCTCCTGCGGCAAAGTGATGCTGGCCTTCAGTGCCTTTGGATGAGAATCAACGCGGAAGATGCGTTTCCTGCTCTCCTGCAGAAAGTCGTACAGGAAGACCAGCTTCCCTATCTTCAGGTAAACCTTCTCCAAGACATATGTCCCCGACGCTAAAGTCTATGTTGAGTGAATGATGCAGCGCTTATTTTTAGTCACAAAAGCCAATTAAAATGGACAAAGAGAATAACGTCTCACGATAACTTACTTCACAAGTAACCCGGAAATTATTCTTGCCTGGCTTCATAACTCCATGCCGGATGTTAAACCATAACTCATCTACTTCGCCGCTGACCATCCTGACAGACAGCTTGTTAAATTCGATGTCCTTTTGTCGGAAGCAGAGGAAGAAAAATTAGGGTCACGAAGTCATAGAAGGATCCCCAGTATGGAGCAGGTTAATAGCCAGTCCACTCACTTTGGGTAGCTTGTTATCTATCATGATATCCACGTATGAGCCATCATCGTCCTGAAGAATGTCGACTACGGAAACAACCTTGACTGCGAACATTGGTGCGAACTCATGATGAACCTCCTGCCTCAGCTCTTTGGACGTTGCAGCGTTGAACAGTTCGTTGGAGTAAAACAGCTTATCGTCGACTTTAAGGTCGTCCATGTTCCTCAGCAGCGTGAGACACGCCTCGGTATATTTGACTGTGTCTCCGAGTTCCTTCAGGCATTTAGCGTGCTTGATGACCAGCTCATTTTCGAGCACAGTCCAGCGACTGTGTCCATACCGCCATGTTATCGACTCTAAAATCCTCGCTGCCTCTGCGTACCTTTTCCTATAGCTACAAAAATGGCGGAAACTTGTAAGCAAACATAATGCAGTATAGGAATGGGAATGTGCTCACTCTGGTGACTTACTATTGGAGTGCAGCGACATCACCGTGAAGAAGTAAGGACGAGCGATGGCGTCCACTTCCATCATATCCTCTGATTGCTCGAGCAGTGACACTCTAGATGGAACAGAGATGATCCCATCAGCACTGGGGAGATGCTATGTAGATGACGTTCTTGACATAGCCCTTCCAAGACTCACCATGTACAGCGTGTCGAATGTTTCGTCGGTAGAGACAGCGTCCAGTAATTCCTTTGACATAGGTTTTCTTTCGGCCTCCTCCGTAGTGTTTAAAGCGGGATCCTCATATCCTAGCGACATTGTAAAAGGCAGCTCCTTGGGAAGTCGGCCATGCTGAATACCAAGCTTGTCCAGCTGAAAAAAATGCATACAATCATAAAGGTTAATATCTATCTCCCTATTTGAATTGCAATAAGTCTGAGATCTCAGCGAATAACATTATGTGGTACCTGTTGACGTGCAAGCTGAAGGAGTTCTGCTTTTGCGCCGTCCAAAAGAACTTGGCTCATATGTGGATCCTCGTTCGACAGAGGGATGGTCTCATCGCATTCGTTCACTATTGACATGCATGCGGAGTAAATCCATGATTCCAGGAAGTTTTCCGTCAGGTTCAGCTATGGATTGGAGATAACGTGCGTCAGATAAGGAAAACACTGAACGGGATATTCAATACCAATACTCGTTGAGTCCAGAGACCGAGACTGCATACCACATGCTCTCGAACGGTTCTAGCAAAGGACGGAATGAATAGCAGCGCTCTGTGGCAAATCTCGATTGGTCGCCGAAGTCGGAAAAGGAGATTACATTGACGTCCAAAGAGATATGTTCTGAAATCAAACACAGATATGGTGTTCTGCATGATCAGGTCCCTATACGGCTTTCTGTCAAGGTCCAGCAAGTTTGCATCGTCGTCTCCCTCCTGCATTCCGCCAAACTTCCCGTACCATGCCAAGGCATTATCTAGAAAGAGTGAGAAGAAAGAAAAAAGTAAGCGTCAGTACGTAAAGCCAAACGACACGAATGGCCCAGGTATACATCGCCTACATACCTCGAAGGATTTGGAAGAACGATGCCTCAAGCTCATCGTATTGCATTAATGCCTCCTCGTGCAAGTTCATCATCTCGTATGCATTGGTAAGGCCCTCCTTGAGGATGAAAAATGTGCAGTAGTTCCACCCAGGCATCTGTCGTTGCGAGTCCAATCGCCGAATATCCTCCTCGAATGTCATCACGTTCTGATCGAAGCTCGCCACGATGCCCTCCTTCACCTTTTCTGTAAAGTCGGCCCAGAGTTCCATCTCTGACATTTCCGTGTCTGCCATCTTCACTTGAGCCACCCTACAAAAGTATCGAGTTAGAAAGGGAAAATGTTAGGGACCCAAAGCATTGCCTCAGTCTAACGGCCTCGAGCGATTTCGCGGATAAAGACGCAGACGCACCTATCCTTCTTGTGAATGTTGAAGTCGGCCTTAATCCTGTCATGGACGGAGGATCGTAGGAACTTTGTAGCCCTTGCGCCCTCCTGGTTACTGATGTGAACAATGAGCCACTCCTGGTTCTTCTTTTTGGTGACACGGTCAATCCATTCCTTGATCTGCTGTTTCACAGTCGTCCTGTACGTTTCATTGTCCTATCATATAGAGGATATGTCTGCGTCAATAAAACTGCGGTTTGTGAGTAGTCTACTGAGTATTACGCCTAAAAGAGAGGAAGTACCTCGCAGTTGACAAAGTAGAGGTTCAGGTACGGGTTCTGAAGCAAAGTCACCGGGGGGAGGTTCATGGAAGACTCTGGGGAGAAACGCCTGAACTCAACATCGAGCATAGCAATATTCCGTTTAGTCCGGTTGTTGCTTGGCCTCCAAACCAAGTTTCGGAGGGGCAGCCGAGCCGCCAGGTCCTTTTCGATATTAGGCAAGTTACCGCTTTCATCGCAGTCTGAATATGAAGAGGTGGGAACGAGAGTGAAGTCGGTGAGCAAAAGAGAATAAGGTCAAGAAACACTGTTTCCCGCATAACGATGATGGGTTCGTATTACAGGTGACAATAACGCGCTTCGGCTCCATAACGGTTGAGATGGGATCCCCTGAAGGCAGCGATGAAGAGTAGAGATGTAGGGGAAGGCGATGCAATTAGGGGTAGAAATGTGCTGGTCGTGAGGGCGCTGGAGCGGGATGATGGTTGCAGCTTCTGGCAATAGGTACGAAGGTTTGTGTGCTTAATCGCTTACGCCCTGCCTTTCTGCCGCTTTGAATGTGACGTGGAAAGACGATCTTGGTGGCAACGCGACGCGACTCACGCGTTGCAGCGACCTTCCCAATAGGTGGATGGGGTCCAAGCGGTGCTCGATATCTCTGTCCGCTAAACGTACATGTACATGCAAAGATGCTGTACTGGAAGCTATGACCTTCCCCTTCATTCCCGATGCCCTTCTTCTTGACTACAGACTATGATAGGCCGAGCTGTCGCGTTTAGCGCGCGCGCCCTGTCGTCGACCTGCATCCATGCATCTGACAGGTGCTACAGGTACGACTCTCCTGCACACTTCATGCCAGCACCGTCTTATTCTTCAACCTGTTTGCTCTTCGTCTTCCTCCCACTCTTCTGTCCTTTCCTCCTCTTGTCTTCCTTTATTACCTCCTGATACTCCTCAGTTACATTATCCTCTGCTTCCTTACTTTTCCTTTACCCTTCCTTTCTCACTCACGCATACCGCAACAAATGATCAGGACCTGCCTGTACACCATCTCGGCGGCCATTGCGATAGCCTCCAATGTCTTTTTCCTATCTTTGGCGGTGTTCCCGGACTTGACACCTGTGAATGCGCACCTTTGGCCCAAACCCGTGCATGAATGTCATGGTCATCGGACCATTCAACTCTCCAAGGACTTTCGCTTCCAGCTACCACACGATGCCCACCCGAGACTGGCAAGCGGAGCTGCTCGCTACAGGAAAAGAATTCTGGTCAGTAAATTCTTGAGTCCAGTGCCAGTCGATCCTTCTCTTCTAGCCTTGGAAGATCGATCCCAGGTCGCAGACGTCAAGCTGGACACAATTATAGTGGCTATTGAAAAAGGCTCCTCGGCCGACGCCTTGGGTTTGGAGACAGATGGTGAGAATGATGACTAGTGCCTCATGACATTTAGCGCCTACACAAAGTGTAAAGAGGAGTCAGTTACTCACCCAACTTCTACATTCCTACGTTTATTAGAATCCTACAGACTACTGATCGCCACGGACGAAGACCCCAAGGCGCCTTTTGAAATTGACGCCCATCAGTGTGAACAGATGTCAAACAAGCCATTCCCACACAGCGTCAAGGGCTTCATCAGGGCAAAGACAATCGTAGGTCGCACGCGCCATCATCGATAAGATACTTTTTTTTTCGTGTTAACTAGACGTAATCCAATGCGATCAATGCGATCAATCCGATAAAAGATTACAGACGGGTTTTGTGAGGCAATCGTGATGAAGACGACGCTAACTTGCTAGCATCTATTCCTTATGAAATATGTCGTGGTAGTACGGGGCACTGCACGGCATGGAAACGTTCGCCCAATTGGTGACAAACAATCTGCATGACGGTACAAAGGAGATTGCCCGTGCTCCCGTCCTCATCCACGATCAACCGCTGTTCCAGCACCGTGGGCTGATGCTCGATACCTCCAGGAACTATATCTCTATAGCTGCTCTCTACAGGACCATCGATGCCATGGCTATGAACAAATTCAATGTCTTTCATTGGCACATTGCGGACTCGCAGTCGTTCCCTGTCGCGTTGGATGACGTCCCCGGCACCAAACACGTGGATGAAAAGGATGAACAACAGAAAACATCAGGTCTGCCGCTCAGTCAACTAGCCTCCAAAGGCGCCTATGCCAGTGATATGGTGTACACCAAAAAGGATATCCTGAAATTCGTCAACTACGCCCTCGATAGAGGCATCCGCGTCATTCCTGAGATCGACATGCCTGGCCACGCCTGGTCCTGGTCGCGTTCCTTCCCAGAGATCACATCCTGTCTGGACGGTTATCCCAGCTACAGTCGATTCAGTGCGGAACCCCCGAGCGGCCAGTTGAACCCGATCATTCCCAAGACGTACGAGGTTGTTCAAGGCGTCTATGACCAGTTCCTCCCACTTTTCAAGGACAAGTATGCCCATGCAGGTGCAGACGAGGTTAACATTAATTGCTGGAACAATACCGATTCTGTGGTGAAGTACATGAAGAGCAAGAATATTACTAGGGATGCCTCTGGGTTCGACAGCATTCTGAACGAATTTGTCTCAAAGCAGCACGCGATGTTGCGAAAGGAAGGCAAGACACCCGTCGTCTGGGAGGAGCCATTGCTGAACCACAACCTGAAGACTCTTCAGCACAGTAAGGATACCGTGATCCAGGTCTGGACGAGCGCAGCAAATATCAAAAAGACGGTCGAAAAGGGATACAAAGTGGTCGCTGGATCGGCCGATTATTGGTACCTTGACTGTGGATTCGGAGACTGGCTTGGCAACTGGACCCTAGGCCGCTCATGGTGCGACCCATATAAGGGCTGGCAAAGGATTTACTCGTTTAACCCGATCTTGGGGCTGACTCCTAAGGATGCAAGGAGTGTCCTTGGCGGTGAGGCACTTCTTTGGACGGAGCAGGTCGATGATACCAATTTGGATACTAAGCTGTGGCCCCGTGCCTCTGCCGCAGCCGAGGTGAGTATGGTGCTTCGATATACCGCCGAGGTTTTTGAGAGCAACTGCTTTGAGCGAGAAAGGGTCCTTGATTGGATTCTCATTCTGGATCTTTATGGTTTTCAAATGCGAAATTAGGTGCTGTGGAGCGGCAACTCGGACGACAGCTCGACCCGCCTGTGGAATGGACCTGAGCAGAAAGCAGACACACTTCGTAGCATTGAGGCCGAGAGCAGAATCAACGAGCACCGGTTCAGGATGGTGTCCGAGAAGATTGGGGCAGAGCCCCTGCAGCCGATGTGGTGCGTGCAGCACCCAGGGCACTGTCTCTGGCCCATTTACGACGAGAAGCCGGAAGAGTCGCCATACTAAATGTCTATTTCGGTTAGGCTCTGCATCTGTTGTTAAGTGGCATACAGACGTAGCTTGGAATCAATAAAAGGGAGCATGTCTTTGTGCAAACAATTCATGGTCCAGGTGATGAGCGCTGTGGTCAAGTTGAAGCAGTACACGAGTCTCCATGTAAAATCTGTAAGTAAATCGGATACGAACGAGGTGCTGACTGTGCAGTTAAAGGACGGATGGCCGCTGGCAGAGGCCTACAAGAGTTGGCAGAGGACCGTGGCGGTACCAATGCCGACAGCACCACAAGTAGCGTCGACGGTCAATTCACCGGTGATTACGGAAGCTCATAGGCTAAAGCTGATTATGCAGGTCAAAATTGGAGAGCGTGGGGGGAGGATAAGCACGAGTTGCGACTAGAAAGTAAATCGAAAAACATTCTCACCACTTTTTTATTTTTGCGTAAATGTCAAGCCGTACTTGCTGTTAATGTGGCCTGTGCTTGACCACTTTGTTTTCAGTAATAATGCTAGTTGTTCTCACAGCACCTCGGCCACCTGGCGACCACTATCCTGTCTTTGATCTGAAGCCGGTACCTAGCTTGCGTCGACCAGATTTAGAGCGAACAGAATGATACTCAAAACCATGCAACTGCCGCCTCCTCTCGCACTATAAACATATCACCTTTATGATAACGCCATCAATTCATTCATTAAAAGTCTATTCATTTTTTCTCTGACCTAATTGAAAAGTTTTGCATTGGCTTTTATTAGGGCATGATATGTGAATAATATAGGAATCGGCGCTTTGACAGGTAAAAAAAGTCCCCTAGTTGTGGTCAACAACGAGCATCTCCACAGAGACATCGTCGTCATCTCCCTCATCGTCAGAATTATCCTGTCTATCCGCATCAAAGTACTCTTCCTTGTCGCCTCCCATGTATGCCGGCGAGCTGCATGCAGAAGACGCTGTCTTTTCTGTTACGATCTCTTGCAGGTCCGCGGGATGCAAATGTTCGCTGTCGTTCCTCGAATGTGCAGTGATGGTCGGCTGTGCGGCGACAATTCGCGTGGCGTGCGAGAGTTGAGGCGTCTGTGCATATTCAAGGTCCATTGGAGGTGTCGCAAGATAGGTGGGTAGTGTTCCTGGAGCGGCAGCAGAGGTGGCGAGGTCGGTTGCGGAAGCGGAGGCAGTAGCATTAGCGGCATTGATACGCTTTCGGTTCTCGAACAAGATCCTGTTCTCCTCCACCAGCATATTGACCCATTCCATTAGTCTTCGCTCCGTATCCTTGACCGCCGTCTTGCCGCTCAGCTCCCTTAGGAGTCCGTAAATGTGGGGCATACCCTCAGCCATGTAATGGTACGTGACGCGTCCGCCTGTTGCCTGGTAATGATCGACGAAACGTGCGCAATCGTCCCGAAGCACCTCTCCAGACGAGTAAACGATGGCCATCTCTGGGAATTTGGAGTGGTCTTGGACGTAGAATGGCGAGACGTGGGGGTCATGAATCTCTTTGGGTCCTGCATAGGAGCGCGCGATCTTCTTGAAGACCTGTGGAGGCATAAAGTCTGTCTTGCGGTTGTGGGCCATGGAGGGCGAAGTCGACTCATTGGCATCCAGGCGAATCCAGGGAGAGATGCAAAGCAAAGCGCGAGGGGGTGGAAGGCGGTTTTCATGAAGGACATAACACGCATTCAAGATGATGTTTCCGCCAGCACTGTCGCCGCCTATTCATAGACGAAGATCGCATGTGGATACAAAAAAAAAAATGAGTGCCCGTGTTCACATGGTATTACGGAGTCGGTGGCAGGAGCTAAATCGTTCATTGCTGTTACCAAAGATGATCTTTCGTGGGTTCCACTTGATCTCATGGACCAAGAAACGATACGCGGACAGGTACTGATCTCGCTGGTAGGGGAACTTTTTTTGAGGTGCGAGATCTATTGTTTGTTGAACATTGCACAGGATCTGGTTAGCTCTATTGAAATGCGGTCGAGCATGTCTTCTTCCGTCTACACCCTGTCATTAATGGCTCAGATATTTATGGACGCGCTTTGTCCGCTTCCTTGGTCATGTTCACTTTAGGTGTCCATTGCACGAATAAAGCAGTAGTCAGCCGTATTCGCCCTCCGCTGAGGCGTACAAGGCTCTCAATAATTTGTTTTTTGTTTTTTTCAGTTGCCAATGTGGAGAGGAATGAGCTAAGGGGGAGGGTCCCATTTTCTATCCGTTGTGCCTGCTTCCGCTGTCATTTCCCCATTTTGCAGGTGGAGAACATATATGAACTCCTTTCGCACAGAACTGAGCCATGGGTTCCTGTCCGCTCCACATGTGTAATTGAGCTATGCTGTGTCTCCATGAGTTGCCCTCCCAAACAACCAAAGTGGAAGAACAGGCAGAAAAATAGAGAGCACATGTGAAAGATATGGAGATAGAGAGCGAATAGGGGAGGGGAAATTACCATATTCCACCGAGAGGATGCGCAAGGTCTTGTTGTGGACTTTTTTGAAGTGTTGGACCCAGGAACAGAAGATGTTGTTGTACATCTCAGCATCACCAAAGACGAAGCCGCCTCCGTGAGCGTACAGCATGATGATGTCGACGCCCTTGAGAGAGACCTTCCAAGTGGGATTGCCTCCGCGGGTCTCTGATGGAATCTTTTTGGTCTCGAGGGTGCCGACCCAGTAGGCTTTCCAGGTGTCGCGCTGCACGACCATGCTTCTCTCGCCAGGGACGAGCACTGTGCGCAGGGAAATGGCAGGACTGTACCATTGGTATGGGAACAGAGCAGCGGCGAGATAGACGATGCGGATGAAGAAGTGTGAGTGGAAGGGGACGTGTTTGGGTGCGGTTGCACGCAGATAGGCTGCGTAGAGCAAGGTAGGGATGATCATGAAGATTAGAAGGATGAGGGCGACGAAGGTGTGCAGGGCCACCCGGATATATTTGAGTGGTTTTGGGACCATGGCGAGAGCGGTCGTATGTGTGAGTGTGGGGAGAAGGTGAGGGGGCGCTTTATTTCCAACGAGCGAAGGGGATGTGGGTGTGGACTTGGATCGGTGTGGCAGCCAAGGGGTGCGAAGGAAAGGGAAAGGCAAAGAGGAAAGGAAGGAAGAGGAAGAAGCAATGGTTCGTTTACGATAAATGTACAGTAGTCAGCACGAATAGAGTTGATGCTCTGTCCTGAGGATGTGAGCAATGTCGCGGTTCTCGGGCGAAGGGAGACAGGAAGGTCCGACTGCAATCTTGGCCACCGCACCGGCTGAGCTCCCACCCCACTCGAGCACAACAACAACAACAACAACAACAATAATAACGACAATAATAATGAGTTCTGGTGCAACAACCCTATAGCACAGACGCGGTCCAGATACATATGCAGTTTATCAGCGTGGCTACCCTGCTGGCCTCTGGAAACGTAGGCATCTCTGCACAGACCTGGATCCCTCAACAAAACGCGACACAGGACTCTCTCTTTTTTTTTTTTTTTTTTTTTTTTTTTTACAGCGACACCGTCCGCAGCAGCTTTTTCATGGCGCCCCTTCCTCCCTGATCCCAGGCTGACTCCCCTATTTGCGTGCATGGCTGGATATCCCTCACACAGCCTCCCCCTCCTTGCTGTCCCCAGTTCAATGGGCTGTCTACCGTCCGCTATCTATGACTTCCCGCCATCAGAAACCTCGTTGGCACCAAATCTCAGTATAGTCGGTTTAAGGGCTCTGTAGATCGCGCAACAGCAGCTCTGACACTCACCTGCGACTGAGACACCATTCAGCTGCCAGTGTGTACACACCGCCCAGAGATGACACTCTATGTCTTCATCCTTCATCTTTCCCGCCTACAATGCCTCTTCGCTCCCTCGCACCCCCCGGACTCCTCCCTCCACTGCATAATAATCTGAAGCGACACCCGCCTGCTTACATTTCTGTCACACAAACAGTGTGTCCGTGCTGCATCCCTCTCTCCTGGACTGGACCCTGCCGCCACCAAGCTTCGATTGAGGCAGCTCCTCTTCCCCTTGACGGACCCTACCCTACATCCACACCGAACCGGCCCATTTCCGCATGTCGTCCATGCTGTGGCATCCCATCCCGGGAAGACTCCAATCCGTCTCGGTGGCCGACAAGAACAACATCTGGGGCGTCACCCTGGATCTCCAGCTTTGTAAACTCAATGCAAAGACCCAACAATGGCAGCTGGTTTCCGTCACTGAGCCCATCAACGGATCGAAATTCTCAGCTTCCTCCGCACACTCCAATAGTTTGGCGAACACAGGAAACGTCTCGTCATCGGCCGCCTCGATTGCCACCAAGGCCATATCGTCCCTCTTGCCGTCTTTGTACATTCCGTCTGTAGGAGCCCTTGGGCACCAACAACAACAACAACAACAACAACAACAACAGCAGCATCCTGAGCCGCAAAATGATGGCTCTATACGATCTTTGCGTCACGAAAACTCCATACCGTTCTCAGAGTCTGATTCGGACGCAGAGACAACGATTCAAGTCTCTGCTGCCTCAGATGGGACAGTAGTCAGGCTCGACAAATCAATGAAGACATGGTACTTGATCACTCCGCAGAACAACGAGGACTTTGAGAAGGATGTCATATGGATCGATTTAGGGCACTTCTGGAAATGTGTCAGGTAATACTCAAATCAAATAGCAAAAAGTCATTTGCCGTTCAAAGATGCTCTAACAGCCTTTTATCTTGACAGTGTCGCCTCAGTCTCACAGATCTGGGGCCTGGATGGTTGCGGCTCTATCTATTACGGCACATCGGATCGTTTTATCCAGCTAGAGTCATCCACCACGTCGGGGGCAGAGTATGACAAACCATTGTTCACCCATATCTCTGTCGGGACCGATAACATGGTTCTTGCAACCGATGCTCATACTGGTACCGTCTTCCGGCTTAAAAAGCATCCAGCATCATCCCACCCTCCTGTCTGGACTGCCCTCCCAGGCACCGGTCCCGGAACATCGCTTCATATGACCAGCTGCAGCCTCTCAATGGCGGATTACATTGTTGGGGTCGCCCTTAATGGTCATGCATACAGCTTCTGCAACGACAAGTGGATCTGCATGGGTGGAGGCGCAATGTTGAACAGTATTGACGTCGGGACAGATGGATATGTTTTGGGAGTCGATAGGGATGGCGATCTCTTTGGATGCCAGCTTCAGAGCACGGTTGTTACCCCACGCATGGTCTCGAGCCAAGGGCTGCAATTGACCCGAAACAATAAAAGCTACGAGGCTGGACCCGAATCTCCGCAGGCACCCAACTTGCCAAGCATGTTGACGACACCAAGGGTTCAGACGGCGTCCAAGAGACCGATGGCTTCACCGCGAGAGCTCTTTGAGATGGCTGGATCAGAAAAGGGGTCATCAATATCGCCGAATCGAAACCGATCTCCGACTTCAGATAAAGCAACAGAACAAGCGCCCGTGGGCTTTATGGCACAGCCCTCCCACAGCAATTCTTATTCTTCTCGATACGACCTTGCAAGATCTGAATCCCAGCGGAGCAAGAGCAGCTATGCGTCAGATATCGGCGTTGCTACGACGCTGACAGGGCTGGCCGTCTCTCAGGCTTCGCGGGACAGACCCGGTATAGCGCCAACAGCCCTTGGAAACGCTTTTCCAAAACCTACGGGTAACGGATATCCCTCAACCAGGACTACACCGCTCAGAATACGAACCACGATGCTTGGGAGTGATGGCACTAGTACTTCAGGTATGCGTGTATACTATATATGTACCGGTATCGTTTGATTACGTTGGCTATATTATGTTTATAAGCAATGGATCATAACAAGGTTTATTATAGGCCGCAGTGCAGGAGATTCATACTTCTCATACAAGCATATCACTCCGACCGGAGCCAGTGACGACATATCACTACTTGCGAGTTTATTGCCTAATGGAAATCCATATCCAGAAATGTCGCGTGTATCCTCACAGAGAAAGTCAGACGGCTCTCTACGTTCACCCCTGGACTATCTGCCTCTATCAGCGAATTCATCCTGTGGATCCAGACAGTCTGTGGAACAATGGCATAACAACAGAGGAGATAGATGCAATGAGCAAAGTGGGGGCAAAGAGGAACTGGGTACTGAGGATCAACCTGGGTTCTTCGAGAACGCCCCTCAACCCCTAGGCCAGGAAGTCGGTTCCGAGCCATCTCATGTGGATTCAAGCGGACTGTGGGATGCTAATGATGGTGGCAATGTGGTCGCTTCTAAAGAGGAATTGTTCGACAGCGATAATGCTCGTATAGACTACGATATCCATAGACGTATGATTAACTCTGAAACGCAGAAAATCACATCCCCAAATTATGAGGAACCATCGGGATCGCTCACCAAACCACTCAATCTCCTCCGTGGCAATGGCGCGCTCCCGTCTGACAAGACCGAGTGGATAGAGGCTGGTGATACAGATGTACGAATGGAGAATGCGACCGAGTATGTGAATACGACTCGAGTACCCGTTCAAGGGTCCACAAGCTATGATGTTCTTCACCAAGATAAGCTGGGTGGACAAGGGGTAGGAGAATGGGGAGGAAGGGATCGACTGGACATGAACCAGGATAAAAGGGAATATAGCGCGGCGTACCCTCATAACAACATCGACATTCATTTCCCTCTACCGCCGTTCCCGGATCCCAGATCTTCCTACACAACCGTCCATAGCTCGGATACTGCAGTTCAGGCTCGGCAGGTGCTATCACCAGATCGACGACATTACCAAACAGCGAAGATCCCCGCAGTAGGCATCGGATCCATTTCTGGAGATAAGGAGGAGCTCGAGAGCGAATGGCAAGAGGATCGAGGTCAGGAGCCAGCGTCGGTTTTGCTGCCGCATCGACCCAGCGACGCTTCAGAAGTTTTGATGCTTCAGCAACAAGAGTTTCTGCGGTTGACACGATTAAACAGCGGTCCAAACACTCTACCTCCCAGCATCCCTTTCAACGACCTTAAGGATCGCAATAACCAAGGTGACAAGGAAAGTTTATCAGGCGAGGAGCGCGAACCCGGATACTATTCTGCTTGCCATTCTTCTCAGGCCAGAAGTCCTTACGGAGCTCCCGCGGCCTACACGACCTCAGCGGCCGTTCCCAACGCATCCTCCAATCTGGAGATGCACAAACTGCACAAAAGACGCGTCCCGCTGTCTTCGAACCATTCTCAGAACACTAACAACAACAACAACAACAACAACGAGGAAATACAGTCTCGCCCTTCATATTCATCTTCGCACTTGCAGAGCTATTTGGACTCGACTTATGCAGCTCGGAACACAGAAGAGGCGCGAAAGAAGCGTATGAGCACAACGGGAACCGGGCAGCAGCTGGAGTCTTTTTCGGATGGTGGCGACCCAACTGCCGTGCAGGGCTACACTGTGACGGATGGTGTTCGCCAGCAGCCTTCTCAAGCCGGTCTTAGTGCGACCCAGAGTAGGATCCAGGGTGAGGATGACCAAGGACGATGGATCGGCACCCCAACAACAAGTGATCCTCGGGTTGCGCAACACGATGTTGAGGTGCCCAAGTCCAAATGTTGCACTATTCTCTGACATGTACTCAAATAGTAATCGTTGTAAACATCATGTGTAGAAAAAATAACATCAAGACATTTGGACCTAGTCAACAGCTGATTCGTTTACAGTGTAATTCCGAATTTATTATTACATTCTACTTGCAATGACACCCGATCTCGCCTTTTTTAAAAAAAAAAAAATCCGTTTGCATTTCAGAAACCCTGCCCGGGATGTGGGTTTCACTGAAACGATTGTCTTTATCCTTGCATCAGGACCGGATTCTTAGGCGATGGATTCGTAGCCGCCATTGTGCTGTTCACGCTCTCCAAACAAGCTGTAGAAATAAAAAAAAAAAGTGTGTTTTGAAAGAATGAAAGATTGTAGGGTTAGATTACATTTACCGTCGGCTGTTTGTATTTGTGTCGAGTAATGGAGTAATGGGATTGGAACACAAAGATTCCCATGCCGCTTTTTTTCACTCGCTTTGAAAAAAAAAATGCGCGGGAGATAGCGGCGTAGTCGAAAGTCCATCGATACCAATACGAGTATGTAACAGATTAACAGATAGCCCAGTGGAAAGGTGCATGCACACTTACAAGTAAATGATGAGTCCAAAGACGGGGAACAAGAAGATAAGAAGCGCCCCTATATATGTCATCAACGGTAGATAGAGATGAAGTGGTCAGCTTCATCTGTAGTTGTACGCGACATGTCAATGCTGAGTATGAGATATTCCTGCAGGCGGTGCTTACAGAGCAGCTTGGAGGTGATTGAACGGGTTGAGTTGAGGACCTCGAAAATGGCAATGAGGTCAAGGATGAGGACGATCTACAAATGACGAGGTAGTAGCAGAGCAGTTGCAAAAGAGTTTGGTGAGCATGAGAACTCTTTTCCTTCTACTGAGTCCAAGGTAATCGAAGTTGGAATGGAACTTACCAGGCCGAAGAAGCCGCCGGTGTATGTTGCTGGGTGCATGGTGAAGGGATGAGGAAGGTTGTGGTTGGAGCAATGAGGTATTAACTGAAGGAGTAAGTGCCAAGAGAAGCTGGAGAAGAAGGATCACGCGATTAAAAAACCCTAAAGCGATGATACCGTTAGCGTTACTACACTTACTGCCCCTATTGTTGTCAAGGAAAACATTGGCCGTTTGAGTGCAGCTTATGTATCCGCTGTCTTTCCACCTATTCTATACAAAGAGCGATCGACACAGCGGTCTTTATATTTTCAAAGAGGAAGAGGGGAGGGGAGCAAAAGACCCGCTGGGTAACCTGCCTGCCTCACTTGGGCCAGGCAACTGAACAGACTGCGGAACAGCAACGATAAGAATAGAAAGGGTATGTACTCCTGTTGGAAACGCGCCAGGGTAACATCGCGTCAGATAAAGCACCAAAAAAGGGTGTGGATACCCACACACACACACACATACACACGTTCCTACCGTGCAATTTCCTCTGTGTGCCGTGTCTTTGAATGAATCCCCTTCCTCAAAGCTGCCTTCTCGTTTTGTCTATTGTTTGGGGAATATGTATAATGAAAAGCCATCTTCCTCTTTAAACGGCTTCGTCTGTTCGTATCGCAAAGAATCGACTATAAAAGCATCGCGGTCGTCGTCAAGCCGTTGCTACAGAAAAAAAGGTCATTAACTACACTGTTCTTTTAAATAACGACCCTCCCGCGCCTGCACTTCTTTCTCTCTCTCTCTCTCTCTCTCTCTCGCCACCACCACAGCCACATCCCACATTCCTTGCCATCGTCACTGACATTCTCTTTTATCTCTTATCAAGATTTTTCTTTCATTCTCTTCCTTCACCTTTCTGTCACCACAGTTGGAGAAAACCAAACGCAGGCCGAAATGTCAGGTCGTAAAGGCGCCGCCTCATCATATAGCTACAGACCCTCCAGGGCGGCGTCCGCAGCAGCATCCGCTGCAAGCAGTGGAGACGGAACAGTACCAGCATCTACCTCTACCCATGCTTCTCCTATGTCTACCCCTATAGCAACAACCACTGCAGCTTCAGAAACTGCAGAATCGACTTCAACTGGCGAGGTCGACACTTCGACCCACGTCGTGGTCGAGCACCACCACTCCGGTACTGTCAAGACCCATGTATTCCGGTCCACGGACGGACACCTCACACCTGAGGTGATCACTGCGTAAGTAAAGAACGTCTGCCTGTGAGTTTCTGGTACTGCAATAAGGAGCTTCGCCTTGTGGTTTTCAACCTAACGCCCTTTTTTTTTTTGTTTTTTTTTTATACAAACCGAAGCGTGATTGCCACCACACTCGACTGTAAGTTGCAAGCACTCGATGCCCTGGTTCAAGATTCCATCGATATCACCCGCAAAGAGTCCCTCGACAAAATCGATGCACTGAGAATCGCCCTCGAGGGGAGCGAAGGTCGTATTGCGGCCCAGATCTCTCACGGGACGACTTCCGCCATTGAGGCCCAGATCAAAACTGAAGTGCTTCCCAAATTCGACAAGATCGAGCAGATTCTCTATGGCAGCGACAAGGGCAAGGGTAGAGCGCGGGACGGACCTAGAAGCAGTGCCGCCGAAGATTCGGATGAGAAGAGATCCAACAGCAGCTTAGATCCAATGGATGTTGCGGCAGCAGCAGCAGAGCAGGATGCCACCCTTCGGGATACGGTCGTATTGGAGAAGCTGACCACGATCGAGAGTCAGGTTGGAGCCCTGTGTAAGGTTGTCATTGAAGGCCAGGTCCCTCTGGTGGACGAACGTGTCGTTGATGGAGATGAATTCAACGCTGCTGCCTCGACAACATCCGCTAGTGCTGGACATGGCGCCGAGGAATCAGAGGCACTTGCGCGGATGATTGCAATGCGAGACGAGTTGCTGACATTCCCAGACACTCTGAAGGGAACGCACTCAAAAATAGAGGAGCTAATTCAAGCTCTGGATAAGAACAGAGACGCAGTCTTTCCTCGGGCGATTGATATTTCGACAAGTACCGAGGACGACAATCAGGTTCAGAAACACCAAGCAGAGCAGCAAAGATGGCAAGACAGTGTCCTCGATATGATGCGGTCGAATGGTGATGGTCTGACCTGCATGGACAGCCAGCTCAGGACGCTAGACTCGAGTTTCAAGAACATGGATGCGGAGTTTCATGAGTGGAGACGATCTCATAAGCTGTCGTTACAAGTGTACCTGAGTAAGTAGTGTACGCTACTCCAAGGAAAACGAATAGAGTCCTTTACGCGCTACTGACCATATACTTTGCAATGTCTATAGAATACATGTACTTGATCTACAAGCGCACCGAAAATGTCGATACTCGTATCTACCAGGCTCTTGAGGACATTAAGAACCAGACCAAGATTGAGCCGGAACAGCGAGCCCAGTTTTCCAATGACCTGGCTGTGTTGCGAGCTGAGATCATGGAAATCCTTACTAGCCTTCCTGAAACGATCCTAAGCCGGCTGAAGTCATCGGATGAGACCTCTGAGACGACGAAGGATTATCCGGATTCCTCCACCGCAAGCCAGGTAGGCGGTAATGCGGCGTTGACAGAGATCGAGCCTCAACCAGACGAACCGGCCGAGGGCTCGAGATCATGGAATGCTCCAACAACACGAGCGTTGGGCGTTCCAGGACCCAAACTGCTGCCTGATCCTGTGACTGACGAGGCAGTTGCTGAAGTTCAAAATAAGCCAGAAGCAGAAGCAGAGGTTGATGTTAACGGTGATACGTGGACGAGTGTTGAAACAAACACGGACGCGGCTGCGGAGCACCATACTCTTAATCCTGCAATCGATAAATTGACACAGAGGATCGAGAACCTGCAGGCCGACATCGCTTCAATGATTGAGAAGTACGGCGAGCTTTTCACCAAGATTTGTCCTCCCGGCCGTCCTCTGTGCGAAGCCGATACTGTTTCTGCGCCAGGAGAACCAGCTACGGTATCTGAAGATATGAATGATGCTCCAGAGCCGCCACCTCGAGAGAATCGAGCGAACCATGTCACATCTGCCCAGGCCACCGCCACTTGTACCCCAAACGGAGCATCACCTTCAAGTCCCGCTGAATCCTCCCCCATCTCTCCATTCGGATACCATCCTCAGGCTCCTGGTGACGCGTCCGAGACTACTACATCTGGTCCGACCACTCCAACGAGAAGCAGGGGGGTTACAACAGCCTCAGTCCCAAGTGTGTCCCAAGAACTTGAGGTGATGAACAGAAATCTATCACAGCTCCTACGGATCGTCAATGAGAGCACGAGCAGTATATCCCGAGATCAGACTACTGTCAGGGATGAACTTCATACCGAGTTCCAGAGGCTTCTCGATGCGCTCCCACCAAGAGATACTGTGAGGGATTGGAGTAATGGGGTTGCTGGAGAGGGGCAGACCGTTGAAAATGAGATGGCCAAGCAAGCAGCAGTCGAAGCTACTGCAAGAGCTGCAGAGGAACGACAAACTGCCCTAGACCGGATCGGCATGATCCCTAACCTAATGCAGTCACTTGAGAACGTGAACTACCATCAGTCGAACAGGGTCAATGAGGTCTTGGAAAGCATCCAAGATATCAGGAACGCAGCCATCGGAATGGACAGACGGGTTGCGGATTGTCAAATTGATGTGAAGAATCTCCTTGAGGGATCGATGCAGGATAGCCGGCTTCTCTGTGCGCTTAAGGATACGCTTACTGGGCTTGGCGAAGGTGACCAGTTTCTGAAGGCCCAGGTTGCGGAGGCTATCAAAACTTTGAATTGTGTCCTAGGAGCGGTCGAGGGCGTTAAGGATATCAGCGAGAGAACGTTCACGCATCAAATGGCCCTAGAAACCAAATTGGAGGAACTACACAAGAAGCACGACGATGGCTGGCAGGCATGGGATGAGAAGCATATAACGGAAATAGCCAAAATCGATACTTGGCACGACAAGCACGACCAGGACATGCGGGACCTTGACGAGTGGCGACATAAGCATCGTGAGGAACTCCTGGAGTGGCACGAAAAACATCACAGACAGCTTTCAGTGCATGATGAACGACACTGCAGCCGCTGTTTCCCTGGACCTACGACAGAGGAAATCTCGGAAACGACAGCGGACGATTCGACAAGTGACAATGTTTCTTCGGTCAAGAGTTCTTCGCACAAAAGAAATCTGGGTGACAGTGCTCCAGCCGGAGCATCGCGGGCTACAAGCGTTTTCAGTAATCCCAACTGCTGTGGTAGCAGTAGCCAATCCTCCACTGCCATGGATGTTGGCCCCGCTAGACAACGTGCCCGAGAGCTGTTTGAGGAATTTTTGCGCGACGCAATCTTTGGTTACGACGGGTGTTGTCTCGCTTGTGGACGCTTATCCCTCGCCGACGGCAGCGCAACAGGATCAATTTCGGACGTCAATGCTTCAGGACTATCTGCCGGCACTGAGTCCTCATCAGCAATTGCTGAAGTTCTTACTCCGGGCCACGCCACGATTGATGCTGCTTCAACCCGCACAGCTTCACGCGCAGGTTCAGTCATTAGTGACCAGGCCTCTTCAGTTGAGACTGACTCTATTTCACATACACCCTCGAGCAATGATCCAGCCTCGGGCACAAATGTGGGCGAGAGTGCAAGCTATCACGGCGCTGTCGAAGAGAGTGCGACCAATCGTAGTGCTATTAGCGAAACTCCTGCAAAACGAGGCACGCTCCCTCAGGACCTCCACGATCTCTTGAGGCCTTACTTTGTCGCTGAGCCCGCCAATGCCGCCGAGCCAGAAGATGTTGCAGCGCTCCGGAAAGAATTGTCGGAGCTTCAGGAACAGCACATGGCGCTAGCGACCTCATCCAAGGAGACGGAGGAATCTTCTGCCAAACTTTTGGACGATTTCATGGAGAAGAATAAGGAGATTGACGCCCTAAAGGCCGACGCGGCCAAAAAGGAAGAAGGACACGCTGAGCAGATACACGCTCTCGAGCAAGAGAGAGATAAGATTCGGGATAAACTGGCAGTCAAGAAGCGTAAGCTGAAAGAAGCCAAAACAACCATCGAGACACTGTATCGAGGTAACATATTGTTTAATTTCTAAGCTGTTTCACCGCTTAAAGAGATTACGATTAACCAGGGTACGCGTGCTGACGTTTTCGCATTCAATAGAGGGTCTCGGTTTGGGCACAGCGAAGGACCCTGCAAGCGACATGCCGTCCAAGACTAACGGTGATGGTGGTGATTCTGACTCCACTGAGGTTGTGACTCCTCCACGATATCGTCAATGCGTCGAGGCTTCTGAGCAATTGAGTCAAGTTCTGGAAGAGTTCAAGGTCCACAAACCAGTCTTACATATTGAGATTCGCGAGCTTGACGAAAAAAAATCGCACTTGATCGAAGAGACCGCCAGGTTGGAGATACGGAAGGCGTACCTGGATGAAGAGAACGCGAGACTAGAGAAGCAATACCGACTCAACCTCACCAGAAACGCAGAGTTGGATGCGACTTATGCCTCTACTGAGGATAGTGATGCAGAGGCCTCATGCTCCCGTCGGGCTACAAAGGATTCAAAGGAGAGGATTCGTGCCCGATCGGCGTACCGTCCACAAAAACGCCAGCCGCAGCAGGCACGTGCGGCTTCGAAGGGACCTTCAGTCGCCAACAAGTCCAAGCGAATCATCCCTGTGGTAGGTAAAATCCCTCAGTTGGAAGCGGATATCAAGATCTCAAAGGACGGAATCATTGCAGAGACGCTACTGTGCGACAAGACACTGCTGTCCGAGGACCAGTTCGAGAGGATACGGTCGAAGCAGACCACACAGGACGACGATCCAGAGATGTGGTCTTTGTTCTGTGACTTCAAGGTCCGGATGGTAAACATTCCTTAAGCCGGAGTATACATAGGTGCAAAAAGATAAATAAAACCGGTTCCATAGGAGATCATCTGAGTCTAGAGTTTAGATTCGACGCGCCGCTGCAAGAAAAAAAAAATAATCTCCCCACAGAGTAGCTCTGTGTGACCGCATAACGCACTCTTTGTTTTGGTTCTCCTTTCAGTAATAGGCTATCGAGTACTTGCCGGGCTTTAATCGCCCACTCCGGCAACTCTTCACTCCGGCAACTCTTCACTCCGGCAACCCTTCACTCCGGCAGTCCTTCACTCCTTCTCCTTTAACTATCCTCTTGACCATTCAGCTGACCTCCTCTTCACATTTCCAAAACCGGATCTTTATTCAACAGCCATGACATTCCCTTTGTTGGCTGGCTCGCGGATGCGAGACATCCTCTCAGCTGTCGGCAAGACCACCACTAAAGCAGGACCCTGCCTACTCAGGAACGACCTGAGGAGTTCGCTCCGACTTCCACACACAACTAGCCCCTATCGGTTCGTATCTCTCTCAACTCTCACAGACCGCTCTGCACTGGTCCAGGATCAGGCCTTGTCGGAATATCAGCAACCACATGCAGCAACGTCCGCTACCGACTTGGAGCATGTTGATAGCAACGATGGTGATGCGACCAGCACAAACAACATTCGGGTCGAGTCCGAAGTGGAATCAACGGGGACCACAGCACCAGGGGAAATCAGTGCCCCATCATTAGCGGACTCTAGCTACAATACCAAGTACAGGAAGCCAACGTTCACACCTGAGATCGATGCAGAAATCCTTCGGCGCCGTGAACTGGGTCTGTCCTGGACCGCGATCGGATCTGCGCTTGGTCTGCCACATCGTAGCTGTAATCGCCGATATATTACAGTGCTCAATCCATTGCTGTACGAACACTGGCCAGAGCACAAGAGTCAAATCTTGGATGATATGGTCGCACAGGGCAAGTCATGGGCCGAAATTGCGCAAGCCCTGGGCACCACCAGTACAAACTGCCAGGCCAAATGGAAGAACTTGGTCAGACCCAAGGATCAGGGCCGGAATCGACAGTTCGATATGCTTCAGTCAAAGGTACTCTTGAAGGTTGTTGGGAAGGTTGGCGAGGATGATTGGAAGGCGGTCTTACGGGAGTTTATGACGCAACTTGGAGGACGTGACATGCCGAAGGTCTCGGCAGAGCAGCTGAGGCATCAATACTACCGGCTCCAACGACGATCGACTCAAGTCTGGACACTCAACGAGGAAACGGCGCTAATTCAACACGTTCTCAAGCACGGCACCAGCCAATGGGAGGTGATCTCGGAGGCGCTCAAGTTTCACTCACCAGAGCAATGCAAGGAAAAGTGGACTACGCTTGACATGAAAACCAGACCATTCAAGGAGAAAGCCTGGTACAAGGGCGAGCGGAGCAACTTTTGGCGGCTTTGGCAGAGATACGGTACGGATTGGGCCAAGATTTCTGGCTTTATGTCGAGGCGATCACCGGAGCAATGCGAGAGATTTTTCAAGACTTTGACTGCAGGGTTCAACGAGGAAGACAAGGACGAATTTGATCGCAAGGTTAAGGAACTTGCCGACAGCTACAGTCAATATACTCAGTTTGTTTGGAAGAAGGAGGACTCGGACCGGCTTTGGGATGTCGCAGAGCAAGTCAGGTCCGAGGGCAAGGATAGTCGGATCGAGTGGGAAAAAGTAGCCGAGCGGATGGGCCTGAAACTGACGCCTGTGCAGTATAAGCATCACCATTATTATCTGAAGACGATCCGGAAAACTGGACTCGCCGGTAAATGGAGCGATGAAGAGATCAGGACACTGGAAAGAGCTGTTCGAGAGGTTGGACGCGACTGGGCTTTGATCTGCCAAGACTATCTACCGCACCGTAATCCCAAGGCTATCTGCCACAAGTTCACCACGATCAAACACAAGGGCTCGCATATCTCTCCCGAGGAATACGAAACCCTGATGTCCAAGATCGATCTCCAGGAGGAAGCGTCCAAACACGAACAAGGTGATGGCGCATCAGGAGCCAAGGCATTTGTCCCTGATTGGAACGCGATTGCGCGCTCGATGCCGGGCGGTACTTGGACAGCGGATCAGTGTCGGGATGCGTACGAGTCCTCATTTAGGAACCACCTCCGGAAGTCTGTATGGACACCTAAACAGGACAGTGCGCTCCTGGAAGCCACTAAGATCTTTGGACGAAAGAATTGGATCAAGGTCGCAGAGAGAATACCAGAAAAAGATACATGGGAATGTCGACTGCGTTGGTCGGAGCTGCACGAGACAATTGTGGAGAACAAGGAGTTGGCAGCTATTCAGGCCAAGACCATAAGATCCCATCCACACATGGCCAACTATGCTTCATGACGTACTATAGTTGCATCTAATAAATGGATCGAGTGAAACTACCGCCGAATAAAGGAAATTGGAGTGCATACTGGTCATACTGGTCTATCATGGATGTGCACGCCAGCCATTGCCATGGAAGACATCCATTTTTTGCTTTTCGTGCGATGATTCTAATTGCTGTGACGTGTGATATACTTCGGAAAATGGAGAGATCTGACTGATCAGGCACGGATCGTCCTCCCGCCTCTCCCTTGCCACGAATCTCGTACTCCTTCCCCTCCCCACTCAACGTTCCTTCTGCCGTCGTCAACGATCAAATACTACATCATGCCCGCCACACAAAAGGAAATGCAGGATGCTCGTCTGCCTCTCGGCTACCGCGATTTCTGCGCAGACCTGCTGATCCCCCTGAACAAGTGCCGATCGGAAACGTACTATCTCCCATGGAAGTGCCAAGATGAGCGCCACATCTATGAAAAGTGCCAATACGATGAGTACGTGCATCTCGCCTGTGCTATTTGATTGTTTTTACCATTTTATCATTTGGAGAAAAGCGTCTTCCAGGACATAGAAAGAGCTTCATACCGGACACCAGAGATCAGGATGTGTACTGGATTACTATCTCTGGGAGACGGCCTCAGCAACTACAGGAGGATGGCAGACACAATTATAGGAAAATACCAAACATAGCTGCAAGAGTTAAGAGACCAAGAGCTATTGTCTCTGCACGGGCAACAAAGATAGGTGTCCAGCAAAGAAACAGCTGACGATATAGGATATCGCTTCGTGGACAGCATAGGATCCTATGGATTCAACGGAAACAAACAAGAGGATAGGGATCAAGCAATTGACGACTGCAGGAACTGAGTGTCTTTATGAAGGGATGAGGCTGCAGTACCTCTTGTCATGACGAACCATCTGCATTATTCTCTGACCGCGTACTTTTTTTTTTCGGACTGCCTTCTAGTTACATCCGTAGAATGAAAGCCGCGGAGCAAAAGAAGCTCGAGGCTGCCGATGCATAAATACGATCTTCTTCCTTAAACCATCTCTGTCGCCGGACCAAAATATTATCACCATTCACGTAATAAAATTACCTGCAACAACTCATGACAGTTCTTCAAAATGAGAAAAGTTCTATATTTGTCTGGGCGGTTGAGTCAGTACTTTATATACGCGATGGATCGGAGAGTCACGATGTGCCTCGATCCATCGTTGTGCCCTGAGCTCAAGGATATTTTTCATAGGACTGTTGTGTAAACAAACGAAGAGTAGGATCGATAGGTGCCCTTTATTTGTGCCACGGATGCTTTATTATTATCTCGGTTATGTTGTCCGAGTGTATATTGGTTGCTTCCTCAAAGCTCCTTCACTACTGAGCGCCGCTTCCATGCAGTTCTCCGGCCATCTTTCTACGAGTATCTAAGCTCAGTTTCTTTTTGAAAAGGGTTTCCTCAGCAGTGAAAAATATCGATATCAATGGCCTCGCTTTTATTAGGGATTGAGACGTAGATACAGGGCGTGGATCATGTTCTATGAAGACGCGTTTGGACGCGGTTTGGTTTTTGCAAATGCGTGAATAAGGTTGGCTGGAATAGCAGTTTCTCACGGTCTCCGGACTTTCATTGGGCGCGGGGCGTGCGTCGCATCCATTTGCGGAAAGGATCGAAGCTCAAAAAAAAATAACACCAACAAGTGATCTCGCTCCATCACTCTCATCTCTATTTCACCATCACATCCTCCAATATGCCTTACGATCCCACTTCCCTCTCGAACCTCGACGAGGTCAAGACCAACCACATCCACCTCGACCTCGCTGTCGACTTTACTGCAAAGACCCTGACTGGTACTGCTGAATTAGAGGTTGAGGCCATTGTCGACAATATCTCTAAGGTCATCCTCGACACCAGCTACATCGCCATCCACTCTGTCTCTATCGGAGACAAGTCCCTCAAGGTAGGCATAAGGACTCAATTGAACAGCATTATTGCGCAAGCATTAAAACGGATGTCCGTTCACTTTATTTATTTATTTTTATGTTATTTTTGTTCTATCGGGTTTGATAATAGCACTCTCTCGAGAAGCGTCATGAGAAGTATGGCTCTGCCTTGACCATTGAACTAGGCCAGACCCTCCGCAAGAGCGAAAAGGTCAAGATTATCATTGGATATGCGACCACACAGGAGTGCACCGCTTGCCAATGGCTCGAGCCCAGCCAGACTGTTGGCAAGAAGCACCCATACCTCTTTACACAATGCCAGGCCATCCACGCTCGCTCTCTCGTCCCTTGCCAGGACAGTCCTTCCGTCAAGCTGACCTACAGCGCCAACATTAACGCACCCCTTCGTGCCGTCATGTCTGCTGTGTCCACTGGCGAGGAGAAGCAGAACAATGGCACGACCACCTACAAGTTCCACCAAAAGACCCGCATGCCATCCTACTTGATTGCCCTTGCTGTCGGAAACCTCGAGGGTCGCGAGATCGGACCCCGCTCCACTGTCTGGACAGAGCCCGAGGTCATTGAGTCTGCTGCTTGGGAATTTGTCGACACCGAGACCTTCATCCGCACTGGCGAGGAGCTCCTCACCCCTTATGACTGGGGTCGCTATGACCTCTTAGTCCTCCCTGCTTCGTTCCCCTATGGTGGTATGGAGAACCCTTGCTTGACCTTTGTTACTCCTTCGCTGTTGGCCGGAGACCGCTCCTTGGTTGACGTTGTCGCTCACGAAATTGCTCACAGCTGGATGGGTAATTTGGTCACAACCGAGAACTGGGAACACTTCTGGTAAGTTGTGGACGAAGATGCCAGCCCTTCTTCCCCCCCCCCCCCCCCCCTTTTTTTTTTTGTCCTCAAGTTGTATTCCTAATAGACTTGTTGGTACTATAGGCTGAACGAAGGATTTACAGTTTTCGTTGAGCGCAAGATCTTGGGACGTATGCAGGGCAAGGAGCACAGCGAGTTCAGTGCCATCATCGGTCGCAAGGCTTTGGTTGAGAGTGTCGAGCTTTATGGCAAGGACCATCCTTTTACTGCCCTCCGCCCCTGCCTCCGTGGAGAGGATCCTGATGATGCGTTTTCCTCTGTTCCCTACGGTAAGCTATTCACAAAATCAATATCATGACGAACGATTAGCAATTAGGTGGCAGAATGTTCAAAGCTGACACTTTTCATTCTGTCTTGATCTATAGAGAAGGGATTCAATCTGCTCTACTATCTCGAGAAGCATCTGGGTGGTGCAGAGGTCTTTGAGCCCTATCTGAGGGCGCATGTTCAGGAATTTGCTGGACGCTCTATCAACACTGACGATTGGAAGGCATTCTTGTACTCTTTCATGGAGAAGAATTTTGGACAAGAGAAGGTCGATCTCTTGAACAAGGTCGACTGGGAGGCATGGCTTGCTGGCACTGGCATGGTAAGTACACCGCTGCTTGATTTGTCCGTTACTTTGTGTCGATGGCGCGAAAAGAAGACGTGGACACAAACTGACGACATCTCTTTGTTTTTTTTTTTTTTTTTTTTTTTTTTCAATGCCAATGCAGCCTCCTGTTGAGAACAAGTTTGACGATACCCTTGCGAAGGCCTGCAACTGCCTCTGCAAGAAGTGGGATGAATCGCGCCATGTGGCCAAGCCCACCGAGTTTTCGTCCGAGGACATTAAGAGCTTTTCATCGACACAAACGGTTGTGTTCTTGGAGCGTGTGTCTGAGATTGATGCTTTGCCTCATTCACACTTGGATCTCATGGACGAGCTCTATCATCTGACTGAGGTCCGCAATTGCGAGATCAAGTTCCGCTGGCAGATGATTTGTCTCAAGGCCAATTACGAGAAGATCTATCCACAAGTGGTCGACTTTGCGTCAACGATGGGCAGAATGAAGTAAGTGCCGCATTCATTATCTTGGTCTTTCTATGCTCACTCGCAGAAGCTTATCTAATTTCATATTATGCGACATTGCATTTGCGCTTCTTCTCTCGCGCGCAATAGATACTGCCGCCCATTGCTCAGGTAATAAGGCGATCTACTCGATATTGATGGATCAAGCTAGCCTCTGCGGACATGTCTCTTCATTTTATTTTATTTTTTTATTTTTTTATTTTTTATTCGCATGCTAATCATCTTCCTTACCTATTGTCCATATCTTTAGGTCACTGTATCATGCCAAGAATGGCGCTGAGCTTGCGAGATCCACGTTCCTAAAGCACAAGTCCTTCTATCACCCCATTGCTGCGACCATGATCGCCAGGGACCTTGGCCTGTCCAAGTAAAATGATCCATATCAGAAGGCATAGCCGATAAGATAAATGAATAGTATAAAGATGTTGTTTGTTTTAACATGGCGTTTTGAAGCGTCCTTGAGGCCTTCATAGAGATAAAGAATGTATACATTCATCGTAATAGTAAAGGTCCTGATTTCAGCTAAGCTCAGGGCATATCCTTTTGAGTACCATAATTAAGGTTTGGGTACTGGTGACACAGTCGGTGAACCCAATTGACGCGGCAAGACTTTTAACATTCATCTATTGATACACCATCCAAATAATGTGTCTAATACCAATAGAATTTATTGCAGATGTTCATTACAGTTTAGATAACTATCCAGGTCAGAGCAGCCAGTGCACTCGACAGGATCATTGCGTCGACAAACAGGGGAGGTATTATGGTGCCAAACGCGGCACTTTTGAACGTGGGCATCTGTCTGGCCAATGTTTGGTTGCGCGGACTACCGAATTCTGTGCCGCCATGCTCCGGGCGGGAGGTAGGAAGACCTGTCGAGCTGTCTGTCGAGTTGTTTGGCGTGTAGTTGGTGTTCAGCGTGCCGTTCTGGTTGACCATAGGGCTCAAAGTGCGGTTGCTATCGGCACTTTTATGTTCAGTGCTACTTACATCGTCGGTATTGTCATGGTGCTCGTCAAGTGTGCTGCTGATGAGCTGAGTGGGTGTCGCGACAGGAAGCGGTGGGACATCAGCGTCCTCCTCGTCGTTGATGGCATCCCCAGCCAAAGTGCCGGTTTTATCATCCACATAATCATTGCCATGCGCCTGATCCTCCTTGCTGTCTTGAACGATCGAAAAGTCAGGAACTACAGAGAGCGGCTCGTCGGGCTTGGATGCCATGTCCTTCAGGGTCTCTAATGCAGGTGTAAAGTTTTCACTTGAAGCGCTCGCGCTGCTCCAATTAGACTCTGTGGTCATCTGGCTCAGCCTGTGTGTCTTGATCAGTGGAGATGAAGATTCTGTCTGCGCTAGTGCACGAACAGAGATATCGCGAGGCTGCGTTTCGGAACCACCGACAACGATTTCAAAGCAAGTGGAGTATTCCTCTCCGGACGGATTGCGATCATATTTCCACCACCAAATCAACTGATAAGTGCCTGGCTGTGTCCCCGCTGGAATGGTAAGGTATCCGTGGCACCAGGTGTTGGGCTCCCAAGGCTGGTCGCAGTTGGCGCTCGTGCCAAAGGTCATTGTTCCCAAAAGCGTAGCTGGATTCAATTCTGAGCGTGTGTAAAGCTGCTTTGCTGGTACCCCTGACCAATGCACCTCAATAAAGGATGGGTGGCTATCGTCCAAGTGACCATCAGGCTGCCACGTCAAATGCAAAGTCTGTCCTGGGGTGACGGATGCTGGTGGGAAGGGATTGTTGCCAGGAACGTTTTGACGGCCAGGCTGGCAAAGGGGGGCGTCTGGAAGGCGGTCTTTGACAAGGTAAGTGTATTTTGTGTTGATGTCAACGTCTGTGCGAGATGGGTACCCAAGAGGATAACCAGCGCAGCCAGAAGGAAGCATGTTGGTGCAATCTAGCCAGCTGTGCGCAGAAGCCACTGAAGCATTCAGAACAAACATATTAAATGACAAAAAGATGGCCCATCGCATCAGAGAACTAGAGTGAGAGAGTGTATGCTTTGGTGACCGCATGGTTGTTGCCATATTAATTGTCAAGTGAAGTCGGAAGCAATATACTGAATAGGAGGGATGAAGGTTTGGAGACGCAGTAAACCATGTGCTCAAGGCACTTGTATTTATATACCGCAGATGTCTGGGTCTTGCGGGGTGAGCGAAGACTCAAGGAGACGAGCCGGTATCGAGATAATGCTTCACACCGGCACGATATTAGGGAAGTAAGGAGGAAACGGGTCACTGAGCGCCATGCTTGGGTCGCCATCACCATCACGACAGAAAAAAACTGGACCCTCTAGGTGCCTGTCTGCGCACCAGGTCTGGGTTCTTGGAATACACAGCTTTGACAAGGCCCAGATTGTCAATCGCAGGGTCCAATAGCATCAAAGGGCAGAGTAAGACCGAATAGCGCGAACGAAATATCGAGCCAGCGAGCAGGCTGTTACGGAAGGTTAGGAGTCGACTAAAGGTGTTCTCAAAGCACCACTGCACTGGAATTCCTTTCTGGTTCCGCCCTGACGTACTCTTAAAAAAAAATGCTGTGCACATCCGGATGATTCGTGCAACGCTAAACGTGCTGTCCTGAAGGAAAAGCTAAGTCGCAGTACATGGATTGACGGCAAAGGACCAAGGGGAAATACAATACCTACCTGATGATGCACGATGCAGAAATGCATAGACTATGTGTAGCAGGCGGGAAGAGATGGTGGAAGACATATGCCGAGTGGCCAAGATACGCCAGCAGAGACCCAGAATGGGCATCCATTGGGGAAATGAGCAGAAACACCCATTTAGAATTGCAAAGGCATAGGGACACACCGCCCGAGAGCAGCAAGCTGCCGTGTATAGGTGTATGGTCAGTCTTGAGTTGAGTTCTCTTACTCCCTCCGTCTTCATCACACTTATATTCACATCCCATCCACTCCCTCATCGGCTTCATGATCTAAACAAAGGCACACCATTCCTTCACATCCAGACGACAACCACCGTATTTTATTGTATCGACCCATTGATGTCATTTTTCCTATAACTATTCCGTTCGAAATCACTAAACAGGAGATAAAGGGTCCTTTCAGGGCTTGATGGCGCTCAACCAGGAGGATGACTCCAACCTCGAGCGTCCTTCCGACAACGACAACGACAACGACAACGACAACGACAACGGCGATAGTAGCAGCAGCATACTAGCCCAATTGGCTGTAATAGCGCCCGATAAGGCCCAGACTGCAGTGGAGTCTCCTTCAGCGTTACCTTATACCATGTCCTCCTCAGACAGCACCCGCCCTTCCGCACGGCACCCAGTGCAGGATCAACGGCCACCCGAAGTTGCTGCGTCGATACGGGCCGTAGATCGGAACTGGGCCCGAGTGCGGCAAAAGATGATTGGCAACGATAACATCGTACATACCAGCCTGACGTCCCAGCCCTCTTCTCTGAGTGCCCAGACGCCTTTAGACTTAAAGCAGCAGCTTCCACTAAGCAGTACCTTGCGCCCTACCACGGCGCAAGGCACCGATCAGTCGAGGACCTATCCGCCCGCAGAGAGCTCAGGGACCGTCTCCAGTGGAATCCGTAACGTACTTGGCTTCAGGACAGTTGTCGTTCAAAGGACACAGCTCCGAAGGATGGAGAAGGAAATTGAAAAGGCATTGTCTAGGCATAGCAATGAGCAGACCCAACCGAGATCTCGAGCAGTGGCAAGGATCGGCACTGGCACAAGAGGCATGATTCCAGGAGCGCCATACAACCTTTTGGCAACTCAGGAAGCGAATGCTGTGGATAGGACCTTCATCGAGGAGCTATCGGATATTCTTACGCGATGGAAGAGTCTTACGGTGGAGATTCCTTGTAAAACAGAGATTCTTCGAGCCATGTCCAGGATGCTGCAAGCCGATCGCTCAGAGCCATTGTCCCGTATGTATTGCTATTCAAGGTGCATTAGGGATACCACGCCAGAAAGCTCATTCTTTCACGGAAATTAATTTTGTGCAATGTTGTCATGGACAGGTGTCGATTCCACCACTGTACTAAATCTGTTTGACCAGATGAGACAGCAATATCCACTGCAAAGCGAACCAGAAGACATGCAGGATGTGCTTTGGTGTCTTAGTCTCCTTTCACTCAAATACTCATGCAAGAAGGTAGTATGGGAATCGGGGCAAGGGCTGCACAAGCTTTGTTGATGTGAGGCGGCTTTATCAGCGGACTAAATTCTGGCATTTGTTTTCCCTTCAAGGATCGAGTCATTGCTACTATACAGGAGCTTCTGAGACCCAATACGCTCACGGCAACAGTACCGCTATCGTCACGGAATATTCAGGCACTCTTAGCATCATTGGTAAAGCTACTCAGCGAGCAGGCGAAATACCCCCAGGAGACTCAGGACGTCCGAATCATTACGCTGGTAACAAGCGTGATGGATCGCATGCGCATCGGAGATTTGGGCATCGGCGAGAACGTCGGCAGTGATCAGCATTTGCAGGAGTACCTCGCGCAGGCCGCCTTTCTAAAGGGTCTTATTGAATGCTTACGATTGCGCGATCACGACATGGTCCGTTATCTGGTCCATGAGATGATACCTGTAAGAATCGATACACAGGATATATGCAAATTAGCATTTTGTAAATCCTTCATGCTTACTAACTACCTTATCTTATATATTCGTAGAGATATTGGGTAGAGCCGGTCTCCGAGTATCCATTGGCATTGGATGAAGCGGTGCTCATCTTTGGGCAGGCGGCGAGCGAGCTGGTCTTGAGCGCCCCCGTCGCCTACATGGACGGATCGGAATCAACAAGGTCGCTTATTCTCGATCTGACAACGATTCTTGAGGAATATCTTCCGCCAGCTGGACTGAGCGGGTTTGTCTCCGATTATGCAATTGCGATGCTCTTAAAATTTGTCCTGATGATATTCTCCATCGAGTTCCCTGAGGATCTGCAACACGAGAGAATATTCTCGGAGAACCTGGCAATATCAAAAGATATCCAAGAAGCAAGTCCTCGCGCTTCAGTATCCACTGAACACGAACCAGAGAATCTCTCAAGGACGCCCCCAAGATCACCCCTCAGCCCCAAAGTCAGCGGGGAATATTTCCAGGCGCGCTCAATGCCACCACATGATCCAAACCGCACAATGGGCGAGCGTTCAAATCCATTACTACAGCGCGCGCGGTCTTACTTTGATGCTCTTTGGGAAAACGGGCACCGAGATATCATTACGCAGCAACTAAAGGCAGAGGTAACGACGGTTCAAATGTCGATGGGCTCTGTTACATTTTTTATTAATATTTTTATTTTTCATTGCTATGAACAGAGTCTGTTAACACTCCAAGTCTTACCTTCTAGGTCGAAAACATATCATTCCGGAGGCTGGTTAGCTTATACCATCGGGTTGTTCTTGGGTCCGTCAACGAGATGAGCTCACCCATACTAGCCGCGACGCTGAACACCTTTTTCAATGTATGTTTAAGCATATTCTGTATACACGTCTGTTGTCCTTGGATCCAATTATAACACCTTTTTATTCTATTTTATTTTATATTTTTTAATTAAAACAGAAGCTTGTCGCTCATCAGCCAGAACCGAGCGAGCGTTTGTCGAGGCTACTGCGGCAACTTTCTACAGTGCATCGTGCAGCATTCTACAAGCCCATGATCGCATGCGTGGCTTCAGATTCCACTCAGTTTGTCACGGATTACCTGTGTGTCCTTTCCTGTTTGGAGATACATATGGGCTTAGTAGATCTCTATATGAGGGATGCCGATATGTTATCTGTCATCGCCATGACGGACGTTGGCCCTGAACGACCAAGGAACGATCCTCACACTCAGACGCTGAAGTGGGGGTCTTGCACTGTTGGTCAATGCGTCATCGTCCTAGAATTTATCTATGCAATCAAGAGGCTCGCGAGGAGCGGGGACAAATATCAAGTCGAGGTCGGAAAAATGTTTCTGATCGACCTGGAGAGGAAGCTGGGCTTGTACCTTTTGTCTAAGGTATGTATAGCATAATCTTTGATCCTTCTTTCTAAGCTGTTATAAGACAGCCGGTGCCAGATATTCAGCATATATTAATGACGATCGCCATCTGTTTTAGGAAAAGAAAATTCTTGTCCCCCGGCCTATGCGCGTTTTGCAGTGTCGGATTTTTTACGAGATTCGTATGCTGTGTAAAACTATCCACAGGTAGGCGCCGTCGCTCAGACGAGCTTGATATGATTATCCATTGTGGCACATTACAGCGGATTTTTCTTTAACATCTATTCTCTACACGGCAGACCCGGCTGGCTTCCACGGATACTAGATTGGGCCATCAACTATAAGGCGCCGGCAGGAGCAGGAAACGCGAAAGGTGGTCCTTATGCCATCCCAGAAACCATGCGTCTGCGTATCAAGCACATCTATAGCAGCGTGGACAGTTTAGTGGGCGAGGTATGCCGCAATATCTTTAATAACTGGGAGGTGATTTCCTTATCAAATTCCATCCTCACAAAATCCCGCTTTAAACATTAGCGAAAAGACCGATATACCGTCAAGGTCACGAATACAACTAATCACTCTAACGAGACGAACTCAAATACGACTAAGGGACGCGAAAGCACCACAGAGCTATCCAAAACCGCCAACGTGCCAGCCAAGAGCAATGTTCTATTGCAGCCGAAACGACTGAGCCGAATGGGGGATATCAGGATGGACGAAACAGTGGCGACTCTGAAGCTGCTCATCACTGTCCATTCAGCCATCCAAGTCAGCGAGTACCTCAAACTTATTGAACCACTGTGGAATGTCTATCTACTTGAGTCTCATCCTAAAGTGGTGTCGTCCGCGGCGTTTTTGTTCGTCAAGTGCGCTGATATCGCGCCCAAAACGATCTACTCTATAATCTCACGCGACTTGAGCAGGTATGTTGCGGTAGAATATGTAGGTTGATTTCATTACTCATCGCAGATTATAAATAGCTAACATTTAATAATTTCCTCCGCTTCAATAGTGAGGATCCCTTCAAACGTCTGTCGACTGTGGAGAGGCTCAGTGCTATTTTCGAACATCGTAACGAGCTATTGCTGCAGCCGTACGTCATTGACCCTTCTGCACGAGGTCCATTTCGCGCCATAAACGTACAGGTCCCATTCGTCTCCTCTGAAGTTGGCAGCAACCGGTACACGATGGACGAGCCGCGATGGCTAACGGAATTGAAGAGCGTTGGCAATTTTCCTGTCGACATTCGAAACCGTTTCGAGGAACTTGGGTGGGGCGAAAGAGGTCGACTCGAGAAAGAGATGATGAGGCGTGCCCAGACGCCACTGATGTTGTCATGGACCGGCTATCTAGACGAAGACTTTGAGAACAAGACAAACTTTGGGCGAACTCACACAGTGATCCCTAAAGACAGACACGCTACTGTGCTGGTTCCAGTCCTCAACTCTCTCAACATGGCGACTATTGATCTGCTGGACGACAGCACGGTTGGCGTCCGTTCAGCAGCCATCGATTTTCTTTCCAATTATATCCGAAACGAGCCGGTTGTATTTGTCCGATGGCTGCTTGCGGAAATTGTTCAGGCAAAACCGGAGCGACAAAAGGCCCTTATCTCTCGACTCCATCTGCTCCTCAGTTCAAGTTCTAAATTGCCACCTGGTTTCTCTTTTGCGCTGTTCAATCACCTTTTGGGCCTGCTCAAGTGGTATCAGAGGAGCTCGAGGCCATTAGGAATGGATATGATAGAGGCTGTTCTTCCCCTCCTGGCTGATATTGTGTCGTCCACCAATGACATTGTCTTCAAGGATCTCAAGAGGAACAAAATCGACGTCTTTTTTTCGAACCTGGGTCGTTTCTGGTTCAGATCCAATATCACACCCGAGTCCATGTTTCCTCACGGACTTTCGAATACAGGCAACGTTCTAGCGCTGCTGGCCGTCCCTCGCCAGTTGTTCCAGATGACAATTATCAACACCAACCAGATCCAATTCATGACGAACTTTCTCGTCCGGTTTCCTCTGGAGGCTCCCGATATCAAGAACAGTATTGGTCGATTTAGCAGGATGCCAAGACTCGATGCGTCGGAATCCGCCATCAATCCCAAGCTGGAGGATAATCAGTACCTTCCAGACGTGTTCAAGGTCAAGACGCGTTTTGTCACGGCCATGTCACTTCAGGATCGAGGCATTCGTGGTCTATCATCTCTGCGCGCACGAGCCTGGCTGTGTTTCATTCTCAATCTGATTCAGCGCATGCAAAAGGATGACGCCGAACGTTTAGAACTCATGAATATCTTCAACGGCGTCAACGTGATCTTGCTGGAGCATGGTGATGACCTGGGCATTGTTGGGCAGGCACTGGATATCTATATCACGGCAGCAACTCGTCTCAGGCGTTTTTTCGCGCTGCAGAATGGCTATATGCTAATATTTCCAGCTCTGTTTAAGATCTATTGCGATTCTTCGACGATACGCGTTGTGCAGGACACAATCGACGCCGCTTTCTACCGGTTTTATCTGCTTCATCAAGAAGCGTTCGTTCTCCAGAGTCTGGGGGCGGTCGTGCCTCTGATGCTACGCAACATGTCCAGCCAACAAGCGGACATTATGGCAACATGTCTATTCGGGTTCTTGGAAGCGCTTCACCAGCCGACGACTACCTACCACTCGAAAGCCCTTGGAGTTCCATCGCTAGCAGAGCCCTATCATGAAAGCAGCAGCTATGGCGGACCTCAACTCGCAATTCCAGACTGGATGTCCCCTTTCATTCCAAAGGACTCGAAACTTTTTCAAAGCAGCAACCTGCTTCACAAGCGGGAGTTTACCATTGCTGATTCAATCAAGCTGTTTCTTGCAGTCATTGCCTTCGATCCTGGTTCCGTTCGATCCGAGCAGTTTGTCCGCGTTCTAAGGCAAATTATGCCATTCTTTCTGGAAAGAGAACCACAATTGATGACCAGTGGACTGGATAGCCTTATCGAGGCGATTTCCAAATTTGCCAGATCCTCGAAACCGCTTTTGCCTCAATCCTTTGTTCCCCCTCCTGTCGTTCCCAGGCAAACTCAAGACACTGAGGACGGCAAATGTGATGTCAGCCGGTTCGCGCTCTTCCCGAGTCCTCTGGCTAAGAACCAAGCTGTCAAGGGCAAAACCTGGGCCCAAAATGATCGTGTTGCAATCAAACATGAGTTTCTGTGTCTCATCCAGTTGTTCTGCGATCGTGGCGGTCAATTGGCGGACAGTCAGCACCAGCAAATGGCGGGCTTAGTACGGTCCATCGTCAAAGATTACACATCGCTAAAGATTCCATGTACCATGGAGTGGGTCAAGGATTATATCCGTAGCGTTATTCTTTCGGCGCACAGCCTGCAACAGGGATGTCGTGCAATGCTGTATCTGGTGGTCCAGATTGCGGGCTTTCTTCGAACGCACTACAAGTCGATTGATTTTTCTGGATTTCTAGATGGACTATTGCTCGTTGCGGAGGACGACCGACGATATTTGCGAGGATATCCCGAGCTGGCCCATGTATTCCATGATAGGGTTGTCGGTCCAGGTCTTGCACTGGCTGCGAAAGGCCACTGGATTACGGATTCCGTGCATGTCTCTCAGGCCAAATTCTGCAGCAGCCTAGTGGATTTGATCCTTTCAATGATCAGTAACGCGGATATGGACACGATCTCTGAACTCGAGCAAGCTACTCCAACACCTCGTTTCATGGCATACGTCATTGTCCCAATGTGCCTCCGCTTCAAAACTCGCTTTCAATCTAACTGCATGGACATTTTGGAGATGCAGTTTTGGTTAAGGATGCTTGGTCTCACCGTTAAGGCTGCTGAGTACTACCCGGCCTTACGGAGATCCTCCCGGACGACAGGGCTGTTTGCTCCGGTCCTCAATGCTGCCAGGGTGGGCAGGAAGAGGTCATCCTTCGACGTATCCGGACCGATGTCGCCACAGCAGCTCGCTCCTTCTGTCGGATTGCCGCTCTCCGCCAGTGTCATGTCCCAAACACCTGCTCAATCTAGAATCTCACCTCATGCACACAAGGATGACCAACCCGTGGACGACCAACATCATCAGCCAGAGCACACTATGAATGCGTCTCCAGGACTTTTGGTGGATTTCATTGCACTTCGTATCATCATTGTCCGAGCAGAGCGATATCTTTCATACTACCCTGGCTGCTGGCTGGATATCTTCAACATCGTGAAGCGTTACTTTTCGGTCCATGCCCATTTGACGAGCTCTCTCTTGGGACAAGTTACCATGAAACATGGCCACCAAACTAGCCATGGTGGCTCTGGCCCATCCTCGCCCAGCATTGCCACTCCCTTTCCTGCGACTCCACGTCTGGATGGTCCCCGCACACCCGATGTGAGGCACACGGGAGGCGGACTATCTCCATTCCCAGGGTTTTTCCGTTCCACAAGCGACATAATACCTGTCTTAGGTCCCAACGTCGCTAAAGAAAATGTCCCCGCAACTGCTCTTGGATATCTACTTTGGACATTTGCAGAGACGATCCTTTTCAGTCGCGTACCTCTTATGATCATGATGCGTCCTTTTCTTATGGATCAACTTCGCCTGATGAAGGATCACCAGTCCCAGGCACTGTCAGCGCGTCTCGGTCGATCAACTAATAGCTCGGGACCAAATTTCCCAGCATTTTATTGGCCTTCTCCCGCAGCTCCTCCTTCAGGCAACTCTGCATCTGGAGGGTCATCGCCGTGGATGTCGCCATTGCATCTCAGAGGCGATGGTGGAACAAACGAAGGTTTTCATGGCCGAGACTCCGAGATTGTCGGGCAACAGCAGCGGGCGGATCGCCGGAAGCAGTGGAAAAGCTGGAGCAAACCCACTCATACCATGAGTGCGTTCACAGCGATCGAGAGACCGCTTCAGGGCCTTGCAACGTCCATGTCGCCTCACTTGTACTCCGCAGAACACCAGCATCAGCACAGCTTCATGTCTGAGACCTCTGAACAAGGCGGCAATGTGAACGCCACGATGCCCAAGACTCCTCGAACTCAATTGCGTGGCCATGGCAGGCATCATAAAACAGAGTCTGAAGCAAAGAATGCTGAGGATACTCTGCCAAAAGTCCTTGTCGACCGTGCCAACAGATCTCTAGCTCACGTCAGGGCAATGCTCAATACATCCTCAGATGGGATGACGATGGCTACGGAGTGTGGAGTGCCCATGTATCCGGAAAAGAGGACGGCATTGGTATCGACTGGCCTGTCGCCGTCTATGGCTCGGTACACCGATCGACGGGACTCGTCTCAGTTTCCCAACGTAGGTTCCAGCCACAACAACGAACATCAGTTTCTACAACCAGGAAAATACGAGAGACAGCCTGTCAGCCCCGGATTCGGATCTATGTTTTTGGCCAGAGAGGCTGCGCTCAAGGCGCCAGCGCTGCCATTGCCGGACTCAGCAATACAGAGTCCATCAGCAGCCCAACATTCGATGACGTTAACTGTACCCGGGACCACTCCGGAAACCAACAGTAGACCCACCTTGAACGTCATTACGAGCAGTATGGGCGTATCCTCGCCCTGGAGCAGTTCGGAAAATGCGAGTGGCGGACGCAGCTTTATTCTTGGCAACCCTCCGACTGCGCTAAACCAGCAGGCTGGGGAGCCATCCTCTCCAGCATCGGCTATCCTGACAGCAGTCGGCATCCCCTGCATGCCAGTCAAGAAGAATCGCAGCATTCTAAAGCCAAGGATTATCACGACCGCACCGCCAAAAGCAGATCCTAGTCCGCAACTTCAGGCGTCAGCCGAGCTACCATCAGCCTCTGTCCAAAGTCCGAATCCTCATACACAGCACAATGTGCATCTAATTAGGCGCATGGATAGTCGGAACACTGAAGACGGAGTCAGTTTGGTGAGCGGAGGGATAGCTCTTGGTAGGCGGCCGAGTATTTCGTCCGAGGAGCAGGAAAATTACAGGGTGGCGTGCATTCATGCAAGGACTAAGATATTTATTCAGAACATTGAAGAGGAGACACGGATCGTTCTGGCTTGCTTCCCTTCGGTATTTTCGATCGGTTATGCACCGCCTCCATCTGCTACTGCTGCTGCCTCAGGTAGTGTAGCAACAGCTGCTATCCCGGTCGTCCCGCCAACCGAGATGGCTGCTGTCACCGATGAATACCAACCTACGCAGCATGATGGACACCAGACGGAAGGAGCCTCTGAAGTCCAGCCAAATAATCAAGCCCGTGTCAGCACATCGAGTCTGACGGTTCCCAGTCGAACAACCCCTTCAATTACCATCCAGGATCAATCTTATCTCGCTCCATCTCCCATCCATCCACTTCCATCGGCGCTGGATGGCGGGGAGCATCTGTTCCGGACGAGTGCGCATCGTCCAGAATCCGAAGATGTTTCCCCTTACAGGGTTGGGTCATCTCCACACAACGTTGCTAAGGAACGACGGTCCAAGAGTGTGATTTTCCAGCGGCTACCTTCCATGGATAACACCGCCGGTGTTGGCAGTAGCACTAATAATGTTCCTATCTCAACCACTTACCCAGCTGCGCTGGTTGCTTCAGAGGGAAGACGTTCGCCCGCTCGTATGAGCACGCCCCCAATCCTATCCATCACGCTCTCTTCGCCTCCCCCGCAGCTGACGTCTACAGTATCGGCAGTATCGTTGAGTCCATCCTTGTTATCATCAACTTCTGGGCTCAGTGGATCTTCGACAAACCAAGGTGCGAGCCGGACTCTGGGCTATTCATCGATCAGCATCAGTCCTGTGGCAACTGTGGAAGAAGATGAAGAGGAAAAAGAAGAAAAAGAAGAGGAAAAAGAAGAGGAACTCGATTCAAGTTCCTCTGCGCCTGTTCAAATGACTCTGCCGTACAAGAGTCGGTCGAGCAACGCTCCAGACAGCCAACCATCCGCCATAGTGGGACTGGGACTCAATGTCGATGCAGGAACCGAGGGCAGCCAAAAAAGAAATATCCCTTGAAGAATCAAGCAAGGGTCCATTAATCAATTAATTACTTAATTCATTCACTCATTCATTCACTCATTCATTCCTGTACACGAATTCAATATAGAGACAGTCATGACCATGTACTTTATTTGCTAATGAAACCATCACTCCAGATCGACAAAGCAAGTTTCATACCCCTAATCCGAAGATGAATTTGCTTTTCGAATACAAAAGCGCATTCACTTGGTCATACAAGCAACACTGAAACTTAGAAAAAAAAAAAAAGCATTTGCAATATATATTTTTTTGTGCTCTTGGTCTGGGCGTCTGTGCATTGAAGCTGTGCGACTGCGCCACCTGTGCATGAACCTTGATCACGCGAATAAACGCTAGTGTACAAGAGGTAAATATTCTATTCAAAGAAAACCATGCAGCCCTCTCCGTATTCATCAAACTCATCCGGAAGACTAGACCCGCCCCTCAACTTCTTTTGTCCAGCTGGTTCCGGCAGTTGGTTTCCATGGTAGTGCTGATAGCAGCGCTCGCGCTCCTGTTCTGCATGCGACATAACGGAGAACTGGTTGCGGTACACTATTCGCTGGCCGGGAGAGCGCGATGGAGATGACGGCCCAGAGCCATAGTAGTTCGGGTCCAAAGGCGGCTGTAATCCAGAAGGCATCATCGAAGATATGGGTGACGAGGAGTCGGGATATTCCATTAATGCAAATGGCGATCCAAATCTGCTGTTTCGAACATCATACTGGTATTGGAAACTCGAAGTCGCCTGACGAAGTGGGGTTGATACACGGACGCTATCCTCTCGACGATTGGCATAATGAAGCTGCTGGCTGCTATAGTTGTCACTGTAGCCCGACGCGGGCAATGTACTCGGTAGTCCATCGCTACGATGTACGCCTCGAGGGCTGCCGTTCATTTCATAGTATGGGTGTATCTGGACAGGACTGCCAGAATCAGTGCCATTGCAAGAATGAGATCTGTCAACAGCATGCCGATCTGGCTGAGACGGTAGTAGTGTATGGTCGCGTCCCTGATGCAGTTCGAATTTGGTTGGTGAGGAGAAGCGTGATGATGGCAATGGCGATGTCGGAGGATGTCGAAATTGGGAAGCATGGTTTAGCGATGCGAGACGTAGTGGGGTGGGGTGCTGGTACTGGCGAGGAGCGGGCTGCAACAAAAGCCTCGACTGCAGCATTTCATCATACATCACAGACGCCGTTGAGCTCGGTAGGTCGATGGCAGCCCCCTTTGTGGCTTCTTTCCTTCCTGCTGCCTGTTCCTCCGCCAGGATGTCCTCCAGTTTGCGCTTTAAAGAACCCTTGCCGAGCGCCGATACAGTCTCGATGCCTGAAAATGCAAACCCTCGTCTCAGATCGGCGCCTTGGGCTCTAGCGAAAGCGCCTCTACCGGCACTCGGCGATTTCAGCAGCTTTACAGCATCCTCCAAGCCATCTTTGTCCCCTTCGCTCGATCCTTCTGATGCACAGTCCTCCTTCGTAGGAGTCGCTGCTGGTTCAGCCCCGTCTGTAAACACGCTAGTCGAGGGTAGATGCAGACAGATAGGGGTTGTGGCCTCTGACACCTGTGAACCAATAGCTGAATCCTCCAGAAACCGGTCGTCCGGCTGTGTAATATCGGTCGCCACTTGACTCGTTGGATTAGGCTCTGAAACGTATACTCTGTCAGAAAACGGCGCCCAGAATCCATTGTTGTGATCTGTATCCGTTTGCACAAATGTGTCATCCACGCTCTTGGGATTCGTATTTGATATAGTCTCTGGTGTCAAGATAGCAGTGTCCGCCGCATGTGTCGAACACTCTTCTTCGCCTGTCTCCGATACACCTAGCCTTAACATCTCCGAGGATAGCTGATCATCCTCTCCTTTGTGCTCATACTGGATCTTCGTCTCAGCCTTTACTTGCCTCACACAGGTCTCGATTGAAGTCCTATCGCCTCCTTCGCCAGCATCGATGACCTTAGCCTTGTCTTTCACTGCGACTCTGGCTATCTCCTGACACTGCAAGTCAGCAACCACTCTATCAGATGGGTGTCTAGTGCCTCTTCCTGAGGCGTGATTGCCTGATTGCCGGGGCTCTTGTTGATCGCTGGCCTTCTTTAGAGCATTTGTCTCGCGATCTCTCGATGCTTTCGCAATAATGTTGCCATCACCGTCGATTCCGGTTGCTTTGCCTGCCCTCTCCACGTTTTCCAACAGCGAGTTTGAAGGCCGTTCTTCCTGTGTTGTGTCATGGACGCTACATTGTGATACTGGCTTTTTTGGTTTCCGCTGGAGAAGGTGTAAAAGCTGATCCAGTTGTTCGAACTTATTTCTTTCTTGCGCTTGGTGTCGATGCTCAGCTGAGGCAATATGCTGCGCCGATAAAGACGACGGAAATGAAGGAGATGACATTAGCCACGCTCGTATAATAGCGCAGCCATGTAGCATTGTCAAAATTCCATATCATACCTTATCAAAATCGCCAAAATTCATTCGGCAATTCTCGCAGTAGCCCTTCTTGCGATAATCCTTTACGACGGTAGCAGTAACTGAGGGCTCCTTGACTGTATTGGCTTTCAATGAGTGTTCATTTACCGGTCCATGTAATTCCCTGGTTGCCTGGGTTGGGACGCTTTGGCGAGACGGTGCCTCAACTGAAGTGACAGCCACTAATGGTGCGATAGCAGGCCGCCCTGGTCTTGCGACGGCTACATTGACGTCTATGGTGCCTAAGGGCTCTCGTTTGCTGAAGACTGAATTTGATTGTATGCTGTGTTTGCTCAGCTTAAGTACATTCGCTGGACGCACGAACTCTGTTTTCTTGATATCTGGCACTATGCCTGCCTCCCCTTTGATGGCGTTGAGGGCTCGCTTCCCAAGCTGCTCTAGAATAGGATCCTGTATATTCCGAATGCCATGCATAGCCGGCGTCTTGTTGACTGCTGAACTTGTCGAAACGATGTTGGAGGTAATCGAATTGACGAGACCTGAAGCGAGAACGGATGCCGATGGCGATCTCTGTAAAATGGGCCTCGAAGTCGTGTTTCGAGGAAATCCTTCTCCATTTTCGCTACCTTTCTCCTTATTGTCGGCGATATAATCATTGTGATTGTGATTGTCGTTGGTTTTGGATGTATCCTTGGCTGCATCTTTGGCTGCATCCTTGGCGTCCTTGCTCTCTTTAACCTCTTTTGTATCCTTCGCGTCCTTTGATCGATTGTCGATACATACGAAGGGTGTTTTGTGGGTAGATTGAACATAGATCCTTGGCCACGGATAGGGTTTTTCGGCATCTTTGGGATAGTCATACGCCAAGATCGTTTGGAAATGTCCTGTGACATCCTCCACCAGCACGTAATTTCTCCTGAGGACAAGGTACTCCGGTCTATACGCATCGTCGTTCTGAGTTGTAGTCAACCCATAGACCTTCTCGTGTTGAAGATAATCCTGTAGATTTCGGTTCTCGTTCTGCGTCAACGGCTCGATCAACAGAGGCCCCATAATATGGATCATCCGATTCAGGCTCCATATCTTTATACCGAAGCTGAGCGCCTTCACAAGAATGCTGTTTTCGGCACTCGGGGAGGGCGTGATTGTTGACGGCTTGAGAGGTAACTTCCCCGGGGCGGTGCTTGGGGGTTGAGGCTGGGCATGGCTTTTTAGATTGATATGCTTATTTTGCGCAATGGTATCCTTGTTAGGTATAGGACTGGTAGTAACAATATGGGTCACGTCGTTCGAAAAGAATTTCGTTACGGTCTATGCAATCACGACAGTGTATATACGGTGTGTAAAATTAACGGTCGTGAACATATCTTCATCGATCCCATCAGAAAGACTAAGCATGGTGACTTACGGCGTTGTATACTGCAAGAGTTTTTGCAAATTTCTTGACTTGAAGAGGGTCGACATTGTGAAAGTAAAACTTGAAGGTCGGTAATACTTTAACTAGACTCTGGATCCATTCGACAGTGCCGTGCGGATAATGTGTGGGCTGAGTCGGTTGCGTTGGTACCTGGGGCTGTGATTGCAACTGAGAATTAGGATGAGGTTGCGTTGAGATAGGACCCTGCGATTGGGGAGGACGCGGTACAGCCTGAGGGTGGGGTTGCGTCTGAGAACGTGACGCTGCCTTGGGAAGGGATAACAATTGGGTGCGAGGTCCTGCTTTGGTGACAGAGTCTCCTCGAGCAGCCTGAGATTGAGTCGGTTGTTCGGGCTTGAGGTCCTTGAATGATGTCGAGTTCGCGCTGGGGGCAGTGGTAAGCTGTCTGACCTTAAGCAATGGGTTGGACGAAGATTGAGTCAAGACATGGCGGTCCTTGAGGTTGGGTGGGTTTGGACCAGGGAAGGGCTTCTGTTGCAGCGCAATCCTGTTTCGTTGGGAACCCTTATCGCCAACAATTGTTGCGTGCCCTGCACTGGGTTTCCGAACAAGAAAGTTGGTGGATGAGACGTATGTCAACGGGATTATGTTTTCCTGGCCCACTTTGAAAGAAGAATCGGCGTGAGTGCCAAGAGGCCCATTTAGTTTTTCGGAGAGAGACTGCCGAGAGGGCTGAATGTTACTATGGTTCCTGGACTCTTGCAGCGGCCCGCGTGAAGGCTGAGGATTCAAGACATGGTCAGCCATGGTTGAGGCAAATCTATCTTATCCCCTTGAAGTCCCGTCCTCGTTTGGCTCTTATGTTCCTGTAAGCGGCGATAGGGTTGCTGAAGGTGTGGATCAGTTTCCTAGGGGACTGATGTTGGCAGAGTAACTCAGTAGAGAACCATTGCAGAAGGGGATGAATGGATGTGTTTGGTGGCAAGGCAAATTAGGCAAGGAGTCAGCGGTAAAAGAGTTGATATCACGTGCTGGACGATCAATGGTGCCAACAGGGCGAACATGTGGAATGCATTCGCTCTACCCAGGGCTTCCTCCTCCTACTTCAGCTCGCATCCCATCTCGAACCCTCCTCTGCTCATTACACCTCATACTTTTTTTTTATACACATCCTCTGTCTTTCCCCCTGGTCCACTTTAGATACCCAGCTCAGACCGCAACAAGGTACATTGAAACACAATCCTACGCCATGCTGTGTCCATACTATTCACTTCGACTTCATGGCCTCTCATGCTGCGATTCGTCTCATGTATCTTGTAGCGCCTGCCCTCTCCTTGCCACATCAACAGCAATAAAGCCGACATAGCATATAGAAAGGCCATGATTACCACCGTTACTCCGCCTGGCTCGATACCAGACTTTGTGCACCCGCCTGTGCCTGGTGAGAGCCACGACCTATACGGGGACAATCATCTCAACTCCATTAAGCTGCCCGTCCCGGTCGCTATCGACAACCCCGCAACCTCCACACAATCTCACTCGACCTCTTTTGTAGACCCACTCGCGGGTGTCGATATTTTGAACGCCAGTAGCAGAAGCAGTAGTAACAGCAGGATCGCACATGAAACATGCACGTTCGCGCCAGCCAGGAACGAATTTGAGCGCGATTCCGTCTCAAAAGCTATTCCTGTGGAATGTGTAGACCATGCAGAGGGATCTTCGGACGACGCCTTGTGGGCCAGGCTTGTTGAGAGCTGTATCAATGGCCAGGCAGAGCTGGTGCAAGATATTTTGACCCAGTCACCGCAGCTCAAGGACTCGATTGACAACATATCCTCGGCGACAGGCATGAACCCCCTCCACTTCGCAGCTTCTCGAGGGCATGATGAGGTCGTGAGGGTTCTGATTGATCATGCGGGAGCAGGTGTGGATGTTCAAGATCGCGAAGGCGAGGTACGCATGTTTAAATGTCCAGCAAATACGCGGCCGTAAATTCCTTGCATTGTAACACCCTTTTTTTGCTCCTTTTAGACTGCGTTACTCAAAGCGTCTTACGCGGGATTTTACTCCATCGTCTGTTTTTTACTGAAGCGGGGCGCCAACGTACACCAGCGAGACATGGATGGATGGACAGCCCTTCACAATGCGAGCTCAAAAGGGTTTATCGATATTGCACAGGTGCTTCTGGAGAAAGGCGAGGCCGATATCAATGCTAGAAGCAAAATGGGACATACTTCACTAAGTAATTCAAGCAATATGCCCGTCAGCATTTTGTACATTGCGTTTGTATCATCGCTCTCAACTTGGCCTCCCACGCCCAGAACTAATCCCATACGCTCGCGGTGGTCCCAAAAACTTAGTTAACGCCGCTTCAAAAGGCAACATCCCTCTGGTTTTATACTTTCTAAACCACGCAAGAGCGAACCCGTTACTCAAAAACACTTTTTCAGAGATGGCTTACGATGTCGCGGCCGCAAACAGCGAAGCATACCTCTGCGACATTCTTCAGAGTAGCGAAAAGCAGCGGTGGAAGGGTAGGTGGTGTCACTGTATCTCAATGGCTCGGTAATGAGATTCAGCGATCTGACCCTTTCTCTTCGGTACTCTAGAGGAACATTCTGCCGAAGAAATATACGACCCTCTTGCTATTCACAGCACAGTTCTGATGACCGTGCACGAAAATCAAAGAGCAGCATCCTCGTTTCCGCTCTCACTCATGGCCCCAAAGTTTTCTGCAAGCGCACTTACTCAGCAGGATGTTTGCGGTCCATGGTCACTCCCCAATGGACGACCCTCGACAAAGGACGACGTCCATCTGCCCCTTGCTGCAGCCTCTGGAGCCTCAAGTACCAGACCGAATATGCAACGCGGGTGGTTTTGGCTAACAGAGTGGGTCGTCGACAAAACGGATCCTAATACCGACAATGAGGGTTGGCAATACGGAAAGTCCTTGACGGATGTGAACCAGCAGTGGTCGGCAATGCCCCCAACCTCCGGCAGCAGCTGGGTGAGGCGCAGAAAATGGATAAGGGTGATGAAGAAACGCATGGATTTAGTCACTACGGCGGGAGGTATTCCTGAGGAAGTGAAAGCTGAACAGTCCCATTGGGCTCAGGAAATGGCTGGAAATTACAGCAAGCGAGCGAAGCTTGCATTGAGGCTAGACGATGGATTTAAGGATAAAGAGCAGGAACTTGCGAGATACCGTCAGGCCATCCAGATACTGCTCAACGGCATCAAATGTAAGTGCGCCGTGCCTTTTCATTTGCTAGCATCGGCTCAAGAATGCCCTGGATGTATAACCCCGCTGCAACTTCTAATGTTTCTGTATTGTATTATTCCATTGTTCCAATGCTCCATTATTATATTATTATATTATTCTATTACTATATTATTCTATAATTCTATTAGTTGATAAGGATTCTGTATCTAAGCAAACAGCCTCGGATATAGTCAAGGAGTATCTGCAGCATGCCGAGGAATTAGCGGACTCTATTAACCAGCGAAAAGCAGCATTAGGAGATTTCCGCCAATTGGACACACCCCGACCCCAAATTGCTTCCCGTTCATCAGAAGGCAGCTCTGGATCAGGCAGTGAACTACGGAGATTAACCCTTCAGAAATCTCGGCCATCAGATGTCGCAACCCTTGAGGAGCTGGTTCATCATCATCCGAACGGAGATAGCGATGCCGATGCCCACTCTGAAGGAACAAGTAATGGTAGTTTTGCCAGCACTACTAACATTGTCAACGCGTATACAGATATTCCAGACGGCATGGCTGCAGACCCACAGAGGCAATCTTCTTTGGAAGGCGAGGAGGCATTGGAGCAGCACCCAGGGAACGATCATGAGACTGAATTCTCGACAATCACTTTATCCTCTGTTGCGATGGGAGACGATCAGGATCTAGCAGTTACTTTCGATGCAACAACTTTGGATACACCAAATCACGACGACATTTTGCAGAGTGAGGTTACAAGTAATCACTCTGAATCATCCAGCATACCTATTCCTGCTCCCAGCCATCCTGTGCCCGAGGTTGCTATTACTAATGCTTCTCCAGCAACAGTGCAAGCTGAACCGTTCCCGATTACTCGCCTGACACGAATTTCAAGGCCGGCGACACCTTCCTCCTCTTCAACATCAATCGTTGCCATGTCGTCTCAAAATAATACGAGAGCGGAATCAGAGCCGGGGTCAGAGCCATCACAGGCCCAAGGCAGCAGTAGGGATGGTCGCACAGGAGCTATGCAGTATCTGCGGCAGCCTCTGACCTCGTTCCCGACGCCTAATGCCTTCCCAAGTCAAGACAGGGCGTCTTCGAGTCGAATCCAGTCGATGCAGACCCCTCAGCCATCACCTCGTCAACAGCCCCGCCAGGTACAGCCTCCGGTCGTGGAGGCGAAATGGGAATCGGACCACAAAGCCATTGAATGCAGAGAGTGCCATAGGAAGTTTTCACTATGGCTACGAAGACATCATTGCCGTCGTTGTGGTCACGTAGTCTGCGATCGCTGCTCGAGCCATCGGGCAATGTTGCACCCATCCATGGTCGTTTTCGATCCTACCTCAAGCGAGGCGTACCTGAATCACCAAATGCTGGTTAGAAGGGGAACCGTTCAGAGCTATCGCGTATGCGACTCTTGCTATACAGCATTGGGACCCGGCCGCTCGTTAAGCCTTGGCGCTGCGTCTGGATTTGGATCGGAATCAGGATCAGGGTTGGGATCTGGTTCACCATCAGGCATGGTACAGCATAACACTGGACCTCAACAGGCACACCGCCGAATGCTCCATGGTGACGCCCCATCGCACCCTACCGGTTACGCATCCAGTGCGCCCGCGCATAACGATGGTAGTCTGGGAGTTTATATGTCAGGCTCAGCCTATGCTCCAGATCGGTCGCACTCTTCTTCCAGAAGTTCGAGTTCATCAAGCTTGCACCCGGTACCAATGGTGCGGAATGCCAGCTCCAGCTCTCTGATGAGCGAATGTCCTGTTTGTGGAGCCATCCTAGCGGGCTTGGAAGGTGGAAAACCGGCTCAAGAAGCCCATGTACAGGATTGTTTAGAGGGTAAATCGGGCCAAGGAAGTGGGCCTGTCCGCTACGTTGGTATGATACGATTGGTCTCTTCACTGCCCATAGTCGACCCATTTTATTTCTCTTGATAACCTTCTAATGCTCTGTATCTTTTTTATTACTTTTATTATTATTATTATTATTTAGTTTACAAGCTGCCGGCCGACTCTCCTTTGATTGATCAAGAATGTGCAATCTGCTTTGAGGAGTTCGTTGCTGGTAAGAGTCTTTACACATTTTTGTTTCGTTTAATAGAAGGTCCGTTTGTACGTCCAGGAATGTGTTCTCACTTTCTGAATGTGTTTACATTGTTACAATGTAGGACGGACAGTAGCGAGACTGAACTGTCTATGCACATACCATCGGCACTGCATCCACAGCTGGCTTCAGCATGGCAATTCGTGTCCGGTGCACTATCGTTAGCACCTGCGGGAATTTGACTAGTTCTCCCACGCTTGGCTAGGCTTGAATACATAAAAAACGACTGATTGAGAAAGAGTTTTTGATTACCTTTGCGCTGGCTGATTAAATCAGAGAATGAACCCTCGCATGATGGATCCCTTGCCGGCATTTTCTTTCGCCTACAACTCTTCCCAAATATCTCAGCGGAAACATGGACAACGCGCTTGATCTTCCCAGGACTGAGGCCGTACAGGCTTGAAAGAACGTGCTCCGTTCCTGAATCTTAAACAATATCGTCCTGTACGTGATTGCTATTGCTGGGGCAGCCGTTTGTTTTTAGTCGCACTTCTCTTTATCATCATCGCCATTGCCATCGCCATCACCACCACTACCATGTCTCTCACTTACGCCCAGGAAATCGAATACAAGGAGGCCTTTGCCCTCTTCGACCCCACCAACTCTGGTGTCATTCAGCCCAAGGCTTTCGCCGACTTCCTTGCTGCAAGTAACAACTCTAACTCAGTTTGCCCTATTCATATCCCATCAACGCATCTATCGTTCGGATGTTTATGGTCCTACTCTACCCCCACCTTTTCATCGCAGACCTACATGCTATGTGTCTTGAGACATATGGTACCAAATGCTACTGTTGGCTATACTTCAATGGCTCGTTTTATTTATTATCTCTATCGATGTCTATACTGAGATATGTAATAGCAGTATATGGATCCCTAGTGCTGCTGAGTGCTGGTCTACTCGCCTCCTAATGCCTTACTTTCTAAATGTTTTCTTTTATATCCGAAATAACAGCTCCTCAATGACCCCGAGTTGACCAAGAACGTGAAGATTCCCACGCAACCCGTGGACTATAAGGCGTTCATTGCGTTGATGGCTAAAAACCACAAGGGTGCCGAAACCTCTGATGAGGCCTATGGCGCCCTGTTCAGGTCAATTAATAAGGACGGCTCTGGTAATGTCTCTGCTGCCGAGCTCCGCACTGCCCTTCAGCATTTTGGCAACAGCTCACTCTCGGAGGTAATGACCCTTTCTTTCTTTCGCAATGCGCATACGATAAATGGACTCATTCTTCACGAAAGTGTTATTAATCGCGAAATTTTTCTAACTGACCTGTATCTTCGCGTTGTATGCTGCGTATACATCTAGGCCGATGTCGATGAGATTGTTCACGAAGCCGATGTCTCCGGTGATGGTCGCATCACTCTTGAGGAATTCCTGAAGATCATGCAAAAGTCCGAGAAGAAGCTGCGTGGCGAGCACGTTCTGTGAGGACCTTTACTTTCTTCAAATATATCTCTCCTTTCTCTCTCTCTCCTCACGGTCGCTGCACTAATCTTCGAATAAACGATATTTGGAAACGCAAAGTTTTGGATGTGAGGGGCGACACATAATGGTATGGTGGCAAAAAATGAGGAAAATGGTGGCGCCCTTTTTCTTTTCTGAGTTCTCTCACTTTCCCCTACTCCTCAACCTTCGCCCTGAACACCTGTCGAGCCGTTCACCTTCGCCAAATCCCCCAAATATAACGCAGCACAACCTCTCCCGGTCAGAAAGATTAGGCAAGGAACGCTACGAGCTCAGGACACCTTATAGGCGAATGACGGAGCAGCAGGATAATACAACTCAGAAGCTGGGCCTGTATCGTCAGCTCATCAGCCAAAACGTTCCTGTCTTGGAATGGCGCTACGAACAGCGGCGAGAAATGCAAGAGATCCTCCCCTCCATCTTCCTCGGCCCCTACTCCGCGACTCGAAATCTCGAGGAATTGAAAAAGGCTGGCATCACCCACATTGTCTCGCTCTGGGACGTCTCTGAATCGCGGATTCTGAAGGTTCATTACCCAGAACACTTTCAGTATCTCCAACTAGAAATTTCGGACGCTGCCACGCAAAATCTCATCACACTTTTTCCCTCAGTCAAGCAATTTATTGACCAGGCGATCTTCAGAGAAAATGGCAAGGTTCTTGTCAATTGCATGAGCGGTATCTCGAGGTCGCCGGCATTTGTGGTCGCCTATCTGATGGAAGCAACAGGCATGGAGTACGAGATCGTGTACCGATACGTCCAGAACAAACGCTTCTGTATGAATCCTAACCCTGGCTTCAGGCACCAGCTCGAGGTATGGATAGCGAAAGAACAGAACAGATGTTCACTTAAAAGCATTCGCATACAGTGCTCTTATCCTCTTCTATTAATGTATATATAGGAATATGGACCAATCTACACGGCAATACAGACAGTCGGATCTCAACCCAAGGAACAGAGGACATCCATGCGGCGGTCTGCTCCAGAAGATGATGACGATGAGGAAATGTATGGACAAGATGCGTCTTTGGCATAAGAAAAATGATGAGATGATGGACTGGTTTACGCGCTTGAGCTGATTTTTTGTTCTACTCTACTTTCATCGTCAACTTGTCTCTCATAGGGAACGTCAGGCACCTCATTTCCGCTGAAAGGGTGTGGTCATTATAACCATAGCCGCCGAAGAGGGCATAGTTCATTTCAAAGAGAAAAATGTTGAAGTCTTGTAAAGTTATATTGTGTTTGATAAACTTTTTACTTATTTACTCTGTGAAGGCCTGCGCTCAATACCTTCTCACTAATCCATGCTAAAACGGCGAACTGTCTTATGATGCCATATAAAGAAGCACTAGGAAGCGTTGGACGGTTATCAGAAAGGGCGTAGGCGATGGAATAGAAAAACAGAATGATGTACGCATTTGTGCTATGCTTAGTCTTTTATGTAGGTGTACTCCTCGCTATTTTAGATGTAGACCTCCCTTTCCTCTCTATGCGCCATGTTCGTCCTCTGTCTTGCTCCCCCTCATCGCAGCACTCTGCTAAAAAGTTAGTTCTTTCCCCATTCTGCACATTTTAAAAATAAATGCACAGCCACTACCGAATCAAGCCTAAAGTGCTTCATTGCTTTATCCTTAAGAATAAGGCTCACTTTTTTTTTGCGCGTGCTGTGCTTCACAAGTCCTGCGTTGAACGCGTTTTAGCTGCGGAAGCAGTAATTCTGAAGGCTCCAGTAAATATTTATGTTTGGAGAGGAGGGCAAGCAGGACTATTCAACATAGTACTTCCTAATGCATCAGAGTAAATCGCTTTAACGCAGGTTCGAAGTGTCCGTCTGGAATCCCCAATTTGCTAGAAATGCGTCGAAAGCGGTTCTCTGAAGTCGCACGTCTATCACTCGAAGAAAATAACATTCTGTTCTGCTGTGTCTTGGTTCCGATGCAGCCGTGTCCGAGTATCATCTCGTTGCTATTCATACTTTTTTTTTTTTTTTTTTTTTTTTTCTTTTTTACACGCCCCTTCCTTCGACGCACCTCATTCTCCCCTTTTGAGGTTGTGCATCCGTAGTCCATTTTTCAGCTATCCGTACTTTTTCATGCCGTCGTCACCCTATTTTTTTTTTTTTTCCCTTCGTGCCGGCATTAAACTTCACACTACATGTCAATGGCGATGGGAAACAAATGCATGCGTCTTCATCGCCCCAAATTTGTACAATGCTATTGTGCCCTTTGGATCTGAACTGCAAGCTCTTCCGGCCCTATCTAAAAATGATTGTTTTCCTCCGCTGATTCTTTGAGTTCTTCTCCTTGTCCTTGTCGGCCTCCTTGATGTCCGCTACCAGAAAGTTTGGCTGTGAAGCCGATAGGACCACCACTTTATCCTCGTCTTTGCTCTTCTGCACCTCCGTTTCTGTATCTCCTACTTTGCCCACGTCGTCATCGTCATCATCACCTTCATAATCGCCTTCGTCGCTATCCTCTAGGATCTCCGGGAACTCTCCTAGTCCTCCTTCTTCTTCATCCTCCTCGTCTTCTACTTCCCCGGTGCCTTCCTCATCTTCGACATCAAAGAGCCAATGGTACTGGAGAATTAAGTTGCGTACAATGTTCTGCTGGTGGCCTAGGTTTTTCATCGATGTTGCGAACGAGTTGGCAGAGTTGCCACCAGGTCGCAAGAGTGTTGGGCCAAAGACAATGGCGAGGTTGGTCGCATACATGTGGTTGACCTCTTCAAAGTCTGTAACTCGTTCCAGGTGTTCAATGACTCTCTTCAAGAGAATGTAGTTAGGAGTGGGAAGGGCGCGAATCAAGTCCTTCATAGTCAACAGTCGCTCATCATAGTCTTCCAGTGCTATTTCGAGAAAACGACAGGGCATCAGCAAATGAAATGGGATGGCGTCAATTCCTCAGAGCATGCATACAACTTACCGGACGCCGCGATCAGCGAATCGTACAGAGCACTGGTCATAACAGCCTCGGGCAACTCGCGCAGGAATTGCTTCAAAGCCCCAGCAACGACATTGATATCCTTCCATTCGTCGCTGTCCAGGTCAACGTTTTCTGAGCCTAAAAAGATGACGGACGTTTATGCTAATTAACTAACAGCAACATTAGGATAAAGATCATCTCTTTGCCCCTTCATGTACGAGGACTCACCAGAATTGAAGCTTAGTCGCAATCTGTTGATGGCAGAGACAGCACCAGGTACTCGATATATTCCAATCTCTTCAAGGCCTGACGAGCAATTCAGTAAAACATACTGTGAGTTCATAAACGAGAAAACGGCGTGCGTTCATGGGGAATGTGTGGAAAAAAATATCACCGAATTGTACCTCGCTTTTCAATCTCGGTAATGCACTTCTCGACGATTAGGGGAACATTCCCCTCGCTCATAAGATGGCGCAACTCCACGCCGAATACTATGGTAAAGCATAAAACGTTATTAGTGCCTCGCCTTTTTTTTTTTTTTTTGGGGGGGGGGGGGGGGGAGGGGGGCGCAATTTGCCTACCAGAGCTCCTGCCCTTACGCTCATTTTCCACAACCACCGGAGCATCCTGCATCTGCTGCGCTGCCTCCATATCGCTTTTTATCGTTTCTTCGTTCTCCAAAAGCGTTCGTCTCTTCGCCGTCGCCTCTGCAGCGGCTTCGTTCAAAATCTTAATCCACTTCAGCATATCATCGCAGTCTAGCGCCTGGAATAGCGATTGACCACCTTCCTCTGTGATAATCTTGAAGACAAAATCGCGCTTCGTATATGTGTATGCGACAGAACAGGTCGAGTTAATCAGATTGATGACCAGGACGGATTTGGGGTTGGACAGTGAATATATGCTTCCTGTTCTAGACACAATCCGTGGCTGTGGCTGGATCGAACGTTGATGGGCTACCCCAAGAGCATCGGCCGCATCCCCAGCGGCTGTTCCACCCATCACCTTCCCACTGATGGCGCTTCCAATTGCCGTGGCGTTGCTGACTGTTGTCGTCGCACTGCTCCAAGAATTGGTGATGGCGAGGGAGATGGGCCGCATGGCACGCATCAAGGTCGACTTTAGGAGTTGATTCTTGACCCGACTTCGGCTCTGCTCCAGCTTGATCTGCTTCTCCAGATTCTTGGCTTGTTCCTGCTGAGCCTTCTGGATCCGACCTTGGGTGTCTTTGATCTGCTTCTCCAGCTTCTCATATTCTTTCTGGTCCCTCTTCACCTTTTCGTGCTGTAGAGCCACAAGTCTTGAAAAGATCTTGATGGGTCGCGAGGATCTTCCGGATAGGTTGGTGGCATTGGATAACTGTCCGTTCGAGCCACCACGCTGGCTGGTGGCTTCCCTCTGGGCTGATTCGCGGACAAGTTTCATAGGCAAATTCGAGCTTGGACCAGTGGATAGACCAAGCCAAGAAGAAAGGGGTGTCGATACCTTTTGTATACTCCGCAACTGTTCCTGCCGTCGTGTATATATCTGGATGAGGTCATAAACATATTGCCGCTTATCAAAATTCACAAGCATAGGCGATTCATAGCACATATCGCGGACATAGCAGCATGTTTCCAGTAGTCGCTCTATCAACCATCCAACAGCCGGTACCAACTCCTGCGATGTCGTGATGGGTTGGTCTGATATGGTCGATAGTGCCGCAGTAGACTCGCGTTCACGCCGTATTGTCAATACGTCTTCGAGGGTTTCGACCGACCCTTTCCGATCTGCTGCCAACTTTATCCAGACTCGAGTAAAAGCCCTACTTTCCGGACTAATCAAAGCACTCACAACAGCGTTCTCGACAAACGAGGGTACTCCTGCTGCAGATGTAGTTCCGGGATCTAGCGGCGTCGTTGTTGAAGACTTGATGTGATCCTCTCCGAACCCTGTCATCGCTCGTCGACTCTCCATGATAACATCCAGCATCTTTTGCATACGGTCGAGCCGGGTATCATATGAAATGCTTGGTGCGGCGATCTGCGAGACCACCCATCCCCGGATGACATGGTGGAGCTTGCACAAGTTCTGCAGGCACATCGGTAGAGAGTTCATGAGCCGCTCCCCGTTCCAATGCGTTCCTGGTGCCCCATTTCTTTGGATAGAATAAAGCGTGTTGTGAATTCCTGTGATGATCGTGTCTTCGTCCGGAGGGGTCGAGCCAAATCTGGGAAGATACCACCCCAAGGGATCGGCTGATTGTGACTCGAGAACCTCAAA